ATAGTTTTTGATTTGCTTTAGATATAAAGAATATACTTAATTCTCAACCATTAAACATAAGTCCTGGATCAACTGCTTTTAGGGCTGGAGCCAAAGCCAAATGGATTGGATGGGATAGTTTCTGGTCTTGATATTGTGGCATTTGTGTTATCCCTGGTGCTTGCTACATTGAATTGGTGATGAGCATATCTTTGGCAATTGTTTGATGAGCTACCTGGTGCAGATTTTAGTGCTGCGGGCCTCCATTCGGGATGGATTGATTTGATGTGGAGTGGACTTAGAAAGCAAAGCATTGTTTCATCCATGACTTACATGAGCGATTGTTTGTAGCCCGATATCGCTGCTCCAGGCGTTGATATTCTAGCAGCCTGGCCAACCAACATATCAATTCCAACTTATGGAGCTTACCATGAATACGCACTTCTCTCAGGGACATCGATAGGATCAGCTTTATGATACTTGCATCCAAGCCAGTCAAGGAGAAGGGAAGAGCTTTCGATAGTATGGCGCTCAAGAGCTAGGACGACTTGGTTTTGTGGACTTCGATCATGCTGCAGTGAAGTAAGAGTGACTCTGGATCTCTTCTCGCGGATCAAAAGCCAGTATCTGGTCTTCCGAATTAAAGAATATTTTAAAATATACTTTGCTATTCTAGGTATATTCTTTACTAAAGCATCTATCACTGGAAGGCGTCAGGATCAGGATCTATGGCAGCGTCAAGTATGTGTCTGACATTCTTATCTAAATCATACTAAATCTTAGTTACTATTATGAATCTCAGCTTGGCAACAGCAATTTTTAGACAACCAGACCAAACTGACAACCAAGTGAAAATCACACAAACACGCTCTGTTTATATATTTATTCTTCGCAACAACTGCACAGAGGCTTATCTACACACAAGCGGCCACCATTTTATCTACAGAGCCCACGCACCACGACGCTTGGACTCATCCTCGCTCTCTCTCTTGCGGCGACGATCCTCCTCTTCTTCCTCGCGACGTTTCTCCTCACGCTGGCGGCGGCGAGACTCGTCCTCTTCCTCGTGGCGCCGCTTCTCGTCTTCTCGACGGCGAGGATCTCGCTGCCCGTCGCGGCGGCGCGCAGCCGAAGACTCGGAGGGAAAGATGACGGATTCCCTCTCGTGAGCGCGCTGGACCTGCTTAGCGCGCTCCTCGTCCACGTTTAAGATGCGAGAGAGAACACGCAGAGGAATGCCCTGGTAGACGGAGTTCCTTCCAGACATGTAGGAGATCATCGGCCTGAGATCATTCATGGAAGCATTAGAAGCTGGAGAAACAAAGCGAAAGAAATGCTCACTTGTCCGTGGTGAGGAAAGAGACGTAGTGAAATCCTTCGCTTCCAGCAATCTTCGTCGACGGGAAGAAAGCCGGGATGACAACGAGGGATCCCTTCTCAAGATCGGTATCGAGAGCCCTCTCCCCATCGTTAGACACAGCCTCGATCTTTCCACGTCCTTCCATAACGTAGAGGATCTGATGAGCACGGAACCAGTTCGGAGAAACCATAGCGTCCTGAAACACAAAAGATACATGAAGATCGCGAAGACAAATGAGAATCTTTTGGTACCTGTTCGAGCTGCACGCATTCCATTCCAAGTCCGAGCTGCTTGAGAACCGGAAGCTTGTAGCTGTTCAGCTCGCGGAGCTCACCACCATCTCGGACACGAATGTCGGGATTCGTTTTGCCAAAACGATAGATGAAGTTCTGGTAGAAGGTGTTGTCTCGCTCTTCCTGGTCTGGGAAAGTGATGTCCTTGTCGAGTCGGATGATTCCCATCTCGCTCTGGCTTTGAAGCAACTCCTTGACAGTGCTCTTGTCCATCTGCCAAGCGCGAGAGAGAACCTCGGTGCTGAATCCGTGGATGACAGCTCCATATCCAGACTGCTCGCTCCGTTCACCACGTTGATCCTCCCGACGCTGATCCTCGCGGCGCTGGTCCTCGCGACGCTGGCGGCGCTGCTCCTCTTCCTCCTCGCGGCCTCTCCTTCGCTGGTCCTCTTCCTCCTCGCGACCCCTCCTTCGCTCTTCCTCCTTGCGCTGCTGACCTTCTTGCTTTCCTCCAGCCAAGTGAAAAGCCTGCAAAGAAACGCAAGCAAAGATCATGAATGGAAAGGAAATATGGATGAAATTTACCCGAAGGCTCGCGGGACGAGTGCTCTCGGTAACGTCGGCAAGTCCAACGATCTCTAGATCTCGGTCTTGATCGTTGTACCACCAGACGACCACTCCCTGCGGGACTGCAACGACATCACCCTTCTCAACTTTGAAGGTGGTTTCTTGACTACGACGATCGCCACGAGAGCTGATAACTCCAACTCTTCCACCTCCTGCATTGAAGAACACATTTGGTTAAGGAAAAATTGCCGTCTATAAGAACAAGGAAGAACAACGCATTGAAGAACAAGGAGCTGATCAAGAAGAGAGAGATCAAAAGAAAAAACAAAAAATTTACTGTCACCACGATTGGAACTCCAGGGATTAAGGACGGCAAGGAAAGAAAAATTTATGAAAGGAAGATCGAACCATCAAGAAGATAGTCTCGACGTTTACCTCGAGTAACGAGCTGCATTGAGGGAGCATCGATGTAGGAAGGGAGCCAGAGGCCGCGGCGCTTGAGAGTCGTCCTACACGCAGCGACATTGGCGTCCTCAAACACGCCCGATCCACGCCCGCCCCACACCTCGAGCTTGCCCCCATCGGATTCCAGCTCCACGCGGGGCTCCTGGGGCTTCAAATCCTCGAACATCCGCTGGTGGCGCTCGCGCTGCCGACGATGCTCGTGCCGCTGCTGCTCATCCTCGCGGCGCGCAAACGCCGCGGCATTGATCACCAGGAGCAAGAGGAGAATCTTCATTCCAATCGCCATTGCTTGATCGAGAAGGAGAGCACTGGGAGGCAGGATGAGAAAGAATCGATCGAGGAGGGGAATTTATTTGGAGCCGGGACGAATGCATGCTCGAGATCGCCCATGCATTGCGCGACGTGGCGGGCGCTAATCAGATAAACCCTAGCTAAAACCCTAAGGGTCAAACGAGAAAAATAAAAATCTCCACTGCCTGGAACATTCTATTCTGGAATTTTCTAGGGTTTGCGGAAGGAGAGGAACGAGGGCAAGCTCGCAATGGCGGCCGCGGCAGCCACGGCTGGGCGATTCCCGGCGCAGCAGAGGAGCAGCAGCGCCATCTCCGCGCAGCAAGGATTCGCCGGCTCGATTGGAGCGGCGTCATGCTCGTTTCCTTCTTATAAGTAAGAGAGCTCTCTGTTTGCTTGTTTCTTATTCGCGATAATCCCTCAGGAAGGATGCCTGTGGATTGAGCTTCTCCTGCAATGGAATCCTTTCCACGATGCCTTTCAGTGTGCGCAAGCCACTGCAATCACGGCAGTGTCGTCGCAAGCGGCTCATAGCTCGAGCAGAAAATGTAATATTTTCTACTTCGATCTCCTTTCATCTTTTGATTGCTTCTGGGATTTCGCAGGAGTACTACGACATTCTTGGCGTGCCAAAGACTGCTAGCAAGGCGGAGATCAAAACCGGTAAGTCGGGGCTATCCAATTTTCTCTTAAGGAGTTAAGAACAGTACGCTTGATTTAGGCATTTGTTTGGAGCAGCTTACAGGAAGCTCGCACGGCAGTTCCATCCGGATGTAAACAAGTGAGTGTTCTACATTGCTCCTGTGGGGGTTCTAAACACTTGGATTTGTGTACCAGAGAACCAGATGCAGACAAAAAGTTTAAAGAGATCAGTAATGCGTACGAGGTAAGCTCACATTTTTTGCTTTGGTGATGGGCTTTGTCTAAGATGCTTTTTGGTGGGATAGGTTCTGTCTGATGATGATAAACGATCCATCTACGATAAATATGGTGAAGCTGGTTTGAAAGGAGCTGGAGCTGGAGCAGTAAGTCTTTGAACTTTGGTGTTATTTTCCTTACTCCTTGCTTGCTTTGCTCAGGGCTTTTCGAATCCATTTGATCTCTTTGAAGCGTTTTTTGGTGGTATGGGTGGTGGCATGGGGGGTATGGGAGGTCGGCAAGCTCGGAACCGGCCAATGCAGGGTGACGACGAGAGATACGATTTGCAATTGGAGTTCAAAGAGGCGGTCTTTGGCACCGACAAGGAAATCGAAACAGTTCGCCTCGAGTCATGTGCTACGTGTAATGGCAGCGGGGCCAAGCCGGGGACAACACCTGTGAACTGTAGCCAGTGTGGTGGCCAAGGACAGGTGGTCTCCACGGCTCAAACACCCCTGGGGATGTTTAGACAAGTCTCGACCTGTCCTTCCTGCGGGGGAACTGGCCAAACGTCCACACCTTGCAGTACGTGCTCCGGCGACGGCAGAGTCAGGAAATCGAAGCGGATAAATCTCAAAGTTCCAGCAGGAGTGGACTCGGGCAGCAGGCTCCGTGTGCGGTCGGAAGGAAACGCAGGCAAGAACAACGGTCCTCCAGGCGATCTGTACGTGTTTATCAAAGTCCGATCGGACGCGGAGCTGAAGCGTGAAGGGAACAACATTGTTATCTCGGCAAAGGTCTCGTACATCGACGCCATCCTCGGTACGACCATCAAAGTTCCCACCGTGGACGGCCCCGTTGATCTGAGAATACCTCCGGGGACTCAACCGGGCACCACCCTCGTCATGTCCAAGAAGGGCGTCCCGATCCTCGGCAAGCCAACCTTGAGGGGCGATCAGCTAGTTCGCGTCCAAGTGGAGATCCCGAAACGTCTCAGCAGCGACGAGAGGAGACTGATCGAAGAGCTTGCAGCGGTAACAAAAGGAAATTTTGCGGGAACCAGGTAACTCGCGATCTTTCCATTTCCATTCCACACCTCTCTTTAGTGTGTTTACGTAGATTCGTTGCCCTTTGCAGCTGACACACGCGTGATCATGATCTGCAGGGTATGAACTAGCACAACAGTTTTTATCTAAGATTCTTCGTTAAAAGCAAAAGGATAGAGAGGAGGAGGGGACCCCTTGAGAAAGTAGAAAAAGCTCGACAGGTATTCATTTCTGATTTGGAGTTGTCAAGAGAGGTGCTTGCTTTTCAATTATCTTCTTAACGTTTTCTTTCCAAAGTCAATGCATCACCTGTGTCAATGTAGCGTTTGCAGCGTCCAGGGACAGGAGATGGGCAGCAAAGTTGCAGCTAGAGACAACTGGCCGACTCAAGCCGCCGCTTTTCAATGATGCCAGCGGCAGTGATGGTGGCGGCTGCTGTTCCTCCGGCCGCTGGCTCCTCCGCCTCCTCGACAGGGACTCCACTATTTGCTCGGCCGCCGCGACGCCGCTCTCGTACGCGCCGTGCACCGTCCCCGAGAAGTCGGGGCTGCTCGCCTCGCCAGCAAAGTAGAGCAGCTCCGACGCCGGCATCGCCATCCTCTCGAAGAGATCCGACCCGTTTGGGGACGGATCGTTGCTGTAGCAGCACAGGAAGTTCTCGTCCAGCGACCACCTCGAGATGAGCGACGACACCGGGTCCGGGGCCCCGGGGAGCATCGCTCGCACCTTCTCCATGGCAAAAGCGGTCGCTTCCTCATCGCCCATCCGCTCGATGCGCCTGGAGAGCTCGCCAACGGGCATGTAGACGAGAACCGCGCGGCGTAGCGTCGGGTAGAGGCTGAGGAAGTAGCTGCAGCCGCGCGGCGCGGCGGTGGCGCAGCCCAGGAACTCGGCGTCCTCGTCCCAAAACAGCGACTCGAAAAGCAGCGCGATCTTGTTCTGGTGGCCGACCTCGAGGCTTGAGATGGCCTCGCGCTTCCACTCGGGGAGCTCGGGTTGGAAATCGATTACATTGCTTTGGAGGATCCCCAGTGGCACCGCTACGATCGCCGCGTCGGCACGAATCTCAAACCCATTCTTGCATGATACCTGGACGTGGGGTTTGCTGCAAATGCCCAGACAGGGCATTTGCTGCGTGACCCGGACAGCTCGGTGTTCTAGCCGGATGTCGATGCCGCGGGCCAAGGACTCGACCAGCTGCGAGTAGCCCTTGGAAACCAGCAAATGCCCGCCCTCGTGAAACTCTTCCTCGATCCAGCTCTTCGGGGAGATTCGTGACGAATCGGCGGCAAACCAGCCCTCTATCCTGCACACGTAGAAGCCCAGAATCTCCTCGTCGACGCTGCCCTGGAGCTTGTGCTCGGCCACCATTCTGTTGATCGTGTCCTCGAGGCTAGCGTCGGATTCGTACCGCGCGTCGCGCCGCTCGGCCTCCACGGCTGCCCTAAGCCATGACTCAAACTGCCGTACCGTGTCGCGTGGTATCCGTACGCCGTCGCGGGTGTAGAGCGCGAAGCCGCGCTGCACGTCGTGGTCGTAGAGCAGCGATCCCTCCCCGGCGGTCTGGTGCGTGGCGAGCTGAAGGACGTCCAGCGCCGCGGTGGCGATGGGATTGTGGCCCGGGGTGGCGCCGTGGATCCACGACGCGCCCATGTCGACGGGCACCGCGGTACCGCCGGCGGTGGTAAGAGAGCTTTTGTCGGTGTGGATCCGCCCGCCAATCCGGGCGCTGGATTCCAGGAGCGTTACCTCGATGCCGCGGTCTTGGAGCGCCCGCGCCGCGGCAATGCCGGCAATGCCTGCGCCGATGATCACCACCGATGGAGCTGGGAACGAAACCGGGCCTGGAGTGGAGTATTTGGGGGAGTTTTCTTCCATTCGAATTGGCGGAGATGAGGAGGATCGCGAGGAGGAAGAAATCGGCGCCGCCAGGGGAGTGGAGGACAAGAAATCTGTGAAGATTCCTCTCGCAGGGCCCGGAAATAGGCTCAAGACCAGATCACAGAGAGAGAAAGCGCGCGCGCGCGTGTGATTCTCCCCTGTTCTTGGGCTCTTCACTCTCCTCTCCTCTTTTTATTTCTTTTCCTTCTCCTTTTCTCTTGGGCGCCCTTAACGCGATGATCTTCGTCGCTCTCCTTTCGAAGCGAGTAAACGCGGGATTTTTGGATCGTCTGTCGCGATCAATTGGCTCCTCTGGACTGGAATTGCCCCTTCAACTCGATCGATCCACCACCACCCACTGTGGCGATCCTTTCTTTTTGTTTGTTCGTACGTCCAAACAAACAGCTTGTAAGTGAACTAGAGAGAGAGAGACGAGGAGAAATTTACAACCCTTTCCTTTGGTCAGAGGTCTCATTCTCTCCAGGGCTTTTTATAAGCCATCCCCGCGTTACCTTTTGCGGCCATATTTTTAAACTAAAAAATTAAAGAGCTGGGAATTACGGAATTTCTTTCCCTTTTCCAAAATTCCAGAAAACGTTTTACACACCCTCCCACACGTGCTCCACAAGAAGCCCTAGAGACGCTTCTCAGTTGGGCACAAAAAGATTTAATTATATAATATATATGTTTTGCGACCCAACGTGTCTACGTATACTTCCATCCTGTATTCCTTTAAAATCGATCATGCATTGTTACAAGGAAGGAATCTCGGCAAAAGCTGGCAAGCAACAACAAGAAAACAAATCCCGCGCTTACGCTTACGCAAACATCTTTTCTTTTTTCCTGTATTCTTTTACTTGCTGAGTTTGGATTCTGATTTTTTCATTTATTTTCTTGGCTTCTTAACACTAGTGTTCAAACTCGGACTCACTCCACGTGTGTGGGGCACTGCTGGTCTAGTGGTAGAATAGTACCCTGCCACGGTACAGACCCGGGTTCGATTCCCGGGCAGTGCACTTTTAGTTTGTTTTGTCCTCTTTTTAACTTTTTGACCAAGCTTTTGGCCTGGGAAGAGAATCTTTGAACTTCTTTTTACGAGGAGCATGAGGTGGGGATCTTCTCTTTGGCCAGCATTGCGAGAATAAGAAAACAAAAGATAAGCAAATATCTTAGCTGCTATGAAAGACCCGGCATTAAACCTGTATCCTAAAGAAACGAGTACTACACTGTCTAAAGGATCTTCGAGGAACCTTGGAGGTTTCATCACTGAATCCCAACTAATATTCTAAAACTCAAACATAGATTGGTTTCTAATGTTGTTATTACTGGCATTTCTGATGCAAACTATATCATTTCACTTTGTAAGCATGGTATTAATATACACCAAGTTCATACACAAGATTAGCAGAAGGCTCATCTAAATTGCAAAGCCTAATTAAGATTGTCAAAAGAATGTCTTGTAACAACTTCTGGTGGAGATAGCTTTTCATTGGCTGTGTAATGACAAGGGGAGGTGGTCCTTCTCCACTTGCTACACAATGCCTCTCTCTATAGCTGGGTTGCGAGGAAACAACACTTCAATATGTGGGTCACAACATATGGATGTGAAGTATGGGGACCATGCATTTTAGCAATATGTTGAGCACAGCTAGAGATATCATGACTTTTGGACATGGGAAAAGACACCTTATGGAATCTTTTGCATGGAGATAGGACTAGTCCTAGTGGAGATCTAAGCCTGGAAAGAAACAATGCAATTTATTCTCACAACCAGACATGAGACTACGGATCGATGTGTGGTTATTGTGATTGCCAACTCCATCACCAACAAACTCCAAACTGGATGGTGGACTAAACAGCATGGGAATTCACTTGGAAGTGCTCCTCATTCAACCAGTCCCTCTTGCATGGGTTGAGTTTGCTCTCAAAGGATTGCTTGCAAAAGCTGATGCAAAACCACTTTTCCAAGAATACTTGCTACACATCAACCTGGACTCCCACTATACCATTTCATCAGTCCCAACGCATGTAGAATTTTCCTATGCTACAGAACATATTGTGACAAGTTGGCTCAAGTCACCATTAACTCCATGAGAGCATTGAGACTGCCTACTTTGCCGGCTTGAAAAAGATCTCTGACATGTGATCTACCAGTGTTTGACATATCTAGAACAACACCTTTACTTCCCCACACTCAACTTTCACCCACCTTGCAATCTTGTGACATTTTCAGATGCTCTCAAAGCCATGGAAGAACACCTTAATTGACACAATGAACTTAACATTTAGAGAGATATAGTAAGTGTGAGGATAAAATTAATGAAAAGTTAGTATAGTCTCATGTCTAACCAGGGGTGACTCAAAACATCTAGTTATCTATCTATTTATCTATCCATGATTAGAGGAAGAGTTGACATGACAGCTGGAAATTAAACCAGCCTGGGATATGTAAAACAAAAAAGTCAATTGAATGAGTTAGACGTTTCCTCAATTGGACCATGAAAGAGACTCCACTTTCGAATGATACCTATATATTATACACAAGTGATATGGCCTAATGTCATGGATAGTGTTTCCACCCTAATTTGCGAAATTGCATCATCTCAATTGTGATATGTGAGCTATCATGCCAAAGTGCTCAATTCAAGAGTGCAATATCTGTTGGTAATAAGATGCAACTATTCTCCTGTCAAGGCCCTTAAACCAAGTGATGTGCTATAACATTTATTGCATGCTCATTTAATTTTGTGCCAGTTGATTTCTAGTTGTCCAAAGATTAAAAACTAAATAACACCTCTTTATTGAACAAAAATTGTACAAATATAAGCCCTTTCTTTTATCAGTAATACATCTGAATTTAAAGCCAAAACTCCAAACTATAGAACATGTCCTTGTTGCTATGTTTTAAAAATAACTAACGGCAAGAAATAGGCACCCCTACCACGAACCAGCTTGGGCCAAGCAAGCCAGATTTGATGTCTCAGTTAGCAGGTTGTTAAAAACGTTTGAGTTATGCAAACTTCTTGCCCATCCAACTTCGTAACCCCAAATAAGCTTCTCTGTGGATGCAAAATCATAAATAAAACCAGTATATTGAAGTGATCTTGAGCATTTGTAGCTAAAGCAATGATAGTACCAACAACATGTGGATATTTTTAACTCCACTGCTAGTGAGGGCCACTTGATGTATTGATGATGTAGTCTTTCCTTAGTAGCATCATAGAATTCCTTAACATCTGTATGCATTGTTGATGCGCTTCCAATTGCATGGTGTCACTTATGCCATATTTCCTGTGCCAAACTTCACAAATGTGCTTCAAATGGGTGTCTACACGCTGTAAAGGAGTATGTTATCTGCAAAGAAATTTAAATGTTTTTCCCTAGACAATCAGAACTTATAAGATGAACATAGCACCACTATCCATGAGATCAAACCCCTAAGACCTATTATCTATATCATAAGAAGTGAAATGTTGTTGCTGTTAGAAATCAACACTTAAATTGCTAGCAACTAGTAATAACAATAATGTGTCGCCTCCCATCCATTTTCCCATTCATAATCCCTTTAGAAAACAAAGTGGTGGTTTTATAGTATTAGATTTAAATTAAGATTTTTAAATCAAAGTAGTTAAATTACAACATCATCTTGTCCAAGGTGGTCTCCTCGCAGTGAAACGCGGTGACAGAACAAACTCCTCCTGCACCATGGTTCCTTTGTCAAACGTATCCTGCCCATACCTCCTCGCCTCGGACTGCAAGATAGCCGCACACTGCGAAGCAATGCATGCCTTCTTCCTCGACGACGACGATCCGCCCGGCTTCCTCGTCGTGCTCACGCTCACGCAGCCATGGGAAGCGTAGTGACGGCCCTTCCTCTCGGCTGCTCGCGCTCCCGGATAATCGTCCGTGAACCTCAGCACTGGATCGGTCGGTCGCAAGCCTCTCGACGTCGGGCTCTTTGCTGGGCCGCCACCACCGCCGCCTCTCATCCCGCGCGGGCTGTTCTGTGGCGCCTGCTTTGGCTCGCAGTTTGAGTTGGCCGAGACCTCCAGGTAATTGCACACGCGCAGGCTGAACTCCCGGTCCAGCGACACGAGTTGCTTGTGCGCGTCCATGAGAGCGTTGGCCAGATTGTTGCAAACTTCCCACAGGAACGTCATACGCCTCCTCTGGGTGGACTTCTCGTTGTCGAGGTGCCCAGTCGACACCTGTGACGTGTTTTTGCCACGGTCAAACTAAAGTGAAAACATATAGAGTGCTCTATGTTACCTGGCTTGCTTCCATTTCCTTGGCCAGTAGCTGCTGGAGGTCTTGGAACTCTTGTTGGAGGGACACCTGCAAGCAAAGAATGAGCTTTCATTTTTTAAGCGAAAATGGCCGGCAATAGCACAGTGTTGTTGTCCACATACCTGTAGAGTTCGTAAAGCTCGAGCAGTAAAAGTTGATCCTGTGTAGTGTGTAGATGTTAACATGAGTTGTCGCTTGTCGGGTTTAGCCAGATCAAGGCCGCCTCTCTCCACGTCAAGCTCCTTTTTCCGAACGACCAGTCCTTGTTGAGGAGCATTTCCGTCCGAGCTGTTGTCCTGGTACTTGAATTTCGGTACCTTCCGCCTCACTGAAAGATACTCATCCGCCGCCGAGGGACGTGAATAGCAGGAGTGCGGATGAAAGTAAAACTCCTCCATGTGGTAGCTTTGCCTCTTCACTGAACAGGAAGCCAAGTAGTACCATTGGCAGAACGAGCGTTCCAAGCGTCTCTTCTCTCCCACCCTCCGTATCCACCAGGGAAACACCGCCACCACCTTGTCCAAAGGCAAGTCCTTGGACAGAGCCTTTCTTTCGGCCTTTGGACTCCTCCGATACGTTCTCCAGAGTTGAAGGAACATCCGAACGATGCTCTCTCCCATCACTACTCTGAGCTCCCTTTCCATCGTTCCCAGGATGCTGCCCTGCCTATCCTTCAAGCACGACTTGCCACCGTGCGCCTGGACCTTACCGGTGGTCGCCGGTCTTGAATATCTCAGCTGCTTGGAGAGGAGCTTTGCTTTTAAAGCCGTACTTAGCCACCTCCACTTCCATGCAAGCCATCTAGCCTCTTCTTCTACTCCGCTCCGAGAACACAGCTGCAACTGTGATGATCCTGCACCTGATGTCTGTGTCTTCGCATCTCTGACGCACAGATACTTCTCCTCCGGCTTATCAAGCCATTCCAGAAACTTGGACAGCTCGCCATCTGTTTGAACTGTCTGATTCAGCACGCAATGAGATCTTGCCGATGAATCCTCGTCCCGTGGCTGTGGCCGCTCCTGTATTTCCGGAAGCTGCTGAAGCTTCCCTCCAATACCCCCGGCCTTACCACTGCTACGTCTAAAAGACTTCAACGCTAGCTCCAAGTTAACGTCGATCTTGTGCAAAGAACTGTACAACCCCGGCCCTCTAGTGTGTCTGCCAAAAGAAGCCTCCAGTTTTATCATGTGGTTCGTCAGTATTCGTAGGTGTTCAAGAATACCAGCTGCAATGGCTTCAGACGTCCTTGATTGAGACTCTGAAGAGCACTGTGCCTGACACACAGAATCTTATGTCACAGACTTGCGAGCATTTGGAAACATCGCTTACACTGTCGTGCAAAGTTGCCGAATTCATCTTCTCAAGCATTTTCTCGACCTGAACATTTAGGCATTCTTTTTCTTTCTCAAGCAACTCGCATTTCCTTGTCAAATCCTCCGCTTCTCTCTGGCATGCAAAGTTTCTTAACAACCGATTGAAAATCGTTAAAGACAAAAACTGACCTTCATTGTAGCTTTTGCATCTCCTTCCTGTGCAAGCTTATCTTGTAGGGATGCATATGCTGCTTCATGCTCCGTCTTATACTGGTTATAATAATCTGCCATAGATGCGATTGTTGCTTGAAGCTTTTTAATGTCATCCAGCTTGTGCGTTAGCTCTTGATCTTTGCGTGCAAGCTGAAAAACACCAGAACAAAAAGATTACAAGACGAGCAAAATCTACGTAAAAAGCATTTACCTGGTCAAGTATGATGCGATTCTCTTTAAGCACCCCAACTTTGTCTTGCTGTAGCATTGCCAGATTGGCTTTCAAGTTCTCATCTACCCGTGTCTTCTCGCTTTCTATACACTTGAGCCGCTGCCTCAAACGATTAATCTCTCTATCCCGTCGGTGCACCTCCTCCTCTGCTGCAAGTGCTCTCTCTTGAGCTTTCTGAACCTCTTTTTTCGCTTCTTCATTCTGAGAGAAGTAAGACTTGGTCATGAAATAAAAAGACACAAAAGGAAGACAAACTTACGTAGCTACTAGACTGCACTGCGTCCTCTATGGCCGAGATATGTGCTCGAAGTTGTGCAGTCTCCGCCTGTGCCCTCACAAGGTTAACGTCTTTCTTCATGAGCTCACGTTGCATGGACGTGAGAGAAGCCTCGTCACGGCGAGCCTCCTCCAAAACCTTCTTGAGCTCGTGACTGAACGATCGCTGTTCACATAAGCCATCCAGTTTCAGACTTAAAAGAAATCTCGCTCACATAGAAAAGCGTAGAGCGTCCATACTTTAAGGTTGTGCTGTCGCCACCTTTGGAACGCAAGCACCGCATCGATCACTGCCTCCTCCTCGTCCGATTCTTCGTCGTCATCGTCATCAGAGCCCTTGGCCATATCTATCCCGTGAAAACTCGAAGGTTTTTTGTGCCTACTCGTGCTCGGCTCGTCACCGCAAGTGTCGGCCGACGTCTTTGATGATAAAGTCGAGTCCGATTCTCTGGCCTGGAACTGTGGTGTGGATTTAAATCCTCTCGGCTCCACAGAATCTGGAGTAGGCATATCCTCCCCCCCGGATCCAACCGATTCATCCGATTCCTCCTCAGCGCTCGAGCACTCGGACATCTCCTCGTGTATAGCCACGAATTTCTGGTTCCTGTGAACGCTTCTCCTTAGAAGAAGCGTGCTGCGCAGCCGGCTCACTGATCGTGCTGGGTGCGCTCGTCTACCACCAAGATCATTCCCCGCCATCGCGATGAAGCTATCAAACCCGCTATTTCACCTCGAATCGAAGGAACAAGAACAGCCACACAATAATCCCCCCCAGAACCTCCTTGTCGATCATTTTCAGCTGGATCGCGAGGAGAATATCTATCAGCAAAATCCCTGAGAATATCGATCTACACAGCGAATGCGACGCTACCTCGCTGCCCAGGCCGCCCAGCGCCATCGCCGCGCTTTAGGGCTCCCGGGCAAACGAACGGTTGGTTAAAGAAGGAAAGAACAACACGTGGAATCTATCCAATCCGCGCTTTTCCTTAATACTGATTAATTAATATTAGTTACTATTATGAGCAAGAATATACTTAGAGTATCTATTATATACCCCTCCTTCTCTTGATGAAACTTCGTGACCTAGTTCTTCGCAAGCTACAGCGGCAAATCGACAAGAACGTCTTGACGCCGCTGCCCGATCGCTATCTCCATTGGCTAGTTCTCACATTTCCTAGTCCCAATCCATGGGGGGCGCTAGCGGCCACCGTGCTGGAAGATCGGCGAATCCAGGCGGCGGCCAGGGCCAAGGAGATCGAGGAGTCGCTCCAGCCGCGGGATTACGCATCGGTTCTCCGATCCTCGGGGCTTTCCGGGGATCTGGAGCTGGGGAGAGCGATCCAAGCACAGGTTCTCGACAGCAGGTACTCGCGATCGAAGTATCTCTCGGATCACATTGTGGGGATGTATGGGAAGTGCGGCAGCGCCGCATCGGCGAAGCAGGTCTTCGACGCGATCGACAGGAGGGATGTGATCTCTTGGAATATTTTGATCGCGGCTTATGCCCAGGGAGGGTTTCTTGAGGAGGCGAGCGCTGTGCTCCAGCATATGGCGAAGTGGAGCGTCGTGTCGGTGAATTCGATGCTCTCGGCCTACGCGCGCAGCGGGCGGATGCTAGCGGCAAGGAATCTCTTCAATCGAATGCGGCAGAAGAGCTTGGTCTCCTGGAACGTGATGATCTTCGGGTATTCCCGGGAAGGGAATTTGCGAGACGCGCAGCATTTCTTCGAGATCATGGGCGAAAGAGATCCAGTCTCGTGGACGACAATGCTACACGCTTACGCAGCGAGCGGGGATTTCACGAAGGCAAAGAAATTTGTGAAGAGGATGGCGAAGCACAATCGCGTGGCGTGGAACGTGATGATCACAGCGTATGCCCAATTCGGTCAGATGCTCGACGCGAAGAAGCTCTTCGACTGGGTGCCAGAGAGAAGTGTCCTGTGCTGGAACTCGATCATTGCAGGCTTCGCTCAGCTCGGCTGCTTGAAGGAGGCGACGGAGGTGTTTTCCAGGATTCCAAGCACGGATGACTCGTCTTGGCCGTCACTGATCCATGCAGCAATGGTGGCTGGCGATTTGGAGACGGCCAAGAGCTTGTTCCACCAGATGCCCGGGAAGCATGTCATAGTCTGGACGGGAATGGTTCAGGGGCTCGTCCAAAACAGAGACTTGGATCTAGCAAAGCTCGTGTTCGAGAGGATGCCGTGCAGAAACGTGATCTCCTGGAACACCATGCTGGCTGCGCACAACTCTAGAGAAGATTTGGAGCAGTGCCGGAGCTTGTTCGATGCAATGCCGCAGAGAACACAGGTGTCATGGACGACGCTCTTCACGGCCTATGCTCGAAACGGGTATATCCAAGACGCGCGGGACGTGTTCTTCAAGCTTTCTCACTGGTGCCTCATCTCGTGGACGGCGATGATGGCGTCCTTCGTGCAAAACGGCCGGGTCTTCGAAGCCCAGGAGATGTTTGATCAAGTCCCATACCGTGACGCGATCGCCTGGGACACGATGATCTCCGCCTACGCTCAGAATGGCCACTGCGTCGACGCGTTTGAGCTGCTCAAGGTGATGGCCTTGGAAGGGACTCGGCCTTACGAGGGAACGATGCTGTGCATCCTCACGGCGTGTGCCCACGCGGGCTTGGTTGCCAAAGGCTTGGAGTGCTTTAGCAGCATGGTTAGCGACCATGGCTTGCGGCCGAGCTCGGAGCACTACAGGTGCATGGTGGACATGCTTGGGCGATCGGGGCAGCTCAAGGACGCGGTTGATCTCATTGACACCATGCCGTTTCTGCCCGACTCTACGAGCTGGAACGCGCTGCTGGGGGTTTCCAACGTCCAGCGTGATGCCGAGAAGCTTGTGGAGAGCGCCGCGGGGAATGCGAGCACGCTGGATCCAAACGACGCAGCTCCATACGTCTTGTTGTCGACAGCGAAAAGGTATGTTTCAGAGCTTCGAAACGTTCTGACTGACGGATTGCTTGTTCGTTTCTGCAGTTATTCCGCGACGCTCTGACTTGGTATAATGGTTTTTTCTTCACGCAATCTCTATGGATGCGACTCAGCATTGCGAAGAGCTAGAAATCTGGAAGATGATGCAAACCACGATTTCTGGATTTGGAAAAACATGGAGCACGAGCAGGCTCCACCTCGAAAACACCCTGGAGGGATGAAAACAAACGTTTCTTCACAAAGAAGTGAGGTACACTTCCATATTTTTGCTTGTCACGGGGGCAGGAGAAGAGAAAGAGGTCTTTGATTGATCGAGTCAAGACGAACGACTCGAGTAAGTATTGACAAAGTAAACCTTTGCAGTTTCATCCATTTTCCATCGCTGAGATCGTGACCTGTTGACTGTTGAGCTCGTGCCTTTGATTCCTTCGTTCAAAACATACAAACTCATTCATTGTCGTGGCAGCAAAATCTCGGCATTTTGCGCAGCTCAGCGCCAAACAAAATTAAAACGTTTCACTCCCTCGAATTTCTTGCGCATTGTTTTTTGCAGTCGGCTCCAGACATCCAGACAACGTTCCTGGAAAAAAAAGTAGTTGGGAAATTTTTTTCCGCTTTCAAAGTACCACGAACACACACTGGTCATAACACGGATCATCGCCCTTGACACGTGTCGCCACGTCCGCGTTTCTTCCCTGGCGCCAAATCTCGGAAGCGGATATTCTGGGCATCGAACGGGGACCAGAGCTTTTTTTCGCCGGAAGTGCTGACTTCGATGCGCGCGAGGAAAAAGAGGGCCTCTAATTTCAGCAATGGAGGTGTTTTAAGGACCGCAATCTTCACTTGTTCTTTCCCTCGCGCCCATGGCTCCTCTTCCCTCCTCCTCCTTGTTCTCCTTTTCCTTGCTGTTCTTCGCCCTTCTCCCTTCGATTCTGTCCCTCCCCGATCGATACGACGTGCAGACGCTCGCGGCGATCGATCAATCCCCGGATTCACAGAGGAACGATCTCGATTGGGAATGGCAGCGCACGGGATTCCACTTCCAGCCAGTGAAGAACTGGATGAACGGTATTTAAAAAATAAGAGCTCTGTTTTTATCTTCGTTTTTATCCTGAAATCTAATCCGAATCTCGCCCGAATCCTCGTCTGCGCATCGGTGGCCTGGATCAGATCCAAATGGTGAGCCTCTGTCCCAAGTTTCGATCGAGACAGCAGCGGGAATCGATGGATTGACGCGTTTCTTTGCCCCGCTCTTCCAGGTCCCCTGTTTTACAAAGGCGTGTATCATCTCTTCTATCAATGGAACCCCTACGCTGCCGTGTGGGGGAACATCACTTGGGGCCACGCCGTCTCCACGGATCTAATCCACTGGAAGTACGTGAAGGAGCTAGCTCTCGTGCCAGATCGATGGTATGACATCAAGGGCGTGTGGTCGGGATCCGCGACGATCGTCAATGGCGAGCCCATTCTTCTCTACACTGGATGGACGAATTCCTCCACGCAAGTCCAAAACAAGGTCTTCTCCTCCCATGTCCTCCGTTTCTAGGGTTCTTGAGCTCGACATTTCTTCTTTGATTTCGACCAGGCTGTGCCCAAGAACTCCTCCGATCCGCTACTGCGCGAATGGATCAAAGTCGACGCGGAGAATCCTTTCGCGGTGCCGCCGCCGGGGATCAATACCAGCGATTTCCGGGACCCGACGACGGCGTGGATTGGGCAAGATGGGCTATGGCGCACTGCAGTGGGATCCAAGTATCGCGCCAACGACACAGGGATCATCCTGCAGTACCGCAGCAAGGATTTCGCGAAATGGGAGCTCCTGGATGAATCGCTCCACGCGGTGAATGGGACGGGGATGTGGGAGTGCCCGGATTTCTTCCCGGTTGCGGTCCATGGCCAGCAGGGCTCGGAGAACTATCTTGGCGAGGAGAATGCGATCCAGAAGTTCGTGATCAAGGTCAGCCTGGATGAGACGCGATTTGACACGTATGTGGTGGGCGATTACGACCCGGCGTCGGAGAAGTTCTTGCCCAGCTTCGAGGCGCTCGATATTGGAACGGCGCTGCGCTATGACTATGGGATTTACTACGCGTCCAAGTCGTTCTATGATCCTCACAAGAAGAGGAGAGTTTTGCTGGGATGGATCAACGAGGCCGACAAGCCCACGTCGGACATTCGCAAGGGATGGGCTTCTGTCCAGGTACGTATGCGTTACTTAAGGTTACTTAAGCATTTGGTCTTCATTTGTTTCGATCGTTTCCTTGGCTTCACTGCATGCTTAGTGTTTTTCATTCACGCATTTGTTGTTCTCGCTGCGTTCTCCTTTGTGCTTGTGTGCTAGCTTCGTTTCAAAGCTTTAGCTGAGAATTCGTCGTCCTTGTGAACAGGCAATTCCCAGAGTTGTATGGCTCGACGAAAACCAGCATTCCCTTCGGCAGTGGCCCGTGCCAGAGATCAATTCTCTAAGAAAGCATCCAATTCGTCATACAGATTTGCTCTTGAAGCAGGGAGAAGTTTTCAAAGTAAATGGCTCTCAAGGATCGCAGGTACCACACACTTGTTCTCTCTTTCTCTTTCCAAGCTGAATGGCTTTCTTTGTCCTTGCAGCTCGATATCGAGGTGACTTTTCAAATCCCAAAGGCTCACGCCAACGATGAGAACGATGAATTTAACTTTGAATCGTCCAGAGTCGAGGGAATTCCAAACAACACCCTCATATACTGCAATGGCAGCTTTCCAGAGGCCGAGCAGATAATCGGCCCGTTCGGAGTCCACGTCCTTGCGTCGGAGGATCTACGCGAGAGAACTTCCGTGTTCTTTAAGTTCCTCAAGTTCAAAGGTTCCTGGAAAACTATGGTTTGCAACGATCTCACAAGGTTGGTTCTCGTTCTCTTGTAAAATCATCGAATCTTCTTAAAACTTGTTTGTGCTTGCAGCTCTTCCCTGGCATCCGATGCTACAAAAGGCGTCTACGGTGGACTAGTAAGCCTCTCGAGCTACAAGAATCGTCAGGCTTTGACAATGAGAATCTTGGTAAGTCGGTGAAGAGTTCCTCGAGACAATATGCTAAAAACTTTTGGCTCAGGTGGATCATTCCATCGTCGAAACGTTTGCTCAAGGCGGCCGGACATGCATCACTGCTCGATCCTATCCTCTTCTCGGGAGTGACAACAACGCTCATATGTTCGTGTTCAACAATGGAAGTCTTCCAGTCAAGGCAACACACTTGGCTGTGTGGAAGATGGATAAGATTCGCTACACCACAGTCTAGAGGAGGATAACTAAATAGACTAAAAACTGATTGTTTCAATAAAACAAAGAAAAAATGAATGCAAAAGCTTGTGTTCGAAAGCTTGGTTTCAGTTTAAGCTGCTTCATAAACATGTTTGTGATCCTAAGTCATCAAACCGGAATCCACACAGATTATATTGAAGCACTGGAACTGATATCAAAGGAGAACAATTATCCTTAAATCAGCTTTCCGGCTTATACCTATACTTGCTTTTGCTGCTGGTTCCAACAACTTGCAAGCTTATGGAATGCAAGGAAATTTGGCAATTTATCTTTGAGACGATGGACATGGACAAAAGGTGTCAAAGACTGCGTGAAAGTAGTGCAAATGTGTGGGGCCTATGCAGTGGCTGCTGATTTCAACATCATAGCTTCCAGTCAGATTGCCATAGCAATGCAATTATTGGAAGACAAAACAAACACTACTATTGCATTGTACACAATGGTCACAGCTCTTTTTGGACACAACTAAACTTTATAGAGCATGAACTGTAAGTTTGGAGGGTTCCATTCCTCTTCCTGGAATCTGAGATGTTTGCTTGAAAGATGACCATCACGTACATTCAACCATAGAGGAATCATCAAAGGAATTGTGAGAATGGACCAAACACAATCTAGATAGCAAGAAGACAAAAGTATGATATAGTGATAAAACATTTTAAAACTTTCTGAATTAATTTTGTGATGATCATAACTAAATTAGTTGCAAAATTTTGTTTATTTACTAAATTGTTTTTTAGCTCTCACAATTGTATGATACAATAGTTATAAAAATTACTAGCAAATAAAATTTTAATCTCTTTACCCCTATGTTATACTATTGTATGATACTTTTGCCCCTTGCCAAGAATCAACAGATGAAGCTTCTTAAGGTACCACTACTGCATGCCAGAATATGAGCTACATACGTACAAATGTGGAACTATAGAAGGGTGACAATGCAAGCTATAATTGATTGTGCCATAGATCTAAGGGGGAGCTCCAGAATCTCCACTTGAATTTCCACTATAAAATTAAAGGTTTTGATCATGACTGTTCATGATATGACATTCAATCCAACCAAGATCAGGCCATATAAGTAACAATGCCACATAAGTAAGATCAAGTGGTGTTGCTTAGCTTCCCAAAAATTCAAACCATGGATTAGGTCCTTAGGGAGAGGGACAACAAGCATGAAGTACAACAACTAGCAATTAACTAGCTAGCTAACTTAAAATAGACTTGAACACCATTTTATAAGGTTTAGGAACCTGTTTAGGATACTACAAACGTTTCATCATCTTCATTTTTAGTGCCATTTGTTACGAACAACTTGATTGACAATATTAAGAATATAAACTGTCTTTCGAACCTTTGGATAAACAAGGATAAATAACATCACTAAAAATACTCCTATATTGTAATTGTATTAATAAGATCCATCTGCTACAAAGAGTATTATAAGGCTTATTTAGAAGTAATGTAAAAGCCTTGACCTGTCCTCATCCATGAGTTATGCATACATGAATGCATGCCATTGAATTGTCATCCACCCTACAAACAAGCAACAAAAAGAAGAAAAGAGAGAAGAGATAAGAACAATACGTGTTGTCTTTCTACATATGCAGCCGTGGCAGTCTGTAAGCGGCAGTTTCTTGTCAGCTGAGCAAAACTTAGACCTAAACTAAATACGAATTACTAAATTTGGACGTGCACTCAGAAAGAGCAAAAATATTAAGTACATTTACATAAAGCTGCAAATATCATTCCGGCAGCTTATTCAAATCCTTGGCGGGCACTGCGAGACCATGTAAACAAAATCGAATGAATGAATACAACAAATTCTATGGATAATTTACGGTCTTTGTTTCAATTTTTTATCCATAGGTGTGTCTTCTTTTCAAACTTTCGAGACACATGCGGACAATCGTAGATCTCCACCTCACCGCAATAAAAAAATTTATTAAAAAAATTAAAAATTCCGCTTAGCCAACCAGTTGCATGACGCGAGGCGGGCAATCCCTCCGGGGCCCAAGCAGCGACCGATATGCTACGAACTGTGTCACAGCGGCATCGCGGGACGGCATGTACTCGATGTTCCACGCCGGCCCCAGCGCCAGTAAATCTCTGGCGTCCACTTCGCGGTACCCCTGGCTCCACACGTACCTCAGCCGCTCCATCCGCGCCACCCCGGCCGCCATGCCGGCCTCGCTAAACGGGCAGTGCCGGAGCTCCAGCTTGGTCAGCCTCGCGCACCCGGCCGCGAGGCCCACGAATCCGGCGTCCGAGTAGCCCGCGCAGCCCAGGAGCAGCCACTTGAGATTGGCCGCGAGCACCCCCATCTCTGCCAGGCCGTGATCCGAGAGGCCGCCGCGCTTGAGGTAGAGCGCGAGCTTGCGGAGGCCCCGGCAGCCCTGGAGGAGGGATTTGACGCCGGCGTCGAGCGGGGTATCGGTGAGCGGGGTCGGGGAGTCGAGCACCGCGATCCGGAAGTCGTAGAGGTCCCGGCAGCAAATGCCAAAAGCGGCAAATGCTGCGTTGCTCACGTCTGAGGCGTAGATGGCTACTGTGCGGAGGTGTGCGCAGCTGGAGGCGAGCGCGATGAGGCCGTGCTGCGAGACTGAGTGATGGTTGTCCTCGAGGTTCTCGATTCGGATGCGCTTGAGCTTCCGACAGTGCTTAGCGATGGCCTCGACTCCCTCGTCCCCGATGCTGTTCCTCACCTGGGAAAGGAGCAATGTACTCTTCAGTCGATTGAGAACTTTCGATGGATCTATAGAAGGATCGGGGGAGGGTGAACTTTCGAAAAGAACTTCATGATCTGTTGATGGTGTCCAAGCTAAGGAATGTGTCTGTCGAGAGATAACAACTTGCGCTAGCTAGTGACTGGATGAGAACTTTGGAAAACATTGGAAGAACTTAGAAAGCAAATGGCTGGTTTGTTCAAACTCTGAGAGATAGTGAGCGAAAGAAGAGAGTAAGATCCAAGCTACGGAAAGTCTCATTACCTTGAGTTCTTCCAGGTTGGGACACGCTTGGAAAGTCTGGTGGAGAAGCGAGAGCTGCGAGCTATCGAGGGTGGTGAGCATCAAGTCGAGCTTGAGCAGCCGGAAGGCGAGCCCGGAATCGAGAGGAATGCTGATATCCCCGGCGAGGGAAGTGACCGTCTTGGGCAGCTCCAGCTTCTCGATGATGCTGCTCTCATCCAGGGAGCGATAGAGCAGCAGCATCTCCTGGAGCGATGCAGCATCGCAAAGGATCCCCCGCGCCCTGGAAATGGCGTCATTGGTGGTGCGAACTTCGTCAAGCCGAAGAGAGGCGAGTCGCTTGTTCCTGCTCACAATCGCCGCCACATCGTCCAGGCCCCGGACCTCGATCCCCGTCAGGCTAAAGCTGAGCACCTCGAGCTTGGTGGCGGTGTCGGCCAGAGCTCGCAGCCACTGCTCGCCGCCACCATCCACGATGCTCTCGTCCAAGCTCAAAACTCTGAGGTTCCTGGATCATATAGATAGAACACAACGTTGAGAGAGAGATGATCGCTTGCTTGACTCACTTGCAGTGGCGCGCGATCTCGAGGAGGCCCCGGGTGGAGAAGCCCGAGCAGCGGTCGAGCTTGAGCACCTGCAGCGAGCTCGCAAACGCGGCGGTGGCAATGGCGGCGATGGCGGAGTCGGGGACGTCGAAGCGGCGGAGGTGGATGGCGGCGAGAGAGGGGCAGCAGGCGACGAGGACGCGGATCCAGGCGTCGGCGGTGCCGCCCCAGTCGTCCCCGAGCAAGCCCCAGTCGTAGATCCGTGGCCGCCCCTTGATGGTCACGCTGGCGAGGCCGGTAAATCGCTGGGCCAGCCGCCATGGATGCACTGCGTACGAGCACTTGACCACCAATCTCGATCGCGTCCTCGCCTCCACCCGGTACCACTGCCGATTCACCTCGGAGACCGCCGCGCGGTCGCAGGGATCGGCGATAAGCGCGAGGATTCTCTCCAGCAGCTCATCGCACAGCCACAGCACTGCGCTCTTCTTCTTCTTCTTGTTACTGCTTCGCTCCTCCATCGCTAACACTTCTAACCGGGAAGGAAGGAGAAGATGTCGTGGTACGTAAGATCCTCTCTCTCTCTGTTTTTTACTCCCCTCTCTCTCTCTCTCTCTCTCTCTCTCTCTCTCTCTCTCTCGTGTTCTCCGCAATGGTAAAATGTGTGGCCAGGGAAGGGCCAGCCGTGTGGCTATGGAAGATGAACTAATGCTAAATTGATAGGCGAGACTTTACTCCCAACTTGCATTGAGTGGACTCCATCTAGAGTGATAGAGTCGCCCATCAGAAATTTTAAAAGAAAAAAACCCGAAGAAAAGAAAGAAACAAATACTGAAAAAAGGATATGGCCTTTCTGAAGAATCCTCCTCCGGTGTCGTTATCTACTGCATCTCGTACTTACTGCATCCTTGCAAGCCACTCTCTACAATGAAGAACTCTTTTGTTACCACAATTGCCCAGGATGACACGACCAAGACCGCAGGGAAACAATTACTCGATACCTGCACCACAGTATTCTAAATGGAACACGGCACTGGCCTCACCCAGGGGGTTTCACTTGCCGCACTAGTCGTGGTACTAGGCACTATTACTAGGCTACAATCTCCTCAAACAAAGTGGATCTTCAATCAATCCAAGTGGATCTGGAGATTGCGGATCACTGCCCTCTGGGATTGACGTCGACAATTCCTCCAGCTACTACAGCTCATGAACAGCTCCCCACATCTATCAGATACAAGATCATTGCAGAACGGCGAAGTCTCTATGCAGAACAATTGAGGGACTTATGGTACCAATTGACAACTATGCTGATCTCTTGATAAAAGTCCTCACCACAGCAGCTCATTCCCCATTCCGCATCCCCAACTCCCCATGGTGGAATAATGAACGCCAGCAATGGAATACAATTCAAAAGGCAAAGGGCCCAATCTGAAGCACCCGATGCCAAAGCAGCTCACCAATATGCAAGCGTAAAAAACGAGAATGTATGGCAACCCCAAACAAAGCATATAGCATATTTTGGAAGGCTGTTGATATGGAATTACTTCAAGCTTGTGATCAACACCTCCTAGCAACGATACTTGCTCAAATCTTAGGTGATGTTCTCTGCAATGGCTTCCCAAAAAAGTGGACAGTAAACTGCATCATTCCAATCTATAAAAGTGGTGATGAGATGCTTCCTAAAAACCACCACACCATAGTGGTTTTAAATATTTGCCCGTATTGTTGAAAAATCAAGCGGGTTTCAGGCCTAAATACACCTATGATTGTTTAGCGATTAGACAAAGTTTACAGGATCACTTGAAGGTTATAGAGACACCATTAAGTATAATCCAGGCACTTTTGGCACTTTATGAAGTCATTTGCTGGATAAGAACTTATTCTGATCACCATAAGAGTTAAGCAAGTTTGTCTACTTTCGCCAACTCTTCTGAGACTATATATTAATGGACTGATTTTGTCCCATAGCTCGTTCCCATCGCTTTCCAAAGTCCTCTCTCCCATCGCCCCCTCCGGACCCGCTCCGTTGAACTCCTCTCCACTTGCGAAGTACCACACAGCATGTATTGAAACATTATTCACTGACCACCATCTTTCAGTGATACAAATGGCTAGCCTATATCAATACTTTCTGTATGTGAATGATCTCTTACCCCTCACATCCACTTGCTCTTTGTTTCAAAGACAACTTGAGATTCTAGAGGGTTGGTGGTCAACCTCACAAGACAGATTGGATACAAGAGATTATCTCTAACACAGATAAAGGAATGAGGTATAAGTCTCTGGGGTATATGATCTTCCAAGAAAATTGGATCTAAACAGCAAGGATTTATAAATGGGTTTAGGAAAAACATCATGTTTGCGTGAACAACATGATCTAGGAATGGATCTCAATTATCTACTCCTCACACATTACCGAAGTGTCTGCAGAATGGATGGAATTCACTTTTCAAACAGCCAACCAGTACTGCCTTCCAATAGTACCTACAAACAGTAACACAACACGGGAAATTGTCATCCAGCTACACTGGCCTTTAGGACAAAAGCACTCAAAGGATCCTAACTACCTATCAAGCAGGAGGACACCACCTATATTCAACAGTTGGAGAATGGCTCAAACCACTTACTCCTTTGGAGGACAGACTTTGCCAAGTCTACTACGAGGAAAATGGAGACTGTTGAACATGACAATTGCCCTGCATTCCTTCACATTAGATGGTACTAATTATACCTTCTGCCACAGGGCTCATGTTTAATTACTCTCCTAAATCTCCTTATCTTTTAGTGTTTCAAGCATTTCATTTTAGCTTTTTTACCTTTTAAATTCAATCCACTATTCGGTGCCCCAGCATGAATCCAACTGCTCAAGCAAGAGTTCGGTAGCATTTTCCACCACAATCTTGCTAAAAGTATAAGCAGAAATTTAGGATAGGATATCATTAAATAATAGATGATATATTTAAAACCCTAACATGTCATTTGAAAGACCGTAACAATTTTCTTACCAGTGGAAATTTGGCTACTGTCGGTGAAGTTTATGCCCTGCCCGTGGCCAGAGAGGTGGCAGCCTTCGTCCTTGAAATCAGCAACAACACAAGCACAGCACACAACATTTCCAAATCCTTGAGGTAACACTCCAAAACAAATACTTAGACTAATGAATATTAAGTTTTATGGGCCATGACCATAAGTAAATATTCTATTTTATTTTACTTTCACTTTCCCTATCTTTTTCGAAGGATTTGAAAGCTGCTTGACAAAGAGCCGGAAAGAACCTGTCAAGAGTTTCAAAACTGTTTTGCTAACATGCAAGTTCGCCTGGGGCAGCATTCCGGCACTGGAAATTGCGGCCAGGGATGTAGCGCAGCTCGGTAGCGCGTTTGTTTTGGGTACAAACGGCCGCAGGTTCGAATCCTGTCATCCCTACGAAGAAAAAGATGTCCAGCTTTTATTTTTCTCCCGAATTTGATTTACCCGATTAAGCTAAAAAAGATGGTTGCACCAACCTTGCCTTTCAAATGCCGGCTATGCTTCTGATAATAATCATCTTATCGCTTGCAGGATCGTCTGTGGGGGATGACTTACGCCCTGCATTCCACTTCCAACCCATCAAGAACTGGATGAATGGTAAAATTATAACTTCTAGAGTCACTCAAGTAAAAGCCACCCTTGTATGTGTATGTTCTTCTTCCTCTTTCCTGTCCCAAAAGATCCCAATGGTAAGAAAATGATAGAAAGAAAAGATCGTTACCTCATGGACTTAAGCCAGGACCGATGCTCTACAAAGGATTGTATCACCTCTTCTTCCAGTACAATCCCACCGCGCCAGTATTTGGAAACATCAGCTGGGGACACGCAGTCTCCAAGGACCTCATCAACTGGAGCTTCCTCGACCTGGCTCTCCAAAGAGACAAGCCTTACGACCAAAACGGTGCCTTCTCTGGCTCCATCACCTTCGTCAAGGGAGTGCCGGTCATTCTCTACACGGGCTCTGCGCTCAACTTAGATCAGTCGCAGAACGAGGCTGTGCCTGCAAACATCTCGGATCCGCTGGTTAGAACCTGGAAGAAACTGGAGCGGAACCCGATCATCTTTCCACCACCCTCCGGCGTGCGAACAGTAGACTTCAGAGATCCAACCACGGCCTGGATTGGTGCCGACGGGCTTTGGAGAATCCTGGTGGGAGCAAAGAAGAATGCCACCGGAGCTGCAATCCTGTACACCAGTAAAGACTTTGTTCACTGGGACTTGGTGGACAATCCGCTCCATGAAGTTGCTGGAACCGGGATGTGGGAGTGCCCGGATTTCTATCCCGTTTCATCCTTCGGAACAAAAGGCTTGGAGGATTCAGTCAGAGGCTCTGGAGTTAAACACGTACTCAAAGTCAGCTTGGATAATACCAGACAAGATGCTTACGCTGTAGGAACTTACGATGCTGCGGCCGATAAGTTCATACCCAATGTCCCGGAGCTGGACACTGGAATAGGCCTCGTTTACGATTACGGCGTCTTCTACGCTTCCAAGACGTTCTACGACCCTGAGAAGCAGAGACGCGTACTTTGGGGATGGGTCACCGAGAAAGACAGCGTTGAGGCTGACATAGCCAAAGGCTGGGCCGGCGTCCAGGTATGTGGAAGAAACTGTTTGTGAGAACCTCTTGTTGATCTGAAGTTGTGTCAGGCACTCCCGAGACAAATCTGGCTGGATGAAACACACCAAAATGGAGTTAGACAGTGGCCACTAGCCGAAGTGTATAAACTGCGTCGACGGGACTACCATTCACAGGCTTACCGCAAGCTTCAAGGTGGCGCGTTGCAGGAGATACATAGCGGCAGAAAGAAGTTTCAGGTTCCTAGGCTCAACCTTTTAGTGTTCCTCCTGTTTTCTCTTCATTTCTTTCAGCTTCTCGTGCGTTGTTTTAGCTGGACATCGAGGTCACCTTCACTGTAAGAAATCACAAACTAGTCACCCTCGACAGCATCATGGAAGACGGACAAACCTCATGCCTTGGTCGTACCACCGCATCAAGAGAAGCAATTGGACCATTTGGACTAATGGTTCTAGCCTCGGATTATCTCCAAGAACACACTGCGATCTACTTCGCGTTGCTGAGATCGAAGTCGGGCTGGAAGCCCCTTGCTTGCAGCGACATTCGAAGGTAATCCATCCCCAAATTCCCAGAGATCAAACCAAAACATTTCCTCTAGATCGTCGCTACAGCCAAATGTCACAAAAACAGCATACGGAGGATTCGTGAACGTTACCAGCACAGAGCAGCAGCTCACGATGCGAGTGATTGTAAGACCCGAAAGAAAGGCCTGAATTTCACTGACTGCGTGCTCCACAGGTAGATCACTCGATCATCGAGACATTCTTTCAAGGCGGACGGACCTGCATTACCTCCCGCGTGTACCCTACCAGCGGCTCGCCGCGCCTCTTCCTCTTCAACAACGGCAGCGCCCCGATCGGCGCCTCCATCGCGCTATGGGGCATGAAGAACGCCACTTTCACCCTAAGCTGAACTTCAAATTTTGTGATTGTTTGATTACCGTACTTATATTTACATGATTATACCCATGGATATGCCTTCCGTACTTGTCTTTCTTTTTTATATACAGAATACAAACCTTTACATTTGTTGTTTTGGTCAGTACGCCGTTAGCTGGATGGAGCTGCCAAAGTCTTGCGCCGGCTTGCACGCCATTTCCATGGCCTCCATCTTCTCCATGCGTAGAAGATACGATAGAACAAGCCCCAAGTTCTTCCACAACATCCATCGGGGCTTCTCGCGGTAGTCCGCAAGATCCGTGGCGGTGATCATCACCGGCTCCTCGGTGCAGTAAATGCACAGGCACGGCAGGGATGACTTTAGATCGTCGCTACTGCTGCAGCTGCCGGATCCAGCGTTTGCTAGCAGCGGTCGCGAGCAATACTTGTGTCTGTATTCGTACACAGCCTGGAGATGGGAAAACGTTGGTGAGCAAACAAAAGAATGAATCGGAAGTTCTCATACCTCCCACTGTGCTGAAGCCAGCAAAACTCTCGGGCGCCGAGCACGGATGTAGCTGAAAGCGTCGATGGGATTCAATCCTCGGTGTTCCATCTAGAATCACGCAGAAAATCGATCACGAAAAGGAAATATACTAGAAGATAAGCTTACCAAGTAGCATAGCGCTACTGTTGTACTTCGCCCGCGACCGGCTTTACAGTGAACATAGGTTGTCTCATCTCGAAGCGCATGCTCTGAAAAAACACAAAATAAAGACCAAGAAAAAAACAAAGGAGAGGGGCAAAAAGAAAGAAACTTACCATGGATGAAGTTCACAGCTCGCCGAATGTCTTTAACAGTCGGAGCAAAGTAATAATCCCGCGTTGGAATTACACAATGACTGATACCATGCTCCTAGAAGAGAGAATACTCCTTTAGGGGAAGCTAAGTAATTTTCCACTAGAAGCTAACCTGGTAGAAGGATGAGTCGACGAGGGTCTCAAAGGGTTCGTTGAGCGTCACAACGCCCCTCACGCCCGCCGATTTGAGCAAAATCACATCGCTGCGAAAGGGCACCGCGCCCAGAAGCAAGAACTGTGGCAGGAAACCTCAGAAATTCGGCCCAAGACCTCAATCTCACCTCGTCCACTTGATCCCACCAGCGGAATTCGTCCTCCATGCTGTTGCGCAGGACATTGTACGCCAGCGTCGGGTAGAAGAGCAGCCTTGCTCCAGCGGCGATGGCGATTACTTTCGCCCGCGAGAATCTATCCACAATCGCGCCATTGCCCGTGCTGCCACCGGGGTCCGATTCCTCGCTGCTCTCCTCCCGGATGATCGCCATTCTAGCCCTAGCCCTAAACCTTAGGCCCAAATAGATTTAAAACAGCCCCAAAAACTTAGTGATCCCCGAGATAGAGGAGTTTGTTTCATTACCTCTATCAATGATCAGTCCAGCATTTAATCTTTGGTGTTCTCGTCCTAGTGAATCAACGCGTGAAGCTTCAGTAAAAATACAAAAAGCCCACCTGTGATCGTCTTTCAGACTCCCCAATGCCTTTATCCTTGTTCTTTCCAAACTTTCTTCCATCCCGCGTGCTCTGGCTATGGTGGTGCTGCCTTTAATGATCTTCCTCGTTCTCCTTGATCGCACCACTGTCTTTGCTGCTATAAGCACGGCTCCTGTCAACACAGAATGGACGCTTGAGTCAGGTATTGAGCCGGACTTCATGCTTCTCAACGTTGACACGAACCACGCGCTGGGATTCACGCGAGCTTGCTCCACCTCTCCAATCTATTACTTGTCCATCTCCATCCCCCTCATCCCGGATGTAGAGTGCACAATCTCGTCGGACACCGTCGTCAGCGTCTGGCAGGCCAACCGAGACTTCCCACTCTCCGCCAACGCCACTCTCGCGTTTGGAGAAGATGGTAACTTAGTCCTGAGCCAAGGCCCCATCCAGGTGTGGTCCTCCGGCACCTCGGGCCGAGGAGTTGTGGCTATGGAGGTCCTCGACACCGGAAACCTCGTCCTCCTCGGCAGCGGGGGCGAGATCATCTGGCAGAGCTTCGACCACCCCACGGACTTGTTGCTTCCGAAACAAAAGTTCGTGCCGGGAAGCAAGCTCGTCTCCAGTGTCTCTTACACAAACAGGAGCCAAGGGAGCTTTTTTCTCGAGCTCCAGCCTCGGGGTCTCGTTGGCCGCGCTCGAGCTCCTGGCACAGAGCAAACTTACGCGGTCTGGGACCTGGGAAGCCACGACATAGCGTACCTGATGATCGAGAGCTGCTATCTTGTAGCATATAACAGGATGGAGTCCGTGGTAGCAACCAAGAAAATCACCGCGCCATTTTGCCTCCAGTTTGGGAAGTTCCTCAAGCTCCACTATGACGGTACTGTGCGATTCTGGAACAGCTACAAGAAAAGCGAACCCGTTCCTATCAATGGCATTGGAGAATGTGGAAAGTATGGCGTGCTTCGACAAAGTACCTGTGCTTGCCTCGACTTCGATCCATCGCTCCAGCTGGAGCCAATCGATCGGACGAATCCGCTGGGAGGATGCTCTCTCCCGGGGGAAATGTCGTTGACGGATGATCGATGCAACAGCAGCGGCAGCCACGAGCTCGTCGAAGCCCCCGGCTACGATTATCAGCCGCTGGAATTCATGCAAGGGATTCCACAGCTCTCTCCCAATGCTTGCAAGGAATCCTGCCTCTTGAATTGTAGCTGCATTGCGGCGTTCTTCCAGGTTGGGATCCATGACAGCGCCTGCTACCACGTCACTACGCTCTACACCGTCGCGGTGACGCCCCTGCGCCAAGGATATGCGTCGTCGATGTTCCTCAAGATCAAAACGTCCGGCGGAGCCCTACCTCCCGGGCGCCGATCCGCCAAGGCCCTGAGAATCGTTGCCAACACAGCCATTGGCGCCTTCTCGGTGATCATCGCCGTGTCGGTGCTGATCGCGCTCATAATTGTCCGCTGGAGAAAGCGAATGGCGAGAATCTCCGCGGTGGGCGACTAGGGTTCTTCAGAATGAAATTTAAATTTTAGGGTTCTTGGTCACATTGGTAACATTTGGCGAACAAGCCAAAGGTATCGATCTCTTTCTTCATGTTTTGGATGCTCGCCCAGGCGCCAAATCCCACGCCGACGATCAGCACCCACGCGATCGTGCCGAGGTTCAAGTAGTAGGCGCCGATCCAAGAATGCGGCTCGGCGGAGCCCTGTATCATCACGACCGTCAGGAATTTCAGGTATTTCGGGGATTTCTACTCACGCTTCTCGATGCTCGCATCCCATAGTACGTAATGTGTGCTGCGCAGGGCAAAATATAAATGCTAGAGCTCGTGAGGAACGATCCGACTATGGAGTTGATTGGGCCGAAGAAAGGAATCATGAGAGCCACGAACCAAATTCCCAGTATCACAGGTACTCTGGCTATCACTTTCATGATGTAACACTGCTTGTGATGGACTCCTAGAAATTTTTCCCAGATGATATAGATGGGGATCGCGAGGAGTCCAAACTCGATAAACTTCAAAGAAGTAAGAATGAAGAACTCTGATTATTCCTTTCACTTTTACTCACCTGGTGGATAACCATGAGAATCACGGCCGCGTCTCTAAACTTTGTCTTTGGCAGCACAGCGAAAGCGTTGGGATTTATCAGCATTTTGTCACCGAATCTCAAGTAGACTGTCACCGCGGACGGGATCAAAAGGATCAAAAGTACGTAGGCAATGGCGTAGACGTACACGCTCTTAAACTTCTTGGGCTCCCACATCGCATCCATGATTTCTCTGGTTTCAAACAATTGTAAGCTCTTTTCTTTGTTTTTTCTTTCAACTCACATTGTAACTGCGTGACCTCCGAATGCGTATAGGAAGTTCGTTGCTCCTGTGAAATATTCCTCGGTGCTTACGGGTCCATGGTGTGTCACAGATGGTTCCTAAAGAGGTGTGCTTTGAGTTTGTTGAAAAACTTCCGAGAGCTTACTCTTTTTATGGATAGGGAAGCCAGAGCTAAATACCATGCCGTGTAAGTCGTCATGATAATTCCTGCAAAGGACCACATTCTATAGTTGTGTGCAGTGGGGATGAGAATGCTCAACGAGCAACAGGCACCAAAAATCAATGTCCAAGAACGCTTGTCCAGATCATCGCCAATGTAGTACACTGTGCTGAAACTCCACTGCGGTAAGAACTTATCATTTTGAACTCTTTTTTGATACCTTCCACAGGCTATGAGTTGAATGGTTGCTGTGCAGAAAAGGAGAGCGCCATTGAATATAAGTCCTGCTGCTTTCCACCAGGGGCCTAGAAGACCGTCCAGCACCTCATACCACTGGTACCTTCTCATCCATTAGCACCACCTAGGACTACATTCTTATAGATTTTCTTGAGGATTTCACCTGAATGGTATGATGCTCAAAAGTGACGTTTTGCATCTCTTTTAGCTTTCGATAGTCGGCATATAGGCATGTCATTGTGTAGGAAGACCAGCATCCTAAAAGTCCATACAAAAGCATGAATGCCATTCCAGAGGCGAGGCCCATTTGTGCAAACGAGTATGGAAAGGTTAGCAATACTTGAGCAATCTGAAGTAAGAGTGGTTTGAGAGAGTAGAAGACTGTGAAAACCCAGTTACCTGAGCCGAGGATGCATTCAGCCATGCATCAAACGTAGAACCTCCTTTCCAAAATACTTTTGCTACTAGTTGCAACCATTCAGCAGCAACTTGTTCAGTCTTTAGCAGCGTGCTCGTAATGTCTTCTAGACTAACATTGCTGATTCTTGTGGCACTAGGCCTTCGTTGGTGGCTTTGAGAAGCACAGACAAACTCAATTTCTCCTCCTACCGGGTAAGTAATACTTGATGTTCCTTTTGACATCCTGAGACAAGAAATTCTCAGAACTTCCGAGTCAAAAGCCTGAGAAACTGATGCCTGTTATGCTTACGTTTGGATTTGTCAAATGTATCTCTCTAGTTTTCAGGCCTACGAGAGAACATAGTTTCCAGTTGAATTCGCTGGCCGGTGGTCTCTTTCTCTGCTACAATCGTGGGACCTTTGACATGTTAATTCCATCTTCCATATCGGATACGGCCATACTGTTTCGCAGATGGTTTGTATTCAGCTACCATATGTCGGCGGTCAGCTGTAATGTTTTCCTTTTTGTCAGAGAGCAAACGTGTTTAGCCCGATTCTACCGTAGCGGCCAAGGATGGTGAGTGTATTTCTTTATGTAAGTATTGATTGATACTTTGCTTGCATCAGGAAAGGAGCAGCTATTTCAACTTGGACGCTCAAATCTTCTGGGTCGCTATCAGGGGAGAATGGAGCAGAAGAGAAATATGATCAGGATCGAGCGGGAGCCCGTCATTTTGACATCCAAGCCAAAGCTTGTCAAAGTCCTCACTACCTTGTTCTGTAAGTTCTGGTGTATATTTTCTCTTCGTGACGTTGCCACTTTCCTACAGCGACGGATGCGGACAGGGGCCTGTTCAAGGCTTTGTGCGCCAGGATTGAGGCTTGTGTGCGTGCTAAGTATCACGACCTGTTCGAGGAGCTAATGGCAAGTAATCTTCGTCTTTCTTTTCTTAACAAAACTTAATGCAGGAGCTTCAACATTTGTTTGATCCGCACAAAACTCAAGACAGGGAACCTTCTTCGACCGACGAGACGAGGTTTCTCGAGATGTTTCACCGTGAGGCACGCTGAATTGTCAGTAGTGATTTCGCGTTTTTACCTCTTTTTACAGATAATGACAAAGAGCAATTTCAAAGTTCTTAAAAAGAAAGAATGGAAGATTGCTACTTCGAGCAAATACGTTCTTCGTCTTGATGTCAAACTCAACAAGGATAGAGTAACGTGGTTATTTCAAACTTTGGTTTACTAAAGAACATACATCTTTAGCTTGATGACAAGCTCCTGAAGAAGTACCCTAGAGTTACCGAGGCAGGCGACGAACAGCTTTTTGAGAACAGGGTAAGTCACAAATGTTGAATAGGAACTCGTTATAATTCCAAAGTCCAGTGCTTGATTTACAGGAGAGGCATTGGGTGTGACACTGCACAAGGCTACTATATGCTGGCCAAAGTTGAGGAGATTCAGAAAAGTTTTTGGAAGATGATTCTTAGACTTTGGTAAATGTTTATCTTCTTTTCACTTTTTAACTCGCTTTTATTAAAGTATTGGCGAGGAAGAAAATTTCATGCATGAAGAACCAAAACCTGACGATAGATTTATGGAGATGGAGCGTATTCATGTAGGAGACGTGCGGTAAGCTTTCCATGTTAAAAGCCTAACAGAGAAGCAGCGGTATTTGTAGAATCAAGCATTTCTTTCAAAAGGTGGAGCTTCAAGAACCAACTTTTAGCCAGGTAATTGTCATCTACAGGTAACAAACGCAATTCCCTCTAGTCAAAGCTTCGCTTCTAATGCCATAAGCAGAACACGCGATGATCCTCGCGGTATTCACATCAAGCAATTCAAAGACGTACCAATGGCTGATTTGGAGCTTGTCCTGGTAAACTAAAACCGTGTGATGGATCTATTTTCATAACCTCTTCGTACAGCCCGAGAAGAAATCACCGCGCCTGAGCTGGTCTGAATGGATAAAGCTCATCTTTTCGGGTGTCACAGGAGTGGTATTGCTTTCAAACAATTTTTTTTTTTCCTCCAAACGTTATTAAATTCGGCACTTACCAGGCTGGGTTTTGGGAAGCCTTTAAGAAAGGCCACTCTTCCTTTGTACCACTCGCCTTCACCATCCTTGCAGCTTTTGTTGGATACTGCTTCAAGGTGTATTTCACGTAAGTCTCTCTGAGTTTGGCCATCTTTCGAGCTAATGTGGAAACAATCCAGGTTTCATATCAATGTTCTGGAGTACCACAGGCTCATCTCCAAGTCAATTTACGACAAGCAAAGCGACAGCCACCTTGGTACCCTGCTACACTTGTGCACGAACGTAACCAACCAGGAAGTACTGCGTTAAAATTTCCATACGCTCTCTCTTGTTATTGACGAGCTTTTCATTTGCGCAGACAATGGAAACTATCGTGGGATACTTTGTGTTGCTTGTGCTAGGGACGGCCACAAAACAGGTATACAGCTATAGTCGTCCACTGAAATGATTTCTTTACTCGTCTATGTCAGGAGTTTGCGTTGCATTGTAACTATCTGATGGAAAGAGAGTTTCAAGAGAGATGCGAATTCGAATATGACGACGCTTTGGACAAGTTGAGAGCTTTCGAGTTATTAGACGAGGTAACACAGTAATCATCTAGTGCCTTTGTTAATCTCTTTAACTCAACAGCGTGGCGATGACCGCTATCAGTGCCTCAATCTCGAAGAGGCGAACGAAAGGCTACAAGGCAGGCTGAAAGAAAGAGCTTAAAAGAAGTACCACCACTCGTTGGTATATCATCTTCCCAGGAATAGCGGAAGGTGAAAAAGCATCTTCAGTCTACTTGCTTGTTGGTAAGATTTCATTGATAAGACTTGTTCGATACCAAAAGAAATATCTCAACTCTGTTACAGAAAGCTAGTGGCAAACCAATAAAGCCAGCTCGATCATATGAAGTTGAAAGCACAGCTACAAAAACCTTCAAGTCAAAGCCACTCTTTGAGATGATCAACTGATTGCAAGCTGGTTAACAATGTTAGATAGCTTCGCGGACTTATAATCTTCTCGAAGTTGTATGAATCTGCAGGAAATTTGGAAAGAAATGATACGCACAAAAAGCACAGAGGTATTTAAATACCGAATCGCATCCTTGCTAGCGTTGCGCAAACTCCCGTCAACTAGTGTTTTCAGGCTCTCCGGTGCGACGATGAAAATGTTAACCATCCTGGAAAAGGGATACAATCTGAAATAAAAACAAACATATCAGAAACGTCAAAACTTACGTTCCCAAGAGTTCAAACTTCTCGTCTACTGTGGGAGCCTTGAAACTGCGAACGAACTCAGCAAACTCGGTAACGTCACGTTTCAATCTGAGGCCGCCACTGTAACATGGCAAAATGAGAACCGAGATGTTGAAAATTTACTTGTTTCACCTTGGACTAAATGTGAACCTTTGCCAGTGAGTGATAAGCGATTTGTATAGACGGCATCCCTGAAATGTCGTGTTATGCGTGTATGAAAATGAGTAGAGAACCATACCAGCTCAGTCACAAAGACTTGTCTGTTCGAAACATCCAAAGCTGTGTTGGTGGAATCCAGCATCCGAGACAAGAACGCTACCACTCTGCAGCGACACGCACTTAATCCAGTACTATGAATTTGGAGAAGAAGGGTTACCGTGTGCAGGCGTTAGTCGGCCGATGGTCCGGTAGACTTCCATCATCCGAAGGCTGATAATCATGCACTTTTTGTTCCAAAGCCAGTAGGCGTTCCGCCTTCAAGGAAACGTACTAAGTGGAGTTTTCAACAAACGAAGCATACCTCAGCTATCATGGAGTCCATACAAAGCTGCAAGCCCTTCAATACAGCATCCTCAGCATGTGACATGGATGTTGCTATTTCCTCACAGCACGCGGCATGTGCCCCATCGACCGGAAGAAGAATCCGAGCGATCGTGTTCACAAAATACTGCAAAGGCACGCATCGTAGTTTCGAGCATAAATGTGTAAGCCGCACATACCTGCTGAACAATGGCGACATTAGTCGTAGCCCTTTGCACGGTGGTCATGAAAGAGCTGACACTAATCTCACCGGCGTTTGCAGCAGCCTCGGCCTAAACATGATGATGTAAATAAAAAAGAAACGAGAAATACTGGAAGAACTAACCGCTGAAGCAGCAGCAGCTGCAACCCGACGGCTAACTGCAGTTCCAATAGCGAAACGTTCTCTCAATGCTGCGGCTTCTCGGAGAGCGTCTTGACCACGTTCTAAGGCCGCAGTAATATAGTGATTTACCTACAAATAACATTGATAAGTCAAGACTCAAGGCACGTAAACTGTAGCTTCACAGGCTTACTTGCTCCAGTAGGCACGTAAAAATCGCTCTCACGTTCGATGCTAGAGATCCAGGCTGATGTAAGGAAAATAATTCAATAAACCATCCACATAGGGAGGAAACCTTAAACCTGAGCTCCCGTTAGCAGGCTGCACCGAAGAACAGCTTCTTCGTTCCAACGCACAAATTCAGTTACAACTTCAGTTGTCAAAGATGGTTGCGAAAAGTTTTGAAAAGCAGCCATTTTGCTTCCACGAGGACCAATGTCTGGAGGTGGAGGTAACGCTGCCCTGACCTCGGCCATCTGTTGAAACTTATATAATGGCGGAGATATAAAATAAATGATTACCTTCGCTTCAAACATTTGAGAAAGCGATGCCTGTTCAAGTTCGATATAGTCATCCCTATGACTAGTGAAGAGAGATTCCGCAAGAACTGCAACAGTAGAGTCATTAAACACAAGTTCTGAAGCATGAGCCTTAATGAGCCGTACCTTCAACGTCCAGCTCGCCACAACCTAGAGCCCGAAGATCTTTTGCAAAAGCTTGAGTCTTTTCATAAGTGGCCGCCAACAGTTTCAGATGCTATGGAACAACGTAACACATCAAAACACAATAACGACGTATAAAGTATATTTAATTACCTTACCTGAAGAAGGCCGCCCTCTTCTATCAGAGCCGTACTTGCAAGGTTGGGTTTGACAAGGAGCTTATCTAGGATAGCAAATACTCTTTGCTCCATAACTCTCTGCACAACTTCAATTGCTATCTCTCCAGAAGAACAAAACACTTACCTGTACAAGGATTGACATGACTGCATCCGGCGATGGGAAAACAGCAGAGACCGTTGCAGATTCTCTCCGAACCGTATCTAAGAGGAACACATAAATAAAAACATTTTAGAAGGAAAAGTTATATACCTGTAATTTCCTTGTAAAGCTTTCCCAACCCACGAATTATTGTTGCCGTATCTGCAACAGGTTGTGGCGACCCAGGCGCTGCAGTGTCTGTGGTTTGATCCCCAAGCACAGTTCTTGTGTCTTCATTCATTACCTCGACATCTAAAAACATAGGACGCGAGGCAACATAGCGTTGCATTGCTCTGGCGCCTCTATTAAACTACAGATAAAAAACGATTGAAAACGACATCAGGAAAAAGAAAAATAACGAACCTGCGACAATATTTTTGCACATTCGCCCATGGTAGATAGCTCCTTCTTCTGCGAGGCAGCGTCAAACCGATCAAGAAGGCGGTTCTCAAGTTCTAAAATATGGAGCAAAGTAAGAATTATTTCCAAGAAATATGAAAGGCATACCATTACAATACTCCTGAAGGTTTGCCACGGCAACTTCTAGGCCGGGGTTCGCATTTGCAGTCCCTTTGACGGTGGTGCCCGTGGCACCAGAGCCAGTTCCTCCAATGTCTTCTTCGGCGAGAGCACCTAATACAAAAAAAATCTCATTATAAAAACGATGACTAGAGCTTAATGAAATACTTACGAAGTTTTTGAGCTATAGCTGCCGCCTCAGCAACACGGTTGTCGTCTGAGAAGAGTGGAGACAGTCCCATCAAGTCACCGGACTTTGTATTGAACTCCATCAAGTACTGTAGAGAAGAACATCACACGATTGTAATGACCACAAAATTCACGCACTTTTATCAGCTCAATTGTCTGAGTAGCCGTCTCCCGTTGTGCATCTGCACTCTGGAACAACAATTTACACATCAAATTCACTCGACTGAAGGGCCGAAAGACTCAACCTGCAAGTGGTCACCAATTCGTGCTGCCGTTTGTCCAACACCCGAAATCCGATTATCCAGCTTACTGAAGCTATCAAACAGGCCATGAACTCCTTTTTCGAGCTACCAGAAAACGAGAGTGGATTGAGAACGGGAAAATAAGATTAGACCACGCAAACACTCACCTCGGAGAGCTTTGTTCTATGCCTGATATCCTCCGCGCTTACTTCTTTCTTCACTTTCTCAAGCTGCGCATCCGCCTACATTCAAAATAACTTGTTAGATCAAAGCGTCTCTTACGACATGAATCACCTGGAGTCCAAGCTCAAGGAGCTGCTTTCGCGCCTCCTTAAATCGAGCAAGCAGCGCATTTGCCTCGGCAAACGCAGGCTTCACGAGCTTCTGGCCATTCGAAGCAGCATCCTCTTGAGGCGGCGGCTTTTCACCGTCTTCCACTTTCAGTATGTCGCCGACGAGATTGTTGAAGAACGCATCGAAGGAGAAGTCCCCCTGGATTAGATCCAAGTCGCTCAACAAAGCCTACAATCCAATCCAGCGTACCTGGAAGTCTTTGATAGACAACGAGACTCCAGATTTCGCAGCAGATCTCTTGCCGCCACTGGCGGACGGCATTGTCGATCGATCCAATCTTAGCTGGGCGCCAGGCCTAGGGTCCCCCCTGTTTACACAAAATGAGGAACCCTAATTCATAGATGAGCAATAGTTCCCACGACACCTTCGCGAGCAATAAGCTGATCGAGCTGCTGGGAAAGAGGGGAGATCTCCACCAGGCGCGACGGGTCTTCGATCGAATCCAGATCAAGGACTCATTCTCATGGGTGTTCATGATCACGGCTTACGCCCGGATGGGCGATGTCGTCAGTGCCAAGAATCTCTTCGACGAAATGCCCCTCCGGAATCTCGCTGCCTGGAACGCGATGCTCGCGGCCTACGCGCACCACGGCCGGATCGACGACGCCAGGGCTTTCTTCTCGAGATTCCCCTCCAAGAACGTTGTGTCGTGGAACACGCTCATCACCGCGATCGGGAGGGACGGCAATCCGGAGGAGGCAATGAGAATTTTCGACGCGATGCCGCTGAGAGATCTCGTGTCGTGGACGGCGGTGGTCGCGACGCTGGCTCAGAACGCTCGTCTGGATCGAGCCAAGCAGCTCTTTGATGAAATGCCGGAGTGGGATTCGGTGTCAACAACGGCACTCCTGGCCGAATTCTCGCAGGAGGGAGATCTGGCGCAAGCGATCCAGCTCTTCGACAGCATTCCAGAGCCGAATCTCATCTCCAGGACAGCGATTCTCGCGGCCTACGCGCAGAACGGCCAGATCGAGAGGGCGAAGCAAATATTTGACGCCATGGAAGAAAGAAACCTCGTCTCGTGGAATGCGATGCTCTCGGGCTACGCGAACGAGGGAAAGCTCGATCTGGCCAAGGACGCCTTCGATTCCATGCCGGAGCACGACGTGATCTCCCAGACCGCGATGATCGTTGCCTACGGCCAGAGCGGGAATCTGGCCGAGGCCTCGGAAATATTTGCTCGAATGCCACATAGAACCCTAATTTCCTGGAATGCGATGCTCGTATCATACGCCCAGAGCGGGCATCGTGGCGAGTGCCAGCGACTCTTCGATCGAATGCCGGAGCAAAACCTAGTCTCTGCCACCGCTATGATAACTGCCTACTCCCAAGACGATGACCTAGAAAATGCCGAGAATCTCTATGAATCTCTTCCGGAGAAGAATGTTATTAGCTCCACAGCCATGATCTCAGCATATGCCCAAAACGGGCATTTGGTAAAGGCTAAACACTTGTTTGATTTCATGCCCATGAAAAACCTAGTGTCGTGGAACGCCATGCTAGCAGCATATTCACAAAGTTGTCAAGTAGAGAACGCCCACTGGATCTTTCTCACAATGCCACAGCACAATTTAATCTCTTGGAACACTCTTATTGCTGCAAATGCCCAATTAGGGCAAATAGAAACGAGCAAAGCTCTCCTGGATTCCATGCCGGAGCGAAGCGTCGTCTCCTGGACGGCGATGCTCGTCGGCTATGCGCAGAGCGGCGACCTCGACCTCGCGAAGCGGACTTTCGATCGAATACCAGAGCCCGACACGATCGCGTGGGCAGCGATCGTCGTCGTCCACGCCCAGAACGGCCACTACGCTCAAACCCTAGAGAGCTTCGATGCGATGAAAGCGCTCGTCCGCCCCGACGAGATTTGCTTCTCGTTCGCGCTGCTGGCTTGCGTCCACGCCGGGAAGCTCGCGCTGTGCCGATCGATCTTCGTGTCGATGGCGATGGATTTCAATCTGGGCGCGAGGAAGCCGCATTACACCTGCGTTGTCGATCTGCTGTGCCGCGCTGGGCATCTAGACGAGGCCGAGGAGCTGATCGCGAGCATGCCCTTTGTTCCCAATGTCCTGGAGTGGCGATGCTTGCTGGGCGCTTCCCGGAGCTACCGCGATCGCGAGCGCGGCGCTAGGGCAGCGATTGGAGCTTTAGATCTCCATCCAGACGATGGCGCGGCATATGTCCTCCTGGCTAACACGAATATTCACTCCATTGATGGTTGCTGACTCAGCGCATTGTTTGACACGTGGCTCCTGTTGTCCAGTGGACACTTGTTGGAGAGAGAGAGGGAGAGAGATTATTTAAACGAGGAACGTTTGGGGGTTTTGGGATCGATTGATTTGCCTTGCTCTTGTTGATTCTTCCGCGAGGTTGGATCGATCGATTTGCTTTCTCTCTTGCAGATTCTTCTGCGAGGAGATTTGTGTGTGAATTGTTGGCGCAGCAGGGGCTGGAATCGATGGATTCCAAGCACAATGTCCAGCCGCTGCCCAAGAACTTGGGATTGCGGCACGCGCATTCGAGGGAGGAGGCGATGAAGCTGAATTTCATGGAGCTGGTCGCCGGCGGGCACGGGGTTTTGTTTGGCTCGCGGATTCCCAAGCATTACTTCATGGTGAAGGGCTTTGGCCAGACTGATGCTGGCGATGGCGCCGATCCCTGGGAGACTGGATCGTATGATCTAGCGTTGGAATCGGCTGGTATGCTTTCCCTCTTTCGATTGGATTGTTGCTTACACGCGTTCTTCCAGGGATCATGGATTTCAACATCACGCAGTACTCATCAGTGATCCCTCCGGAATCCTCCAAGATCGAGTTCCATGAAGCAAAGCCATTCTTCCGGCATGGAGCGGTGATGGAAGCGATCATGGCGAGTATGAATGGTGTCAAGGGAGACAGAATCACGGCTGGAGTTGCCCGAATTCAGGCAAGAAATCACTCTCCTTTCTCCAGGAACTTCGATCCCATTGAAAACTTTGGATCCACAGATTCGAAGAAAGCGAGACAACGCAGTGATCGGTGGCTATGCGGCGGAATACAGTGGCCACGCCAGAGAATCGGAGGCCAGGAGAATCCTTCAGAAGGATCTGGAGGGCATTTTCAAGCGGCGATTCGATCAAGAGGACTACGAAGTTTTCGAAGAGGATTTCATGATCCAAGAGAGCGAGGTAGAACAAGGCTTTGGGACTGCCCTAGCGGCCATATGCTTTGTCACTTACGTGGAACCTGTTTTCGTAAACATGTCATAACGGCACTTTCCGAGTATAGTAAACCCTCTGTTTTTAGGGCTCTAACGATACTTTCCAACTATAGGAACTCATACCATAAACCCTATTTGTCCCATCTCTTGTGGATATGGGGAGAGCTCTTGGCGATGGCGCGCTTGCGTCTCTCTCCACGGGATTTCCACGAGCTCCATCGGTTCTCAGGCACCGGGTGGATATTTCGGCAGGAACTCGTCGAAATCCCGTCGTTCTGGCGCTCGCAATGCCTGGTAAGATTGATCGGATTGGTATTTCCTTTCTCAGGGCATTTTCGATGGCGCGCACAGCAGGGAAGGACAATCTGGCGTCCGATTTCATGCGCTTCGTGAACACGTCGGGCCATTCGTGGCCGCTGGAGAATCGCAAGCCGACGCCGCTGATGCCGCCAAGTACCGTGGTGAAAGCTCAGGTGCTGCCGCCTTTCTCTGCTCACGAAATTTGCGATGAATGGGAGGTTCTAGATGGATGCGTTGATGCGGAATGACTGGCCTGAGGAAGACAGTGGGATCAAGACGGCTTTCGATTTCGCGATGAGGCCATTGCCTTATCAATACGACGAAATTCCGGATGACAAGGTAGAGTTCGTGCTGTCTATGACAAGTTCTCAAAATTCTTTCCAGCCAAGAGCTAGAGCTTGGGATGCCTCAGCAAGGGTACTGACTTGTCAAGAGTTTATAGAGTCTTTCAAGTACTCCAGCTATGTCACAATGGTGAATTGCCTCGACTGGAAGGTAAAATCCTTTTATTATGTCGTTTATAATTCTTTACTTCTGTGGAACTTGAATGTCAGGTGCTTTCTCCTATGGTGTTTCGAGGTGAGAGAAGAGCTGTTCAAGCTATTGAAGTGAGATTCAAGACAACATCCGGAGAGACAAGGACAGCGGCATTCACGTTTTCTCTGCAACGAGTAATGCTCTTTGGATTGATGTCTCATTTCTTAACAAATGAATATAACCATCGCAGGTCGTCAATGGTCCTTATAAAGACTGCTGGATGGTAGCCGGTGCTCGACTAGGAGACTACGCATGAATTTGTACATACCTTCACAAAACGGGATCGTCCTTAGGAAAGAACGTCACGGCTCTAGACCTTGGCCCTCGTCTTCCACTCAGTAATCAGCTTATTCAAAGCATGGTGGGGCGTGAGTTGCTTGTGCTCCAGCCTCAGATTTGTCAAAGGTGATGTATCGTGAGCTTGAAACCACTGCCTAATCGCTTCGTACTCGTATGTGTATCCATCAGCGGCCACCACAGGCTCCTGCATTACTTCCTGCCAAGAATACAAAACGGAAATATCAGCAGACGATCCGGGAAAGAAAGCAAGCTTTACCCGAAAAATGGGACACAGGAAGATGGACGGTGGCACGGCTTTCGGATCCCCGGCGAGAGCTCTGTTGGTGGCATGTATCGCAGCACAATTCTCGGCATAGTTCCTGGCACCATCCAGCATCGGAAGAACAGTCTCGAGCATCGGTCTTTGCCGCCGCCTCATCTCAGCACACTGCAGAGCCAAGCAGGCAACTTCTTCGGCTTTTCCAACCGGCCAATCTCCAGCACTCGGGTCCAGGACACTGCTAAAGTTCCCACACTCTATAGCTTCTTCAACGATGGCATGAACTCCAACAGGTCCCCTTCCCGTTAGCAGCTGGAGGATAACAATTCCAAGCGCGTAGACATCCGACTTTGGACCGAACAGCCCGGTTCTCTGGTACTCCGGGTCGATATAAGCGAAGGTTCCGACAGGTGTGGTGTCCCTGAAGTACGTACTGTTGATTGCGGCCAGTCTTTCTGGAACCAGCTTTGCGAGACCGACGTCGCCAACTTTGCTCACGTTGTTATGGTCGAGAAGAATGTTTGCTGGCTTCAGGTCCCTGTGAACTACTGGCTCTGGTCCGAGGTTGTGAAGGAAGTACAACGCTGATGCTACCTCGGCTGCTATTCGAAACCTCGCATACCACGGCAGTGGGGGAGTTCCGTTCTTACAGAAGAGCATGTCATCCAGACTCCCGTTTGCCATGAACTCGTAGACGAGACAGCCTCTGTGGGAGCAGCAACCGAGCAGAACCACCATGTGTGGATGTTGAATCCTCCCCAGCAGCTCCACCTCGTGCTGGAATTCCTGCGTCCTTTGGAAGCCTTCCTTCTTCAACACTTTGATGGCTACGTCTCTGCCATGGAGCTTTCCTTTGAAGACGAGGCCGTAGCCTCCTTCTCCCAGTTTGAGATCCAAAGAAAAGTTCTTGGTGGCTGCCTCGAGTTCGGCGTACTCGTACTCCTTGAACGTCCTTTGAGACAGCAGCGACAGTTCTTGGAGGGATTTCCTCCGTGTTCGCGGAGCTGGCATGGAAGGTCCTTCAAGGGAGTCATCCTCTCGGTCGGCAGTGCTGGAGCTATCAACTTCGAGCTTCGCCATGTCCCTGGACATCGTTTCTTTTTCTTCGACATCAAGAGCGGCCTTCGAGGTAACTGTGACTTTATCATGTAATGGCCTGTAATCTTCCGTTCCAGATGATTCGATACCAGAACTGCACGAGCTCTCGGACCTGCCAAGCTTTGTTAAAGCTCCCCCATTCACCACCGACTTGGGACCGGAACTGGAAGAACTCCTACTCCCAGACTTGCTGCTTCCTCCCAACTTGTGGCTGATCAGCGCCATCCTTCCACTAGCAGCACCGTCACCGAGCTCCACAATCTCAATCTCTTCCGAGGACGCGCCTGTTCGATCACGAAACGGAGAAGCAAAGACCCGGGCGCCACTTATCTCGTCGAGCGGAGCATTCTCCGGAGGAGGACTGGACGCTAGAACAGCTTGCTGCCGGGTGGTGGGGGATCCGGAGGAGAGAAAGCGCGAGAGGAAGCCGACGTTCCACATCTGTCCAAGGCCTTCTGGCAAACCATGCAAACGGGCAGGCGGATGAGAGTCCAAGTCTGCTAGATCCAAAGACACGTTTCTCGCTCTACGCTTCCGCAAGAACGAAGGCAAAACGCTACCTTGGGAGGACGAGCTCGACGATCGCTCCGAGTCGGAGGTTCGCGAAGAGGCGGACGAGATCGACCGGGAATCGTCCAGAGCTTTGATCGGGAGGAGCTTGTCCTTGGCGATCACACAGACGGAGCAAAAGCTTGGCGCTCGAGCGGCGACGTATTCTCCGGTTCCTGGGCCAGAGAGCTTCCTGGAGGAGGAGAAGAAGAACACGATCCTGTAAGTTTTGCGAAGGTTTGTTCTACATTTTTTTTACCGTGTGAGGCCAGTGCGTCCAGCGCTTCCTAGAACAAGCTTTTGGATTTCCAGTGCATGGATGGACTTCAAAAGGCCCTTTTGGACGGAATCATTCTCGACTTGGACGTAGTTTGGTTTGATCTGGAACAAGAACGTAAAAATCCAAGCTTGCATGCAAACGAATTTGGGAAGAACAAAAAGGAAAAAAAAACCTGATGAGCGTCGCACAAGCTCTTGAAAACCTCCACAAATGCATTAATCTTGTCCTGCACTGTCTTGGCGTATTGAGCTACTTTCTCCGGCGATAGCTGCGCAACAGCGAGATTGCCCACTACAAACAAGACAACACACCTCCATAAAACTCGGGGGCAAAAAAAAAGTGGCCACTGTGCGTCCAAACTTGCCTGGAGTTGGAACATATCGGATTGGATGCTGGACGTGCACAAGATATATCTCATCTCCGGCACTCACGGCGTTGTCGAAAGCCCATCTCAGAGCTCCAATGCTGCGCTTGCTGCTCTTGATCCCCACTGCTACTTTTAATCCTCCTCCTCCTCCTCCATCATCCATGGCCTAGCTTAATCTTCCTCAAACTCTATGCCCAAAAGCCCAATTGCGGATTCCCTACACCCCCGCGCCATTGCGACGGCTCATCAATCCAAAAGCTGCTAGACTTCCAAGCGGCGAATCTAAGAGCCATTGGCCGGCGGCGGCGCCGCTACTACTACGCAGGAAGGCGGATTGCTACGATCCTGATTTGGTAGAGCGGCCTCTCTCCCTTCCAACATGACAAAAACTGGCGTGCTTCGGCGAAACTTGCGACGCAGACCGAGTTACTGGATCCCTCAGAATCGGGCGGCAGAGGACAGGCCACTTGGCAAGTTTGGAAAAGCCACGCGGTCAAACACGTCATTAAATACACTCTGCTGAGTCACTCATTGGACAGGTCTATTTTTACTTTCAAAATTCCCCTCTACTATATTTGCTAACTATAAAATAACATTTGATAAGGTGGAGGATATCTTTGATATCCTCTATAACAATTGTCCATGTTACCAAATCCCCTGCCATGATGCTACAATCTCCAAGTAACACACATCTGACTAGGGTTTAAGAATATTTAGAAATATTCTTTTTGTGTTAGGGTAGGTTAAGTATTGTTTATTAATCTTTTTCCTGTTTCCCTTTTGTCTTTTTAAAGATTTAAACAACATTTTAATTTTAGTCGAAAGCAATAAGCGATCCAAACAGGAAGTGTTGCATAATGGGAACCTTGTCCAGCACCTCCGCCCTGTACATCTTGAGCATCCCACTGTGAACCTTAGCCCAGCTCGCCACCCCGCTGATATCATCGATCATGGGCGAGTGCTCCGCCAGGGGGCCCTTCTTCACCTGCTTGACAAACCTCACGCAGCCCAGGTACAAGAACTCGCCCGAGAAGTTGTCCAGGATGTCCTGGTTGTGGATCGACTTGGGCCTCATGTGCTTGTGATTGACGAGCTGCGCGGCGCCAAAGATGAACGGCAAGAAGTGGTAGTCGTCCAGCCCCCACACCCCGTGCGATCCCGCCGGCTCCATCCAGTACGTGGTCTGGAGCTTCCTCATGAGATCCAGGTAGCGCACGAACACGCGCGAGACGAGCGCCTGGTAGTCCTCGCGCGAGAACACTCCGATCTTCGCCAGGCACAGCAGGAAGGCCGCGAAATTCGCCTCGTGCCCGGTGCCATAGTCGATCCTCGTCGCGTTCCCGAAGCTATCCTCCAGATACGGGAAGAGCTCCTGGATCACTGGAGCCATCCCGCTGCTGGAGCCCCCTCCTCTCCCCTGTTCTAGCAATTCCGGAGGGATCAGCGATGCGATCAAGCCCGGGCTTTCCTGCTCGAGCCGCGCGTGCCACTCCCTGTATGCCGGATTGCCATACCTCACCGCCTGGGTCGCGGGCGGGATGTCGTCCACCCAGCGGCTCATCGTGCCCAAAATCTCCACCAGCGCCGCCGTCGCGGGGGATTCTACGCACGGATCCGAGAGCTTGTGGCCGATGATCGCCTCGCTGAGCGCCACCACGAACCCTAGGAACTCGCGCCCCGCCGGCGAAGCGTGGAGCTTCTCCAGGTCCGCCGGAGACGTGATGCGCTTCCTGGGGCGCTGGAATGCGTGGGGAAGAGGGATTCGCTCGATGGCGCAGGATTTGGGCACCGGCGCGATCGATGCCGGGGTCATCCGGGGACCCAACATCGAGGGTGGCGGCTGCTGCTGCGGCCATGGCGGCGTGCCGCCATACCATCCATCGCCCATCGCCCCCGACTCCACTTGCCCTAAAATGCGATCAAGGAGAAGAAATGTGGCAAAATCGAAGCCGCTAGATTTCGCGCTTCATTTCTTTACAAAAGAGGAGAGAGAGAGAGAGAGAGAGAGAGAGAGAGAGAGCTCCTGTATTTAACTCTCTTCGAGGAAGAGTGGCTCTTGGAATTTCTTGAGTGCATCGATGATGCTGGCGAACGAAGGTCGTAGTTCTGGATCGCTGGAACAAAAAACGTAGTGAAGAGAAGAAAGTTTCGAGAAAACAGCGAGAAAGAGAGCTTACTTTGCCCAGCAAGACTCGATCAGAGCTCGCATCTTGGGGTTCACATTACTGGGGATTTGTAGCCTCCGGCCATTAAACGCTACGGCCGCTACTACCTGAAAAGAGATAGCTCGTCTTGATCAAAGAAAGAAAAGAGACAATTTTTTTTATCTACAACACATACCTGCATAGCAGTGAGTCCTGTCCAAGGCTTTTGTAGAGTTACAAGCTCCCATAGAACAACACCAAAGCTGTACACGTCGGACTTCTCCTTGGAAGGCTCGTCACGAAGCACTTCCGGGGCCATCCATTCTGGCTGGTGATTCCACAAAAAAGGAGAAACATATCAGTGGCGCCAGCGAACACAAGCTTTTACCGTGCCAGCGCCAGTCTGAGATGACAGAAACGTTTTAGACTTGAATCTTGAAAGACCAAAATCGCACACCTGGAGTTCCATACCGAAACGTCAATACTCTCGCGATACTTCAGCCATCACTAACCTTCACTGTTAGATATTTGTCCACAAGAAGGTTGGGTGACTTCAAATCACGATGGACAATCGCAGGCTTGCTTCTGTGAAGATAATTTACACCTCTAGCCTGAACAGAACATGGATTGATACACGACAATCATTACTTTTGCCATACCACATCAAGTGCCATGCGCAGCCGCCTCTTTTCGTCCAAGATTTCCCTTGCCTTCGGAGTATGCAGTAGTCGAAATAGCGCGCCCCTGTATCGTGACATTATAAGGACCAGATAATTCCAGTTGCACCACCCACCTGGGGAGATACTCAGTGACAATCGAAAGATGTGGAGATTTCGTCACGGCACCCATAAAGAGAACAATATTCGGATGGCGTAGCCTTCGTAAGATGACAATCTGTAAAGTTTGGTTACTGGAAGGGTGTCCCAAAGAGATAAAAAATGCTCACCTCCCTAGTCAGCTCTGACAGCAATTCTTGCGTTGCATCTTGATCTAGCAGGATCTTAACAGCGACATCCTATAACAACCATAGTTCAGCTAACAATCCAATGGGATAGAAATTTTTGTACCGTTCCTTGCCAATCTGCCAAGTGCACAGTGCCAAAGGACCCTGAAGGAAAAGGAGCATGTCAGTTCCATCAACATAATGTAAATGGTTACCTCCGCCTAGTCGTTCTTTCAAAACAAGTTCTTCCCAGGGTATCTCCCACTCGCTGAAAGTGTCAGTTCGGCTAAAGGATTCAGCGTGTTGCGAAGGCAAGGTACCATGCTGATTACGATCCAGGAAATGCAAATCGCCATTACTATTTTTGTTGCTACTTCCGGTGGAACTGCTATTATACAGATGAGACTGGTCCGCTGAACATGCCACTTTCCCATCTGTTATAACATGCCTGAGAATAACGTTTTTCATTTTGCGTATTACCTCGATTATCAGATATCTGAGATGCTTCGAAGTCTGAAGCCATATTCCAAGTTCGATCATCGTCAGTTAGAGTCGAGGATCTAAAATCGGGAAGCCGTAACGGTGACGTCACTGGTATCGAGTAAGAATTGAGAAACGAAGACCATTCATGTAGCTCTCCAGGAGAACCAATCAAGTCGACAAAATACTCCCTGTATGTACACGCAACGTCAAAAATATGTGAATCGGAAGACTTCTTAACCTTTCTGTGCCACAAAGCACCAGACAAGACGCTCCTTTGTCCAGACCGCAGTACTTACAGCCACGAGCAATTCGACAAGGTAGGCCTATGCTATCTGCCAAAAACTGAAAGAGCAAAGATTTCCAGAAGAGAAAAAAAAAGAACTTCTAGAGCAATAACCTTGTAGAGAAGGGCACGGTGCCAGCAAAGTCCAATCCGGACAGTGCCAATGGGAATGACGGCACTATGCAAGGCATCCTTAAGCTTTCTACTCCTCGTTATCCAGTGAGAGATAAGTTCTCCTTCGCCATTTGATGCTTTGCCACTGCAAAAACAATCACTTTCGTTGCGCTGAATGTTTGAAAACTAATCCTTACCCCATGACGTTACTCACAAACTTCCCAAGGCGTTCCGGCAGCTCGGAAGCATTGCTGCATTCATAGCCAATTGCGACAGCGGCCTTCTCATGTTCGCACAGAGAAGAGTCGCAGCTTCTATCGATGTAAACAGCTTCCAACGAAACCTGAGAAATGTCGACTGCACGAAGAGCGTCCAGAGTTGGCATCCGCCCTTTGTCATCCACATCAGTGCACATCGCCCACACGTATGGATCTATTCCATGCACATAGTAGAAACCATCGTCGATCCTATCGCTATATCCCAGACTTCCGTGAACCTGAGTCAAGCGAAGGACTATAAGAATCACATCACTTAAAGTTCGAGAGAAGCTTACCCAGAATCTATGGCTCGTGAAGACGGCGGGATTTGGAGGAACCACACGAACTTGAGTTGAGAATGGAATCTCCTCTACATCAGCCATCATCCGAAGCACTAGCGCCATTTGTAAGTTATAGCCCGTTTCTGCCTGCTGCATCCAGCTTCCACACGGTTCTCCAGCTTTCTCCAGCGATATACAATCGTTTGAGTCGAGTGTCCGGGGCGGAGATAGCGTGAGTGGTGGAAAGTCAGTCGAGCGAAGACTCTCTGTGAAGCTCCCTCCACTCGACTGTCGAGGAAGTGGAAGTATCCTTCCCCCATCATGCTGCTGGCTTGAATCACTGATCAAAGTTCCTCCTCTATCAGCTGATGATCTATTGGTAGCTCCAATGGAGATGGCGATTTCTTGGAATCTCCTAGTCCAGGAGGCATGATCTTCTACACTGACTCGCCCGCTCTCAACAGCACCTAAAAGGGGAGCTCGTTCGACTACGTCGTCGCTAATCTCTGCCTTGCCAAGAATCCCGACGCCAAAGCGGCCACTGCCATCATTGCCGGCTTCAAATCTGCGGAAGGATCCCAGCATACTGAGAATCGATGCCGCTGCTCAAGCGGAGCCGCATCGTTGCATACCCCTTCCGGATTGGATTTCTCGTCTGGAATGCGCTGTTCTAGCGGCAGATTCGCGTCGGATAGCTACTCACCGGCTATTGAGAATGCGGGCGCTGGATGAGGCGCTTGACACCGATGTCGCCGCTCTCCAAGCCGCGGAGCGCCAAGAAGAACCCTAGGCGAGCTCGAGGAGCCCTAATTTGGTGTGGAGGCACAGGCCACGACAGTACATGCATCTCTCCCGGTCTAGCCTCAGACAATTGTTTTTGCGACAAGTTGACGGGCCCGACGGGAAGAAACGTGCAAAACGCTGACGTGCTGAGCTGGATATCCGTTTAGGGCCACGTCAGCATTCCACGCAGCTTTCCAGTTCAGCTCGACTTAAATGACGGACAGGATTGACGTGCTGAGCTGGAAAATTCTTTTGAAAATTTCTCACGAGTGACGCCCTAGCTGGGGAGGGCGGAGGAGCAGCGAGCATGCGCGGATTCGCCAGTAACAGGAGGGCTCTCAGGGTTGCCGTTCCCAGGCAGGACACAAACATCTCGGATTTCCTGTAAGTTCTTCCTGGCGAGAGAGGCTAGATCGAGAGAGATTCGAGTTCTTCGGGTTTCTCTAAGTCTTGGATTTGCTGCGGTAGGACCGCGAGTGGCACATTTCAAGATGGGGACATTCTCCTCAACCGGGATGGTTTGCGAGTTGTCACTCAGGAGCCCACGACCAGCGTAAGCCACACTTGAAACAAAAGAGAAAACTCGAGCTAAAGCTTGCAATGAACCCTCCTCTTCTTTTTATTTTTTTCCTTTCGGTTTTTCTGCTGTAACCACAGCCTGTGGATGGCCAAATTGCTCTCACAGACTTGGAAGCTGTCAAGGTGATTGGAAAAGGCAGCAGTGGAGTTGTGCAGCTTGTTCGTCACAAATGGACTGGACAAGTCTTCGCACTAAAGGTACTCGCGAGTCCTTTTAGGAGTTCTTTGCTCATAGTTTTTGAAGTTTCAGGCGATCCAAATGAACATCCAAGAGACTATGCGAAAACAAATCGTTCAGGAGATTAAGATCAACCAGTCCTCGCAATGCCCCTACGTTGTAGTTTGCTACGAGGCCTTCTACAACAACGGAGTCATTTCCATTGTTTTCGAGTACATGGACGGAGGCTCGCTTCTGGATGTGATCAAAGAAGTGAATGCTCTTCCCGAGCCGTATTTGGCAGCCATTTGCAAGCAGGTAACTCGAAATACTTTGATCTCCGAGCTTCAAACTTTTCTCTTTTTTTGTTTCAGGTGCTCAAGGGTCTGGTGTATTTGCACCTTGACCGTCGTATCATCCACAGGGATATCAAGCCATCAAACCTTCTCGTGAATCACAAAGGCGAGGTGAAGATCACAGACTTCGGTGTAAGTGCCGTCTTGGCAAACTCCATGGGACAACGAGACACTTTCGTTGGAACATACACCTACATGTCGGTAAGTTTCAAGTTTTCTTTCTTTGTTTCTCGAGAGACAGAAACTCATCGCTTGAATCTTCGAGCAGCCTGAGAGGATCAGTGGGGGCGCTTATGGCTTCGAGAGCGATATTTGGAGCTTGGGCTTGACGCTGCTGGAATGCGCGACTGGACGGTTCCCATACTTGCCTCCGGGCCAGGAGAATGGATACTTGAACTTCTACGAGCTGCTCGAGACGATTGTGGAGCAACCAGCACCCGTTGCGTCGCCAGAGATGTTCTCGGCCGAGTTTTGCTCGCTCATATCTGCGTGGTATGTCTTGAAAACCTCCAATTTTTTTTTCCAGTTGGATGTTTTGGAGCTTAGATTCTCTTCGATGAATTTTCGCAGCATCCAGAAGGAACCGAAGGATCGAATGACCGCTGCCGAGTTGCTGGTAAAAATTTTCCGATCGCTCTTCTCGAGATCTAACATTTTATTCTGATGGTTTGTAGAAGCATCCGTTCATCCAAAAATACGAGAACGAGGACATCAACTTGGCTGTGCTGGTTCCCAGGCTGCCGCCCGGTGCTTAAATGTCGGCGTTACAAAAAAGAGTATAAAAGTATTTGTATTATTATTATTCCACCTCAGCGAATAATGACCTGACATGGCGCCCAGGTGGCCTCCACGCGACTTCCCCTGACAGCATGTCATAGGCCCCGCTAGAAACATCTGGCTTGCATTGGTCACCTTCGTTTCTTCATTTGTTGTTCGTGGCCCTTGTAGGGTTTCCACTGGTGCCTGGGACGCCCGGAGCGGCGGGATCGATGCGCTCCCCCAGCGCTTGCGAGTGAATCGGCTCTGGCCGGGTGCTAGAGATCGCGCGCCACGCTCTCACAGCCGGGATTGGGGTTTGGGAATTTCGGGTCTCGCGTCTGTCACGGGCGCTATTTCCATGGATCCAGCGTGAAATCTCCGGCGCCGGGCACCGCATTCTTCCAATGCACGTCCATCGGTGAGAGAAATCCTCCCCTCTCTGGTATTTGTCAGTTATATTTTCGTTGGATTTGCCACTTCCAGGTCTTGATTCGCGGCGAGCGAGTGAGCGAGCGACGGTGATGCAAAGGATGCGGCAAAATTCCATGTCGGGGCGATGGAGGAGCGCCGAGGAAGCTCAGGCGGACCGGAGAGCCTTAGCTACCAGGTTGGGGCTTTCAGAATTCTCGTCCTTGGCAGGCTCGCGCTCCAATCCAGACGGTGCTTTCGACACGGACATACCGGGTCTGTCGTTACTCCCGGCCCCTCCAAGCATGGATCATTTACCATTTAATAGTGGGTCGGGAAGATCATCGTTCGCCACTGGCACACGGATAGGAGGGGGATGCGTCAGCCATAGCCGGGGTGGTCCTCGAGGGGCGAGCCAAGTAATCCACCGGAGTAGTGGGAATTTGGAGATGTCGGCATCGGGGCCCTGTGGTGTTACGGATGGAGATATCGACATCTTCCACGACTGTATGAACTTGGAAGAGAACGCCACCTTCTCCAACATGTTTGACGATCTCGACTTGGAGGGATCGGAGGTTGGTCCGGGCAGGGATGAGGCAGCATCGTCGGGGGCATTTGCTCAGCCGGATGCGGTCGCCGCTACCATGCAGATGGGAGCTCCAAGTTACAATCCGGCCACCGTAACAGGTAATAGTTCTTCTAGAGGTTCCTCGTGCAAACGAAAGAGTTGCAACATCCCGTCGGCTTCTGGCTTCCAGGACGGCTTGAGCATGAGGCACATCCAGGATGGTGTTGGGGCTGGTCACCAGGGTGTGGATCTCTCGCAGAGGCCAGCGTTTATGCTACCGCCTCCATCGGGTGGTGCATCTTCGTCGAGGTCTGCAGCACTCATGGAAGGCCCCCGGCCTCAGAAAACAAGGCTCTCATCCGATGCTCTGGACTCGACTCTGGGGGCCTCGCTGTTCACGAGTTCCAGGATGCCAGATTTTGCGGGGCTCAGTGGCACGAGTGGCAACGCTGGCAGCATCAGCATGCACCCCTCACAAGTGTATCCAAGAGCTGTTCGGAGGACGTTTCCTCCTGGCCCTGACTCGTTTCGTATCAGGAGGAATGCGCTGCTCGACTACTCGCCGGGTCCAGATGGAGCTCCAAGTCACGGTCATCTGACATTTTCGGGTGGATCTAACCCACGGGATCCCGGTGCCGCGATGGCTTTCTCGGGAGGTAGCAGAGCAGCAAGGCTTCACGGTGGAAGTTCTAGCATTGGTGGACAGGGTCTGTCGAGAAGGATTGCCAGAGTAAGCTCCGGCAGAAGCATGACTGCCAGTGCTTCTCCAAGGGAACAGGCGGAGAGCAGGATCAGAAGTGTCAGCATGGCATGCTTAGAGAATGGTACGTTCACAACTGGGAGCAACCGTGGTCCTGCCATTCGACGTGGAGTTGCAAACTATCTGCCTACACTGGGCGCACGGCACCCTCCTATAAGTGACGCAAGGCAGTTGCACGGTTACAATGGGCGTGCGGCGTTTTTCACTCACGGACGAACCATGTCTCCACCACAGGTTCCGAGTTCGCTCATGGAAGCACCAGAAATGAGACCCCCACCTCCGTTTGAAAGCTCACAGACATTTAGACACCCAGCGTTAGCCGTGGGAAGAAGGGACCTTTCGGCTCTCAGTGAAGGCTTCATGGCTATACCGTCACAGGAGCTCGAGTGGGATCACCATCGTCCCCGCCTAATGGCCGGGGGATTAGCTGAGGTTCGTTCGCGACTTCCTTTCTTTTGATGATTCCTTCTCTCTTTTTTTCTTTTCCAGATATTGCAAGCGTTGGAGCGCGTAGAAAGGGACGAAGATCTTACACGCGAGGTCCGTGCTTACAAGTTTTGGAGCATTTTTTGTTTAGCTAACGAGATTATATTGTGCAGCAATTGATAATGCTGGAAGCTACGACTTTCCTGTTTGGGGGCATTGGCCTCCACGACGACCACAGTGACTGGAGGCTGGATATTGACAACATGTCATATGAGGTAACTGTTTTAAACATGGAGGCATTTAGCATTGTGCTGTTACAGGAACTACTCGCTCTGGGCGATCGAATTGGAACCGTCTCGACTGGTTTATCCGAGGACACGATAGTCCAGCAGCTGAAGAGAACGAAGTATGCGGCTGCTTTAGCTCGGAGCTCGGAGGACAGTGATGTAAAGTGCTGTGTTTGTCAGGTACTTTCCCTTTTTGTTTTTGCGATTTCTGATCTTGCCTCGCTTGATCTACCAGGAAGAATTCGAGGAAGGAGTCGAGTTGGGGACTATCAATTGCGGGCACAACTATCATATGGACTGCATCCGCCAGTGGCTAGTTCGGAAGAACTCGTGTCCAATCTGCAAAGCCACGGCGCTTCCTCAAATCTCGGAACCTGGAAGCCCAAAGTTACAGGAATCTTCTTCGTAAGACTAGAAAGGTCAGCCTTCATATTTGGATTTGAGCGCATCAGCGCCATAGGAAGAAAGAAAGGTCCCTTACACATTTGCTACTTCGATCGATGATCATATGATAAGAAACAAGGATAAAGAGAAAAGGAAAAACAACAGGTTTCAGCTCACTGTAGCTGGGTCAAAATGGTGCAATCGAACGTAACCATCTTTACCGTCGCTAGAAAAACTGCGAAATAAAGAGTAAAATTAAGCAAAAAGAGAAGAAAAATTAAAAAATTACCATTTCTGGCTCAAAACTTCCATCTCACTGTAACTTGTAGTAATCCGGGTCAAAATGGTGCAATCGAACGTAACCATCTTCACCACCGCTAGAAAAACTGCAAAATAAAGAGTAAAATCAAGCAAAACAAGGTGAAAAAGGAGGTTACCTTCTTCCATCCGGGTTGAATGCGAGCGCGTTGATGGGACCGAAATGCCCTCTCACACCACCGATCTCGTCGCAAAAGATCTACGAAGAGAAGAGAACTAAACTTTAGAAAACCACTTGGAGTGTTTACCTTGTGGAAAAACTTGGCCTCGAATTTTCCGGCCCGTCGGTCACTGGTTGTCACCTGGGATGCTTCTTGTCCACCTCCAACGACAACCTTTCGTAAATTTATCAGCGGTCATGGAAAAGTAGAAGCTCTGCTCGCACTTACATGGTTCATGAGCGGAGAAATGGCGACAGCGTTCACTGGCCTCTCAGTGGAATAAGTCTTGAGCAAAGTGAGAGTCCTGGTATCCCATAGCTGCACAAAACAAAGTGAGTTCTTTGAGGACAGCACTGGGTGACCACCTTCGCGGTTTTGTCTTGAGAGCCAGTTATGAAATGGGAGCCATCCGCAGAGAGCGAGAGTGAAGTGATGGCACGAGAATGTCCATTCTCCTTGTCGGTTTTCTTGATCACCTCGCCAGTCTAGAAAGGAAAACGAAGAGGAACAAAGGTGCTTGAGTCACATAGCTTCCATACCTCCACATCCCAGATACGTATCACTGTGTCCTCTCCAGCGCTGATGATCGTCTTGTTCAAAGGCCCCCACACGACTCTGTTGATTCGCCCGGTTGGCCCCGTGAAAGTTTTGATGGATCCCTCTGAGAAGTGCTATAAGTTATGGAAGCAAAACAAAGAAGAACGGAGAAAACGAAAGGAAAGCACTTACGCTGCAAGCCACTCGACTCTACGCTCTTGATGTGAATGGCTGACACAGACTCCATGAAGGGATCCGTGCTGATCACCGCGAGCTTGTCTCCCTCGGCGAAATCCACAGCCCTGGCAGGCGATACGAAATTAAAGGTGTGAAGCTGAGTCCCAGTTTCCACGTCCCAGAGCTTGACACTCTGGTCGGCGGAGCCAGTGATCAACCGAGTCGAATGCCCTGTTCCCAAAATTACGATTTTATCCCTCTAAATTCTGGATCACTTACTTGAGACATCGCAACACCACACAGCTCCATTGTGGCCTCTGTAAGTCCCGAGCCGCTCACCATTGTGGCCGTACCACACAGTGGGATTGTGATCCTTGGCGCACGAGAAGAGCAGATCCCCGTCCCTGTTATACTTGAGGAACGTGAGCGGGCGCTCGTGGCCCTTCATGAGAATCGGCCTCATCTTCGCGAGCGCGCAGAAACCCTAGAACGCGGCTCGCTAGAACCCTAAACTTACTACACTTTATTAGCAAACCTAGCCAAAAACCCTAAAAACAGAGCAAAGCTTTGTTAGGGCTAGGAGAATTTGCAGCTCTGGCGGAGGATGTGTAGCGATCGATCCACGAATCCGAAGCGCGTTTGCGCGAGGTCGAAGTAGAGGAGATTGTCGAACTGGTGGAACAGGCCGATGGAGGATGTGGCGGGTGGATCGCCGGCGCTTTGGATTGCGAGGCAGCCGATTGCGTTGCCGCGGAAGAATTCGATGACCCGGCTACCCACCAGGTTCCAGGGTATGTTGTTCCGGAAGATGAGCTGGATCGCAGGGAAAACAGGGCCAAGCCGGTTGAAATTCATGCCGCTCGCGTTGAAGCAAAGATCGAAGGGAAGATTTTGGGCTGGGACGATCGAAATGTTGAATGCCGTGGCGTATTTCTTGAAGGATTGCGCGATGGCGGCATAGACCGGGGTCGGGACTTTCGTGTACCTGTTCGTGGAGCTCAGGGTGAGGCCTCCAATGCCGGTCTTGGGATTTATGGAGAACAGGGATGGGTCTAGCTTGAGATCCGAGAAGTCGGTCTGGATCGTCCGGAGATCGAGGTAGTAGCGTGATGGAAACACAGGATTGCTGACGAATGGGACGAACGAGACTAAGCTCGAGATGTTGATCCCGCCGATGATGATACTGGAGTCATCTCCGAAGAACAGCGAAGATGGCGAGTCGGGAGAAAGGCACAGGGCGAATTTTCGAGGGACTGAGAAGGAGGAGGCGATCTGGAGCGGAAGAGCAAGGCTGTTCTTGCTCAAAGCTGCGACGCCCACAGACTTTCCGGCGGCGCAGCCGAAGATGGCGGTACCTTTGGCACCGGCAGGAGCCGTGAAGCCAGTCAGCGTCTCTTGGAACGCAGGAACGGATGTTTTCGGTGATATCGGCAGCAAGCACTTGTTTGTGGAGCAGTGGCCGGAGCATGCATTCGAAGAACAGGGAAGCGGGGAGAATGTAGATGACTTGCCTGGTTCGAAGGAAGAGTTCTTGCCGCAAGGGAGCCAGGATGTTTCGGCATTTAGATCGACTGCTAGCAGCTGCTTTTGCGGAGGGGTGCCAACGCTCAATGAGACTCGAGTTCCACCGGGATTGAGTCGTGCTACGATGGTGGCTCCTGAGCTTACCGCGATCAACGAGAGAAGCAGGAAGAGATGAACGAGCACCATCGCCAAGCAGCTCTCTGGGGATTTCGCTATCTCTCTCAGGAAATGCCAGAGGTATGGATAACGCCCTCACTTCTTTAATGGTTTTCCATCTTTGCTAATTATAAATGGTGTAGGTTATGGCTGACAGCGTGGGGGCACTGGTAATATTGACAGAGAAAAGGAAGGAACAGGGACCGGGCTTGCTGCAATGGGTGTTACGAAACTATCAGCTATGGCTCCATCAATTTGGAATTGTCATCCTTTACATTCGACCACCAATCCGCTCCATCAAAAGCGGCAGTAAGAAATCTTATTCCAGCTACTTAATCGCAATGTTTTTTTCCAGTTGGAGAAGTCCCGCTTGCAATGGCCAACCAAGGATTGGTGAAGTCGGCTCGTGAGGAAGAGCGCCGGCGGCTCCAAGAAACTGTGAAAAAGCTAGAGCATATTTGCCTCGAGAATAAGGTGAGAAATGCTGGCGAATGCTTAATTTAGCTGATTTTCTACTTTTTATTTTTTGATTTCCAGGTTCGAGTAAAAATCGTATCCATTGTGAGCTCTGAGGGCTCTTTAGGCAAGGTTATCGTCCAGCATGCTGTCCAGCTTCAAGCCCGAGCGTTGTTTATGATCGGACCCTCACAGAAGGGATTGAAATGGTACGCGATTTAGTTTTCGTAATGGTTTCTCTTATTGTTTTGTTTGTAGGAAGTTTTCCCGGCATTTTAGTACTTCAGGTTACGTTAAAAAGAACGTACCTCGCTGGTGCGCAGTGCACATTGTTTCACACTTCGGTAAGTTCTTGGTTATTTTCGTGTTGAATTCTTTAAAAATTGTGAGGAGTTTCAGGCGATATCGACGACAGTAGCAGCTGCAGTCCTCGCCTTAGCAAATCATCCTCACAGAGCAGCTTGTTTTCGATTAACCATTCCAAGCCTGTGGTTTGTTCTAACTATTTTCACCATATACTAATGTATTGTGGCCCAGGATGACGAACCTCAAGAAGACGACACAATTGTCGGTCTGGAGGACTGGCTAGACGGCAAGAGTGCAAACATTCTACGCTGGCGAGACATCACACAAATCGCCCTGGAGATCTCCAGTGCCGTGGCATCAAGCGCGTTAGAGCACGACGAGGTGACAGCGAGTAGCATTCTTCTCCGAGGTAAACATCTCCACAAGGTTCTAGCTTACGAGGGACACGAGATAGTCCAGCCCCTGGAGAAGACATCCAGGAACATATCCTCGTTTGGATTGCTCCTCCTCCAGCTGCTGGCGAGGCGGCCATCGCCGAGCAGCTTGGCCGAGAGGTTCCAGGACGCGCTGCGGCAGGACAAGCTGGAAGCTTTGCTCGATCCGGCCGCCGGCTGGCCGCTCAAAACCGCCAAAGAGATCGCGGTCCTGGCTCTCGAGTGCCGGAGAGCCGCCAAGGGCGATTCGAAGATCGAGGAGCTGCGAGCGCTACTGACGAGATCGCTCGGTGGTGACGAAGAAGACGACGACGAAGAAACAGTGATGAAGTTAGACTTGGATTTCTTCCGGCGCACGACGAGATTTTCGCGCAGCGAAGATGGTTTGTACGTAGACATGGATTTCAAGCTCGAAAAGTAAAAATGAAGAAAAGAAGAAACCATCCTTTTTATCATGTCTTGCTGCTAGAGATTTGCTGGAAGCTGGAATTAAATTTCTCGTGTATTTTATTAGGCCTAGATACTTGTCACTCATGCAAGCACTTGGATTTAGTTGACCACGAAAAACCACTAAGGCAAAATCGAGGGCGCAAAGGAAGCGGTCAGTGCGTGCCTTTGGTGGCCCACAGGAAGATAGAACACTACTTTTCAAGGAACGAATTTGGGGCGTGGCTCGATCGCTGGCTGAGGAGAAACTCGCTGGATCGCATCGATCTATCGAAAGGATTCCTGGACTCCCCCAGCAGCCGAAAGAATTCATCCGTCCACAGGTTTGGGTGTTTGATCGGCCGGGAGAATCACTCCATGGGCTCGAGAATTGGGTCGTGGATCGTGGCGCCGCGGCGTGATTCCAACACCGCGGCCCGGGATTCGAGCGAATCGGGTGATCGCGGTCGCAAATGCAGGGGCGATTAGAGGTTTGATTCTTGGCAGGGGATCTTCGAGAGAAGGGGAAGTGTGGGTTTCTGGAGGCCTGGCTTCCAGTGCTAATGGGTGCTCGTGGCTGCTCTGCAAGTGCTGGGCGATTAGTGAGGACGAAGAGGAGGACGAGCTCATGGCCGAGACTATGGCGACGGATCCTTGCGCCTCGCCAAAGATCCTAATCAATGGCTGCAGCCCCCCTCTCAAGAGCTGCATGAAGCAAGCACAGCAAAATCACGGGCTACAGGAGCCTCTTCTCGGCGAAGAACACGAAAGTCGCCGCGATTCTTCCGAGGGGCGCTGTGGATTGGGGGAAGAAGATCGAGAGCCTGGTAGCGCGGAAGATAACGGAGAAGCTAAGGTAGAAGTAAGAGACGATATGGATGAAGAACAGGAAGAACAGCGCGAGAACAAGGAAGAACACTGCAAGAACAAGAAGAACGTCCAATGGAGCGAAGAGATCGCGGTGGTTAGAGAATACGAAGAGAGGTACGTCCATCAGATCCAGCCACTGTAGAAAAAAACGATTTTTTCTTAGTGGACACTAGAGTTTCTTACGATGGATTTTTGTGGTTCTCGCAGCGATCGAGAGGACGATGGTTGTGTTCGCGGCAGAGAATGCAAATGCGCGATACAATGAAGGAGAGGAGAAAAGAAATTCTTGCCTTTCGCTTGTACAGTGTAAATTTGAGAAGATGGAAGTTCTTAAGCATTGTTGATGGTGTATATAAGTTTTTAGGTCCACTGGGAGGGAGGGAATGGCGTCGAGGCGCCAAGAGCAGCGCGATCGATCGGCGGCCTCTCCCTCGGCGGCAGCGGTAGGCCACATTGATTTGCTGCGTGAATCCATCGATTTGATCATTCCATCCAGTCTCCAAGGGGTTCTTCTTCTGCGATCCCGACCGCGCCATCGTCGCTGAGAGCTAGATCATCCACCGCATCATCCTCCAGGTCGCCGGCATTCGATTTTCGTGGCATGAGAGATTCTGCTCGCGAAATCATCTCGCGCGGGTGAGGTCGCGGTCTTGTTTCTCGGATCTCCTCCTTTGCAGTTCTTCTAAAAGATTGTCGCTTATTTTCAGGCAAAGATTGCCTGCGAGGAAGGGAGAAACCGGATCGATCGCAAGGCTTCCACAGGACCTTCTTTGCAAGTGTTTCTTAAAGCTCGATTCAATCTTCCAGATCATAAACTGCGCATTGGTTTGTAAGGTCTGGAGGGATGCTTGTTCGCTCGATGTGGTAAGAAGCTTCTCTTTTTTTTTCCAGGCTAGCTTTAGACTTTGTTTCTGTGATCAGATTTGGAGGAGTATGTATTTAAGGTGGCATGGTGATTATAGACTCGATATCTCTCGACAGCAATCTCCTTTTCCACCATCTGGATTTGGGACCTGGCGAGAGAGCTTCATCAGAGATTTTCCTCGAGGAGTTAGCTGTTCTGAGCGTTTGTGATTGGTTTCGCTAATGGTTTTGCTTGTTTCCAGCGAGTGAGGCTACTTGAGAGGACTATCAAACAATCCTTGGACGCTGGATTTCTTCAAGCTCTGGACGAAGTCCCGCACGGTACGATGCATTTGTCATGTTCTCGCTTTTCTCATCGTATTGGTGCTGTCTACAGTCTTAAACTTTACGCCTGGAAAGAGTATCCAAACGCTAGCGCAAGAACTTCAGCTCACTTTTTATTTGCGAATCAACAACGGGCAACGAATTCGATTGACAAGTGAGTCCCTTTCTTTCATTGTTCTTTTTTTTTTTTTTTTTTGGCCTTGCCGCTTATCGTTTCTTTCTCCGGTTGGGCTCTTGTTTCCAGGAAAGCAGGCTGTCTGGTTCCCAGCTTCCACTGTCCTTCATTGTCCATTCAAATATTTGAAACGTGGGATGAAGCTCTTCTCCCTTGCTTCGTTAGAGGTGCACATATCTTTGGAAATTGTTTTTTTCTGTTTTTTTTGTTTTTCTTTGGTTCTCCTAACGACGCTCAGGTTATCGTTTCGAGTGACACGCTTTCTCAATGTTGTCAAGTGGCTGCTATTGTATCCACACTGTGGCTTTGGCCGTGCTGCACTTCTGTTCGTTGTTCCTTGACAGCACTAATTTTATAGATGACAAAGAAGCCATCGCTTTGGGAAAGTGATTATTCTGCACCACCACTTAGGCTTGCAATGCTTTCTTCTAAAGATGTCGCTGGTGCAATGAATCTTATTGTGGGAACATTATTTGAGCAGGACAATACCGATGGAAATGAAGAGGTAAAGCGATTCTTCCCCTCTATTCATGATTAAGATTGTTCTAACAGGTACTATTTATCAAAGTTGGAATACATTTGGCACAAGTCATTTTCAAACTCTTCAAGTTCCGGATTGAAACCCAGCGAATGCGACCAAATCCAGAGCCTTCAATCAATTTTGGTAACGTCGTTGGGAACTTTGCGAAATGACTGATTCTTTGATTGCAAGGTTATCACGTCAGCGTACAATTACACACTTTCGATCATCTCATTTGGACACGAAACTTCCACGGGGTAACGCACTCGTGTTGTCTGGAGGATCCCGAAATCGTTCGAATCACCCGCTCGCAGGTTTTGTGGGATGAGCGCGAATCGATGGCACGGGAAAATGTCGTTCTACCGCTCATCTCATCAGTTGAGTGGAACTTTCTCTCTTTTCTTTCTCATGATATAATATGAGTGGTATCCAGTTCGAGGTAGTGCCAAAGAAACTGAGCTTGCCATGGCGTAGTGAAGCCTTTTCTGGAACACTTGAACACTCGGCTATGGCGGTCATAACTTCGTGGGACGTAAGAAGGGAAGCCTTCTGGCAAATTGTCAAGACGTTACACCTCAAGCTGGTCTCGGTTCCCTCCGTGGAGGTATTTAAGTTCGTTCTAAGTTACGTGTTTTTCTAAAAGTGATGCTCTGTAGTATGTGGAGCCAGGATTCGAGGGACCACAGTTCGAGGCTACTGTGGAGGACAAATCCAAGGGATTGTCTGCCGCTATCAAATGCTCATTGCCACTCGAGAATTCGGTAGAGATGTTTGCTATCACCGATTTGAGGCTTTCACTGAGCAAGAAATTCGTGCGAGAATGGTTTGGGGTCAACATCTAGAAGCACACTTTCATCCAAGAGGAAGAACAGGAAAATCTTATTGCCAGAAGGAAGGAGGAGAGGAAATCTTCTATCGACGCGAGAGCTCACAGAGCCTGTCAGCTGACATCCACGTGGCAATGGCGCGTAACCGCTATTTGAAATTTTAGGGTTTATCAGCAGTGCTTATCCTAGGGTTTCTGAGCTGGGGCGGAGGAAATGGAGGAGACGCGCAAGAGCGCGAGGCTCTCTCGGATGCTCGAGGTGGCTTCCAAGACTATCTCTCAGCTCATGCAGAAGTAAGCGCCGGTCTTTCGTATGGAAATCTTGTCTAGATTTTGGAATTTGCTGCGCAGCGAAAGAGATCCAGAGGATGATCCAGATTTCCTAGCTCGGAATCCTCGATGGGAGGATCAGCTCCCTCCTATCCATGGCGTGAACAAACCAGACGATGGGCAAAAGCCTTCTACTGTCGCGTTGATTGCTGCTCTGGAAATTCTTCCACGCCCGCCAGTCTCTTCCATGCCCATGGAAAATTGGAAAAGAGCTTATAAAGCAGTCAGGCATATGCTGGTAAGCGCTACACATTTCCTTTCTTCTTCTCGGCTTAAGATTTTTCTTTCTTTTATCAGCTGCTGAGAAGGAAGGCAATGCGTAGCGCTGTAGGAACTGGAGCTCGAATCGAGGGTCGTGCCCTTGGGTTTTGGAGTCAATACAGCGCAACGCGTCTAAAGCTCTTCGTGCTTATCCATAACCAGTATGCAAGTAAACAAACTACCTTGTATTTGCTGATCCAGCTATGACAACCTTGTGCTACATTTGTTTCCAGGACAGCGGAATATATGCTGCTATTCCTCATCCTATCTCACCTTTTAGTGCTGATTTTCCAAGTAAAAGCTGGGAGCCGGGAACAACGATGGACCGATGTAAGGGATTTTAAGCTGGACTTTCTGGATGGGGTCATTACCACGCTTTATGCGTAAGTTTTTCTTTTGCAAGTTACATGGAACTGTCTCATCGTTAAAGCTTTCTTAACAGGATCGAAATGTTACTGAAGATCCTCTGTCTGGGGTTCTGCAAGGGACCTTACTCTTACCTTCGAAACCCTTATAACAGGCTTGATTTTGCCATTGTTATTGATTCCTGGTAAGATTCCTAGCTTCATGAGCGTATCATAATCTCTATGCTACAGGGTACACATTATCGTTAGAAGCATAACTGGAAGAGATTATTTTGCACGTTTGGCGGTCTTGCGTGCATTTCGAGGCCTTCTAGCTTTGAAGCACATCCATTTTTTTGCAGATGTCATTGTATGTTTTTCTTTTCTTTTCTAGCTTTGAACTGAAACTGCTATGCTGTGCAGGCTATTATGGTAGCAGTCGAAAGAAGTGTCCGTCCGCTTCAAAATGTTATCCTCCTCACATTTTTCATGTTGGTCTTCTATGCGCTGCTCGGGACACAGTTTTTGCAAAAGACATTGTCTCAAAGGTACTCAATTAAATTTTGCATATTGCACCACTAAGCTGAACTTCCCATTTCTGTTAGGTGCTTGCGAAGTCAGGACAAGCAACTATCATATCCAGAACGTTTTTGTGATAAGAAAGTAGTCGATGGATACAGTTGTCCCTCGACTCAGAAATGCTTGGTAAAGTTCCGCCGTTCGCAGTTTTCATCATACAACTTTGCATTTGCAGAAGTATGGAAATCCTAACTATGGACAAACGAGTTTTGATTACCTCTGGTATTCTTTGATCAGTATGTTTCAGGTTCGTTGCCTTTCACCTTGTGCTTTATGTTGTAGCTCTTTTCCAGATTGTATCGCTGGAAGGATGGTCTCTGATAATGTACCGCGTAAAGGATGCTGAAGGAGAACGAGCAAGTATTAGATTTACTTTGGCGAGGTCAATTCTGCCTGACACTGCTTTACAGATTCATACTTCATGACTTTGGTGATTATTGGGACATATTTTCTTTGCAATGTGTTTATTGCTGGGATAAGTGGAGTTTTTCTTCGAGTCAGGGCGGAACATCAGGTACGTGACGGTTTTATCACTGGAAACACTAAGCGGGATTCAATATTCTTAGGCACTCTTGAAAAAATCTCGTAAAAGCACGACCTCCTTTTATAGCGCAACCGTGATGGCGAACATCCTCCGGGACGACATTATAACTGATGATCGTCATTTGAAATGGCATTTGCGATTTCTAAACAGATCCAGGAGAATTAAAAGAAGTGTCGGCCGAATTTTTAGCCGCACTCACTCGACTTTTCGAGATACCTTTCACACTAGCTCCATGAGATTCAGCCGATTGGGCTCAAGAACTTATCAACGTTCATTAAGTGGAAGAGGTGGCAGAGCAGCCTTATCAGTATCCGAGAAATGCCGCGCAGTTGTTCAGCATCCAAGTTTTGATCGCGGTGTACTACTGGCTGTTACTGTTAACGCGATTATCTTATGTTTGTACAGATACGGCATGTCTAAGGAGTTCTTGTACACACTTTGTATCCATCAGCCTCGTCTTTTCCTTGTGACCGTACACCTTAACGTCAGTGCACAGATGGTATTCAAGCGGTGCTCCTTGTTTTGTTTGCAGCAGAATTACTATTGCGTTTTCTTGCTTACGGACCAATTTCATTTATGGCTGACAGTAAGCGAAAGTTTCAGTTCCTCAAATCTGAGCTGTGAATAGTTTTGCAGGGATGAACCTGTTTGATCTCTTCGTAATCGCGGTATCTTCTGGAGCACTAATCTCACGGGCGTATCCAAATATCTCCGCAGTTCGAATCATGCGGTGGTTCTACTTGTCCAAGAAACATGTCGACAAACATTCTTCAGTTGTGGTCAGCCTTCTTTCTTCGAAGGTAATATATCAGCTAATCTACTTTTTACAGGCCACGTGCATCAAAAGTGTTGGCTCACTGGTGGGTGTGTTCTTCTTTTACCTGCTAGTTATCGTTATATTTTCTATCGTGAGCATGGAGTTATACAGTGGTCAATACTATAAGTTCACGGACGGGTACCCTCGCGGACACCACGATAATATGCTCCAGACTATGCTTCTTTGGTTCTCGGTAACTACTGCTGAATCCTGGCCAAATCAAATGTGGAACTCCATGAGGCCCGGGGTGGAGTATAAGTAAGCTACATCTATCTTTCTTGACAAATCGTTTTCATCGTTGTTACGTGCAGTGGTGTGGCGCCTTTTCTGTATATATTTTACTTCGTCCTCACAGTCCATATCATTATGAACCTTATCATTGCTGTTATACTAGAGCATAACGAGCTTACAGACAACGAGAAAAAGAAAATACAGCGGGTTCGTGCATTTTCCAAACCTTGTTTTCTCTCTCCACAACTTTTCTCCTGCAGACCGAGCACATGAGAATGTTCAAGCGCATGCAAAATCGGGCCTCTACGGGAAGAGGTAGCTGGGTGATGAACGCTTTTGAGCGAGTGAAAGCAGGCTTTCATTCTCGACGGGGCAGACAGATTGACGGAAACCTGGAACTGGGATATGACAACACGAGTTTGCTTCCAGGAGCAGCTTCTGAGCCAGCAGAGAGTGCTAGAGATGGCTCGGAGGCAGTGTCGACTGCAGCTGTGGGAGAGAACATTACAGAAACAGAAAGGCCGCAAAGGATCAGTCGTGGTTCACAGATTCTCCAGGCTTCTGGATTTCCAGCAGACATTGGTGAGAAAAGAGGTTCGCGAACTGCGCTTCAGGATGCTGTTCTTACGCTTGCTGACATCACCAGGCCTCCTTTCAAGGTATCTAGCAAGCTAGCTAGAAATCTAGACAGACGCCGGAAAAAGGAGTCCTTCCAACTTTCAGACTACGAGGCACTTGAGGAAAGCTTTCCCACTCTCGAGAGGCAAAGATCTTTTCTTGGAGAAGAGGGTCGTGCGACAGGATTTTGCAAGATGGTTTTAAACAGCAGATGGTGGCGCTGGTTCTCAATCGCTTGGGTCGCTATAAGCACTTGGCTTGTTATTGAGATGCGAGCCACTGGAGAGCCGGTATTTGCCGACACGGCTATCAAAGTTCTCCACAAGCTTGTGTTCGTGGTTAGTATGTTTCTCTCCGTGTTTGTGAACTTCACATTACACACGGGTCTTTCGCAGGTCTTCCTCCTGGAGTTTTCTCTCAGAGTTTTTGTTCAAGGCTTCGTATCTTCGCCCAGTGCAGTCTTTAACGACCCCTACAACATCCTGGAACTTTCTCTTCTGATCATCGACGCACTCAATCTTGCTACTTGGAGCGAGAACTCTCGACGAGCTATACATGCATTGACGGCACTGCGACCATTTCGGTTCATCTGTCGCTTTGGCGAACTCAAAAGCTTGATGTCGAATCTCGTCAAGACTGTTCCAGCTATAGTGGCCGTTCTGTTGTTTACGTTCCTCATCTTCGTGGTTTTTGGCTCTATCGGTGTCCAGTTATTCAGGGGCCTTCTTTACTCGTGCAACGATGCTACTATTACTCATCGAGCTTATTGCACTGGCCATTACTACAACAACATCGGAATATATGTTCCACGGGCCTGGACAAATCCTACTTTCCACTTTGACAGCATTGGTAATGCCTTCCTCTCTTTATTCGTTTGCTCGACTTTCGACAACTGGGTTACAAACTGGCTATACCCCGTGATGGATATCGTTGGCGAAAACAAGCAGCCGCAACGGGACAACAGTCCGGCTTATGCCATTTTCTTCGTGGCGTTTTGCATATGTGGAGGATTTTTCATAGTCCGGGTGTTTATTGGAGTTTTTATCAACGAGTTTGGGAAGAACTCGGGCTCCAAGCTCCTAACGGAGAGACAGAAGCTCTGGCGAGACATGAATCGCATCATCCAGAAGCTGGAACCGTCAAAGCTACCGAGGCCACCGAAGAATTACGTCCGGCAGCTATGTTTTTACGCTATCCGCAATCGTCACTACCAAAACAGTATGATAATATGCCTGCTGGGATACGCTGCACTCTTGTCAACGAACTACGCTGGCCAGCCGGCTTATGTTTCTATGCGCCGCCAGAAAGCTCACGTTGCTCTTACAACGTATTTTTTATTGGAGTCCTTGATCAAATTTCTTGGTGATGAGGTCTGTGCGTTCTTAGATAAATGCTTGAGTTTCAAGTGTGTGTTTGCAGTTCGAAGTTTACAAATACGAGCACTCCAAACACATGGAAGCAGCAATATCTATATTGGCAGCTTCAGGCTTGATGGGAAAGAAAGGAACGCCTAGAGGCTATGTTTGTCGATTTGCTTACATTGCTCGAGTTTTCTGCATCATTCCTCATGTACCGAGAGCACGGGTGATCATGAGAACTATGGTCATATGCCTGCCGACTATGGGAGAGATCATGGTTCTTCTCGGTGTCTTCCTGTTCGCGTTCTCTGGTATTGGCTTCCAGATGTTTAGTCATGTCGCAGAAGGAACCTGTATTGGTCCCACGCTTAACTTTCGAACGTTCGTCAACTCCTTCATTACCGTCTTCCAAGTAAGCTTCGATACAGTTGCTTGTGTTCTAATCAGAGCTTATGCTGCAGGTTTCTACGCTTGACAACTGGTCTTGCATCATGGTCGACGTGATGGTGGACTCGCCAAAGTGTACAAAGGGAGACTCTTTAGCGAGGAATGACTGTGGTCATCCGTTTGCTGGAGTCATCTATTTCGTATGCCTAGTGGTGATATCGAGTTTCATATTCATGAACTTGTTCGTAGCCTTGATCCTGGATGCCATCACTTTCGGGCTGGTTAACGAGAATTCTATGGTCTCGCCTGAACACCTGCTTGCATTTAAAGCGCTATGGGCTCAGCAGCCCTTCGATCCAGAGTAAGAAATGTGGTCTTTAACCTTTCTCATTTTATCTTTTTTCTAAAATGCAGAGCTTCGGGATACATTGGAATGCACAAACTTCGAAACTTTGTGAACGCTCTGGGTGTTCCTCTGGGACGACGACACAACTCCACCGTGCAATGGTAAGCTGGCCAATCAGAGGCTTTCATTTATTTTGCCGCTTCTCGTCCAGGTACTTGAGGATTGAGTTTGAGGTTATGAGCTTTCGAGTTCCAAACAAAGGAATTCCATTCAAGCAGCTTCTGGAAACGTTCACGTTGTACAAGATCGGACCAACAGTTGAGAGTTTTATGTTCTTATCTTCCTCTCAATCTCTCTCAAAGAGTGTTGTGTGCTCTGATCGCAGGGTCTACCTCTTACACTACGAATTGAGAGAGAGAAGCAAATCCAAAGCGTTTACATACGTGGTGCCGCCACGAAAATCGAAGCTCTTGTGAGGGGATTTTTGGTGAGGAGGAGATTTGCCAGAGGCAGTGAAGGCCAAAACCAGGAGCAAGAGCAACAGAACTCAAAAGAAGCTCAGGCAGCCACTAAAATGCAAGCCCTTGCGAGGGGGTTTATAGCGAGGAGGAAAGCAGCAAAAGCCAGTCGGGGTAGCTTCCAGAAGCACGAGCGAGAAGAAACCGCTGCCAAAAAGATTCAAGCGTTTGTAAGGGGAAAGCTGGCCAAGGAGAGAGCAGCCACTGGAGGAATGGAAAAGCTAGAAGAAGTTGAGGCGGCCACTAAAATTCAGGCAGTCGCAAGGGGGTTTCTGGCAAGAAAGAAAGCAGCGAGGCAAAAACACGAACAAGAACAGGCTCACAAGGCACAAGAACTGGAAGTTATCGCGGCCAGAAAGATACAAGTAGCTACGAGGAGATATTTACTGAGACTACAAGTTCGACAGGAGCAAAAACATGCAGACTACGGTGCTTCGGGCATACGAATTCAAGCAACACCGTGGCAAAACCACATCGCAGCAACAAAGATACAACGAGCTGCGAGATTTGTAGCAAAACGAACCATACAGCAAGTCGAGCAGCACGAGGAGCCATCACGCGTCACCGCAGCCACGAGAATACAAGCAGCAGCAAGAGGTTTTCTAGCGAGGAGGAAGGCATTAAGGGTGAAAATGGAGCACAGCGTTGGAAAACCAACAGCAAGCTCGTGATTTATGGCAAAAAAAATATAGAATTGACTCCTTTTTTAAAACAATTTTTTGTAAAAATATACGTTATGCTTAGGATATAGGAGAGAATTAATTTATTTAATTTTACTTGACTTCATTGGAAACTCTGAAAAAGAAATTGGAAACTCAGAAAAAGAAATTTGGCTATTTAGTATTTAAAATGAATTTTTTAGAATTAAATTCTAGTATATACAATGGCAACTAAATTAGTAATTATTTTTATTCTTTTAATTAAAATTATATTAGTAAGCTCATCAGCAAATTTATTCAACTTAACAAGTAAACCAAGTATGTATATATTTGATTTTTTTTTCATTTGTAGTAATTTTGTTTTTAGTTAATTGGAAACCAGATATGCTAAATGCTTTAAATAGCTGTAATTTATATGGAAATTCTATTATTTGGAGAGAAACATTAAATGATCAATTTGATAAAAAATATTATGATAGAAAAACGTACCAAGAATGTCAAGATATTTTAATTAACTCTATTAAATTTCAAGGTGTAATATTCAGAGGTGAAGGAGAATTTATAACAAAAGGTTCATGGTATGGTTGGCAAAATTGGGCATATACTGGTAGAACACATAGAATAAATAATGGGTATATTATTTTTGATAATCTAGATTTAAATCCATATCCATGGAAATAATAATAGTCTACTTTAAAAATAAAACTAGTGAGTTCTAGTGTCAAATACATAATTATAATTTTTAATTTGTTTTAGAAAACCTTAACTGATAATGCACTTTCCATTATAAGTTTATAAAGTAAGTAGTCAAATTTATTTTTAAATGAGTTAAAATAAATCAAAAGAAAAATAAATTTACAGTAAAAGTTTTATCCTAAGCACATACATTTTTTGCCTTATATTTACTTATAAGGCAAAAATAAATTAATTTAACTAGACTAAAGCTGTATCACATAAATTTCAAATTATATGAGTAAGCTCATCCAAATATATATTTAACTTACATATGAACAAAGTATGAATATATTTGTCTGAATTTCTCTTTAGTTACTAATAAAAAACGTTTAAGTGGATTGGGAAAAAGATATAAATATATGTTGAAATGTTATTATTTGAAACACTAAATAATAAATTTAATAAAAACAAATATGATTCAAAAACCACACATCTTGAATATAAGAATATTTTTGTTAATAATAATAACTTTCATTCAAGGTGTTAGCTTTAAAGGTGGGGGTAGTTTACAACAAATGTTTTTGGGTGTAATTAGTAAAATTGAGCATATATTAGTAGATTTCATAAAGTAGATAAAGATTATATTAGTTTTTCTTTGAACCCATATCTATGAAGATTTTAATCTTTTCTCCATCTTTTACAAAATCTATCTTCCCATATTATTATTACTAGTAGGGATCCCAACTCAACTGGAAAAATAAAAACTCATGTATTAATAGACAATAATATGTTAGAAAGAAAGGCTAGACTATTTGTTCTTCAAGTTGCTAATTAAATAAGACTATTTGTTCTTCAAGTTGCTAATTAAATAATAACCAATAGATGTATCGTGCAAGTAAGAAAAGCAGTCTAACTATTAGAACTACCATATAATTTCCTACTAGAGTCTTATCCCTTAACATAATCTCTAAGCTCTTGCTAGATTTTTCATATATACTTGAAAATTGTGATAGAAAATTTCAAGTCCTAAACTTCATTGCTCTTATAAGCATAGCAAGCATTACACTATTAAAAAGAAAACTACATTGCATTGCCATTTTTTTTACCAAAAGTAGATAGGAATGGTATGATAATAGATATATTACTTGGGGTTTATTACTTATATATAAGAATGGATAGACTAGCATATTACTTAATACTTCTACCCTTAGAAGATGAAAAGGTAATATTGGAAGTAGTCTTGAATGACACACTCTTTAATTGACAATGACATGGCAAGAAAAAAATGCAATTGAGATTGAAAAGGAGAATAAATTTGATTTTATATGGATTTTTTCATCATCACTTTCTTAATCTCAAACAAAAGGGAGACTTTTATAGCTACTGAGCAACAAGCTACTAGTCAGCACTTGAGATTTGTCGACTTACAGGATGCCTTCATTCCAGAAGCCTTCTCCGTCACTACGGTTCCACTCCAGTTTGCTGCTATCTTGGAGAAGAATCTCAAACTGGCGGTGCCCAAGATTATTTGAGATATCATGGTAGATGATTCTCTGCCTAGAGTGCATCGACTTGGCAATTACTAGCCTTCAAGGCGTCGCTCGCCAGTTCCTGATTTGCAAGGTGACTCTTTCAACATTTTCTGCTTCGTGGCTTAGCATCCAGAATGGTCTTCTTGTGCTCAAGGAAAATGGACTCCTGTCGCTAAAAGGTAATTTAATCTATTCCTCTGAGTTTTTATTATTCCTTCGAGGATCATAGATTTCGTACCCGGCCTCCCTCCAATTTCTGGACGGGAATTTCCTTTGCATCTTCAAGAAGTTCACGCTGTAGATCCCAACTTCACTCTCCGGTATACTGGTGTTTATAAACTCTTTCTACGAGTTGGAAACATCTCAGCTCGACCAACTTGCTAGAGACACTCCACAGTTTGTTCCAATCGGTCAATTGCTTCCGTCATTTGCATTCGACGGCCAGGTTGGAGTGTACGAACTCGAGCAGGAGAGGTGTGGTTTTTGGATGGAAGATATGAGCTGCCTCGACTGGTTGGACGAGCAGCCGTCCAAATCAGTCATCTACATCTCCTTTGGAAGCCTGGGTGATAGGATCAGACAACAATGAGCTTCGAAAGCTTTTCTAAGACCCAAGTTATGACAAATGCAAGTTTGTTTCCTGGGCTTCTCAGCTCAAGGTAAGCTTCTTCTTTTACCTCTTTTTCTTGCTTAATATGTCGTCCACACAGGTTCTCAAGCATCGTTCCGTGGGTGCGTTTCTCACTCATTGTGGATGGAATTCTCTTTTTGGAGACGATCGTTCGTGCTTGGAGTCTCCGTGATTAGATGGCCTTTCTTGTACGAGCAGCCACTTAACTGTGTGCTTGCTGTGGAGCATTGGAAGATCGGCTCTCGCTTGCCACCGAGTCCAGATGCCACGATCGTTGAAAAGGCAGTGAAGGATATGATGGGAGAAGCAGGCCAAATGTGGAGGGACAATGTCACGAAGCTTGCCATCTCTGCGAAAGATGCAGTCGCTGATGGAGGTCTTTCACATCGAAGCTTTTAAGTGTAAAATGGAAATTTACTTGAACTAAAGGAGAGTTAAACCACAAAGCTCGAAGCTGGCGATTTCTAGTGAGGAGAAGAGCTGCGCGAGCGAGAGGAGCAGCTAAGCCCAGCAGCGATGAAACAAAGAAGGAAGAACAAAGGCGGCGGCGTCAAGACCGTGTAAAAAGCATATTCTAGGAATCAAGAGCATCCGCATATTCGAAGGAACCTCTGGGTTTTAAGCGCCTTCCATTGTATTTGAATGAATTTCACGGAGAAGCTTGGCTAGGGTAGAATGGGGGCTTGCGCGTCGATTCCAGGGCTGGGCCGGCTTCGCGAGGTAAATCCGGTGAATTTCCGCTTCTTCGGTCCAGGATCGCTGGAAATCTTTCGAAATTTCGTGATCTTTGCCCCGTCTTTGCTCGCCAGGAGGAAGAACCGGCAGCGCTTCACAATGTGGCAGCGTCCGAGGACAGATACTGGCTCGCGGCCTTCCTTGATCCGGATTTCGTGCGCTCCAGGGTCTCCTGGATGATCAGCTGCTACAACTACACCGTGGAGATGAATCCCGGCTTGCAACAAGCCGATTACGCGCCCTACACTGGCTTCCGCCGCGAGTGCCAGAGGCTCTTCGGCGATGACCGTCCAGGTAGCGTGTTCCCTCGCTCGATCGATCCAATATCCTATCGTACGCTCTTCTTCTTCCTTTCTTGCCTAAAATTTCCTCTCTCACTCCTGCTTTCGCTTCTATTACATGGATCAGGGATGGATCTGATCAGATTCATGTTCCACGGCACGCCCGAGATAAACATCGATGGCATCCTGCACGAGGGATTGGTGCTCACAAATCTCGACAAGTTCTTCTTCAGCACCTCCGTCAATAACTGCCTAAGCTTCACAAAGCCCAACTTCAATGGCGTCCCCAAGATACTTCTCTTCCTCGTGCTCATACCCTCTCCGGTAAGATCTCTCGTTCTTGTGATAGATTGATCGAGCCTCCACTCTCTCTCTCTCTCTTCTTCTTTCCAATCTCTCTCGTGCTCATACCCTCTCCGGTAAGAGCTCTTCTTGGTCATAGATTGATCGACTCCACTCTATCTCTCTCGTTCTTACCATTCCCTCTCATCCTGATCGATAGCTTCATCGACTCTCACTTTTCTTCTTTCCAGAGTGAAAAGCACAGGGATGTCTGGACGATTTCTGCCAATGCGCCACATCGTTCACTGCCAGTAGCCACAATCCATCTCACATCGAGCAAGGTATATATAAACAGCTTCTTTTTTTGTGGACTCGATGTAATACTTTTCCGTTTTTTCTTTTTTCTTTAGTGAGCATTCCTCAATTTCTGCCAAAAATTAAAAAGAATTGGACTTTCGGAAGAGACTAGGATCGTGACAAGACCTAACGTTGGGAAGTTTTTGGGCTTGACCAAAGCTTTTTGGTATAATTCGTCGCATTGTCGACTGAGGTTTTAGGGCGGAGCATGGCGGAGAGCACGACGGGAGACGCCGCGGCGAAGGTCTGTGATGCTCCTCCCCCGGATCGCTCGGAGAATTTTAAGGTGGATCCCGGAAGCGATCGATTGGTTCGTGTCGACGATTCAGTAGAGACGGAGAAGACTGAGAATCACGCCGGGGCGGAGGAACAGGAGGATCGAAGGGGCGAAGAAGAAGGAGAAGAAGCACAAGGAAAAGAAGAAGAGGGAGAAGAAGAGGAAGCTCTCCGCGAGTTGCCTGAGAAGATGAGAAAATCTGTGGAAGTCATTCATCACATTTCGGGAGAGACCGGCCTTGAGTCTACGGTCTATATGGTCGGCACAGCGCATATTTCTAAGGCAAGTGTTTCTCGAGCTTATTAGTTTTCTTCCTTTGGGCTGCATGGCATTCTTTCTTTTTCCTTTCTTGTTTCATGGAATTCATGAAAAACAATTACAGGAGTCGTGCGATCTCGTTGAAGCCGTGATCAAGCTCGTCAAACCAGAGGCTAGCTTTCTTCACTTTTTGTTCCACACACTCTATCTGACTTCTTTTCGTGAACAGGCAGTTTTTCTTGAGTTGTGCAGAGAACGATGCTCGTTGCTTTTGAAAACAACAAATGGAGTACGTCTTTATGGATTGTTATGGATGAGTATTCTATTTTGTATTCCTCCGTTGAATTTTCAGATTCCCACAGTAAAGCAGATGCTAGAGTCGTGGAGATCAAAGAAAATGAATTCCTTTGGAATCATTTATTCGTACTTCCTCGCAAAGGTATCCTTCCTCGTAAGTGTACATCACTTCAAAACTACAGGTTTTCAGGCTGCTCAAAGGCTGGAAGTTCCACCGGGGGGTGAATTTCGAAGAGCTTATGAAATCGGACGCGCTTGCAATGCGCTTGTTATTCTCGGGGACCGGCCTGCCTCGGTACGTAGTGCGCATGGCATTCCGTCAGTGGAGTGACTTGTTTGTTTTAGATTTCGCTGAAACGAGCTGTGGCGAGGTTGACACTCTGGCAAAAGATGAAGCTGGGCGGGACTTTACTCTGGAGTATAATTTGCCTACCGGGGGCTGAAGAACTCGAGAAAATGGTTTGTCAGGTTTTCGTTTTCCCTATAGAGCAGTTCTCTTTAACACTTTGCTTCAGTTAACAGAGCTCACCGACACCGATGAATTTGTAAAATTCCTGAGAGAATATTGCAAGAATTTTCCCACGCTTCTGGACGCCCTCCTGACGGAAAGAGACTTGTAAGTTCGTCTGGCGCTTCTTAACTCTTATTCGCTCGGTTTCTTTGAGCAGATTCATGACTTCAACGCTGAGAAGCGCGTGCAGCAAATACGCCTCCGTTGTTGCGGTTGTCGGCAAAGGTCACGTTTCAGGGATCATTGCCAACTGGACCAAACCACCTATCGAGGTGTGTTGTTTATTAGCCTTCGCATTTTTCTAGTGCTGATGCCTTTTGCAGGTCGATGCTCTACTTGAAGTCCCAGAGAAAAAATCGTGGGGAGTTCGCTGGCGGCTTGGATCTCTGTTTTTGGTTGGAGTTGGCCTCGGCTTCTACATAGGGAAGAGATGGATGCTGTGAAGAGCCTGTAATTTTTCCGGTTACCTCGTTAGAGGTTAACAGCGTTATGTTCCAGCTCTCTTATGATCTCGATCAGTCCTCACGAACGCTCCCCCTCTCCGAAAGTGTGGCGGCTCCAAAAACTTGTTAGAAGAGAAGCCTTGATAAAAACGGTACGGTTTCCTGCTGATCGAAATGTATGGCAAGCCTCAAGTACGCTAGAGAAGGCATTGACACAGGAGCCTCTTGATCATCGCCACTTACGTGAGACGCCACTATGATCGCGACGTATACCCAGAGAGGGTATATGGACACGGCGAGAAGTTTGTGCCAAGGAAATACGCTTCTTCGTGGAATACCATGATCGCCGCGTATGCCCAAAGAGGCTAGCTCGGGACTTGTTTGACGAAATGGGCGAGAGAAGCGTCGTGACTTGGAACTCCATGGTGACGGCATAGCCCAACACGGGCGTTTGCACGAAGCGAAAGGGTTTTTTTTGACAAGATGCCAGTGAGAAATGTGGTGTCCTGGAACGCTCTCATCGCGGCCTACGTGAGAAACGAAGACTCGGCCGAGGCACTGAGGCTCATGGACTTGGAACCTCAAACTTTGTGCGAATGCTTGGGCATCTCCAAAGGGATCACTTAGCGCCAAACTTCCTAAGTTGGCACACGCATCCAAGCCTCCCGTCATCGTCCCGGCGTCGTACACTCCAGGATCGCCCAAGCTCACGGTGGCGAACTCGCTCATCAACATGCACGACGGCATCCTGGGAGAGGGATTGGTGCACAAGTAATCCATCTCAAATCTGTGAGTTTTTCGTTTTTTCGAAAAACAGAAAAACGCGACGGCGTGCGCCGGGCGAGGCCGCCGGTTCGCCGCTTGAATTGGACTTCCGAAAGAAGACTAGGATCGCGGTGCCTGCAAAGAAGAATGGTACTTCGCTTTGAATGGCTTTTCGCGGGCTTTAAAATGTATGACGAAGAGAAGCGTTGATATTGAGTGAGGTTTTAGTGCGGAGCATGGCGCAGAGCACGAACGGAGACGCCGCGGGAAAGGTGTATGATGCTCCTCCCGCCGCATTCGAGACGGATCGCTTGGAGAATTCTAAGGTGGATCCCGGAGGCGATCGATTGGATCGTGTTGAAGATTCAGTAGAGACGGAGAGGTCTGATAAACACGCCGGGGCGGAGGAACAGGAGGATCGAAGAGGCGACGAAGAAGGAGAAGGTCAAGGACAAGAAAAAGAAGAAGAGGGAGAAGAAGTGGAAGCTCTCCGCGAGTTGCCTAAGAAGATGATAAAATCTGTGAAAATCATTCATCACATTTCGGGGGAGACCGGCCTTGAGTCTACGGTCTATATCGTCGGCACATCGCATGTTTCTAAGGGAAGTATTTGTAGTTTTCTTCCTTCGCGTTAGCATGGTATCTGTTTGCTTCTTGTTTCATGAAATTGTGGAATTGAAATACAATAACAGGAGTCATGCGATCTCGTTGAGGCCGTGATCAAGCTCGTCAAACCAGAGGTTTAGCTTTCTTCGCTTTTTGTTCTACATTTCACCTTTTTGTTCTTCATTTCGTGAACAGGCAGTTTTTCTTGAGTTATGCAGTGAACGACGCTCTTTGCTTTTGCAACCAACGATTCATGAAGTACGTTTTTATGGATTGGTATTTCATTTTGTTTTCCTCTCAGATTCCCACAGTAAAGAAGATGCTAGAAGCCTGGCGATCAAAGCAAGAGAATACCCTTGGAAAAATGTATTCTTACTTCCTCGCAAAGGTATCGTTCCTCGTAGGTGTAAATCACTTCAAAACTATAGACGTTCAGGTTGCTCAAAGGCTGGAAGTTTCACCGGGGGACGAATTCCGAAGAGCTTACAATACAGGACGCGCGTGCAATGCGGAAATTATTCTCGGGGACCGGCTTAACTCGGTAAGTAGTGTATGACTTTTTGTCAGTCTAGTGACTTGTTCGTCTTTAGATTACACTACAACGAGCTACGGCGGGGTTGACACTGTGGCAAAAGATGAAGCTGGGCGGGAGTTTACTCTTGAGTATAATCTTCCTACCGTGGGTTGACAAAATGGTTTGCCAACTTTTCGTTTTCCCTGTAGAGCAGTTCCCTTAGATACTTTGCTTCAGGAGCTCTCCGACGACACTGTAAAGCTCCTGGGAGAATATGTCAAGAGTTTTCCCTCGCTTATAAACGCTCTCCTGACGGAAAGAGACTTGTAAGTTCGATGTACGCTTCGTAAATCTTCTCCTGCTTTGGTTTGCTCGAGCAGATTCATGACTTCAACACTGAGAAGCGCGTGCAGCAAACACGCCTCCGTTGTTGCGGTTGTCGGCCAAGGTCACGTCCCAGGGATCATTGCCAACTGGGCCAAACCACCGATCGAGGTGTGTTGTTTTGCCTTCGCGAGTGATTGATGCCTTTTGCAGGTCGGTGCTTTGCTTGAAGTCCCCGAAGTCCCCGAGAAAAAATCGTGGGGAGTTCGCTGGTGGGTTGGATCTCTGTGTTTGGTTTTAGTTGCCATCGCCTTCTACATAGGAAAGAGATGGATGCTGTGAAGAGTAGGCATCAAGACTGTACAGTGATTCTTTTGGTAATTTTTCTGGCTCGTTAAAAGGTTGATGTTCCATGATCTCGATCAGCCCTCACGACTTGGATCACTACGCTCCCCTCCTGCGAAAGTGTGGGAGCTCCAAAAACTTGGAAGAAGGCAAGCGTGTCCACGCTGAAATCGCTACTGCCGGCCTCGACAAGAACGGCTTCCTGCGAAACCTCTTGATCGAGATGTATGGCAAGTGTGGAAGCCTCAAGGACGCCAAAGAAGTGTTCGATGGCACCGGGCCGAGACACAGGAACCTCTATACGTGGAACATGATCATCGCCGCTTATGTGAGGAGCCACCATCTTCAAGGTGCCAGGGAACTCTTTGATGCTGCCACCGAGAGATGTGAAGTGACCTGGAACACCATGATCGCGGCTTATACCCAGAGAGGGGATATGGACACGGCGAGAAGTATGTTCGATAAGATGCCGAGGAAAAACGCTGCTTCGTGGAATACCATGATCGCCGCGTATGCCCAAAAAGGCCATCTCCAGAAAGCTCGCGACTTGTTTGACGAGATGGGCGAGAGAAGCGTCGTGACTTGGAACTCCATGGTGACGGCTTATGCCCAACACGGGCATTTGCAAGAAGCGAAAGAGTTTTTCAACAAGATGCCCGTGAGGAATGTGGTGTCCTGGAACGCTCTCATCGCGGCCTACGTGAGAAACGAAGACTCGGCCGAGGCACTGAGGCTCTTCGGCGTCATGGACTTAGAAGGCGTCAGGGGCGACGCAGTGACGATCACGGGGGGCTTGGATGCGTGCGCCAACTTGGGAAGCTTGGCCAGAGGCCGAGAGATCCACTCCAGCATCGCCCAGCTCGGATTCACCGGCGAGCTCGCGGTGGAGAACTCGCTCGTCAACATGTACGGTAAGTGCCAGAGCCTGGCCGACGCGAGAGAGACTTTCGAGAGGATGAAGCGGCGGGACGTGGTGTCCTGGACGGTGATGCTCTCGTCGTGCTGCCGGAACCGCGAGTTCGACGAGGCGCTCGTCACCTTCCGGAGGATGATCCTGGAGGGCGAGAGGCCAGACGAAGTCGCGTTCATCAGCGCGCTCGAGGCCTGCGGCGACTTGGCCTCGGTTAGCGATGGAAGGATGGTCCACGCCGCCATCGCCGAGAGTGGCTCTGTGCTCTACCACTCCAAAGTCGAGAGCTCGCTCATCAGCATGTATGGGAAATGCGGCAGCCTGCGCGAGGCTCGCGCGGTGCTCGAGCGGCTCCACACGCAGGACGCGGTATCCTGGACTGCGATGATCGCGAGCTACGCGCAGCAGGGGCTCGGGAGGCAAGCTCTGGAGCTCTTCCACGCCATGGCGCTCGAAGGCGTGAGCCCGGACGAGGTGACGCTGGTGAGCGTGCTGTGCGCTTGCAACCACGCCGGGCGGGTTCACGGCGGCCGAGCTTACTTCCAGCTTGGCGTGGGAGACTTTGGAGTGGAAGCCCAGATGGAGCACTACGCTTGCATGGTGGACATGCTGGGACGATCCGGGAGGCTGGTGGCGGCGGAGGAGCTCATGGCGGCGATGCCATTCGAGCCGGATGTTTACTCGTGGATGCACTTGCTGAGCGCTTGCAAGACCCAAGTGGAGGGGATGGACGAACAGGGTCACAGAGCTGCCCGGCTTGTGGCGGAGCTAGAACCCGAGGATGGAACGCCGTATGTGATGCTCTCTAGCATGTACTCGCTGCGGTGACCTTGTATTGCTCGAGGTGAGAGATCCTATACTTTCAATCCTCTTGCTCGTGATCCTCTCACTCGCAGTGGTGATCTTCGATCGATCTTGTATTGCTCGAGGTGAGCGGTCCTATGTTTTCAATCCTCTTGCTCGACGTGATCCTCTTGCTCTAAGTGAGTGAGAGAGACTTTGGCGGTCTTTTGGACCTTGGCAGCTCGCTCTTCGGCCTTGGCCTCTTTCCTGGCCTTGAGAGCCAGGCTCTCGCCCTCGATGGCCTCGCGCAGCTCGGAGCTTGCAAGATCGCCGGGAGTTTTCCCTGCTTTGTTCTTGGCGGAGAGATTGCTCCCTCGCCTCACCAGGTAAGTTGCAAGATCCCTGTGGTTGCCCTGGACAGCACAGTGCAGTGGAGTGAGCCCCTTTCTGGAATGCGAATTGATGGAGGCTCCACTGCCCAAGAGCTCCTTCACGGCTTGGAGATGGCCCTTTTGACACGCGAAGTGGAGCGCCGACATATCATCCATCGCCGCGGCGTTGACAGGAGATTTCGCCTCGCAGAGGAGCTTCACGGCATTGGCGTGTCCCGCCCACGCTGCCAGATGCAATCTGGATGCCCATTCCTGGCTCGTCAAGAAACCAAAGCAAGAGATTGAAGAAACAAAGGATACGGTGTGCGGGAGTGGCGATCGCGCTTGTTCACAGCGTCCGGATCCGCCGCCAGCGCCAATCTAATCGCATCCAAGTCGCCCGCCCTGGCCGCGTCATGGAGACTCTGCTGCTGCTCCACCATAAGATATGAACCCTAATTTCACAGAACTAGGGTCCTTCCTTTAACTTTATACCTTTATCTTCTAACTAGGGCTCTTCCTTTAACTAAACCTTCATTTTAGATCATGAATGTCGAGAGGATTCAAAAGAGCTGCCAGAGAAGCCATGGCCACAATCAAAGATTGCGTCTCCGTCGCAGCTCAAGAGGATGCACAGATCACTCGAGACAATCTTCTCAAACTACGCAGCCTGGAGAGGGCTCGGCTCGTCCAGTCTCAGCTCCTCGAAAGCTTCCATCTCGACATCTTTGTCTTGAATTCCCTCGTCGATCTCTACGCAAAGTGTGGAAGCATGGAGGAATCCTCTCGCTTTTTTCACGGAATGGCGTGCCACAGCCTGGTGTCCTGGAACGCGTTGCTGCTTGGCTATGCCGAAAACGGCGACGAGCAACTTTGTCTAGAGATCTTTTCGTCCGTCTCCGAGCGTTTGGGTGTGGAGTCTTTGAACGGTAGAACCTTTGTGGCTTCTTTCAAGGCTTGTAGTGGCCTGGCAGTGAAAGAAACGGGCCAAGTGGTATCAAATCGAGAGCTTGTGAAGCTCGGGGCTCTTGCCAAAGGCATGGAACTCCACTCCAAGGCTGTTTCTTGCGGGTGCATAGACATTTTCGTGGCCAACAGCTTAATAGACATGTATGGGACCTGCGGTAGCACCTTGGACGCTGCCAAAGTTTTCGATAAAATGCCCGAAAGAGATGTAATCTCCTGGACTGCTCTAGTGTCTGCATTTGCCGTTAATGGGCAAGTTGAGATTGGGCTTCTTTTGCTCTCAAAGATGGTGGAAAGTGGCTGCAAACTCGACGTTGGCGCGCTTGTTACTGGGCTTAAAACCTGCATGAGTCTAGCATCTGAAGAAGCTGGCGTAGACGTAAATGGAAACCTCGTCAAGGTGGTGTCACTGGAGAAAGCCATGGATCTAGACTCCGAGGCATTGAAACAAGGATCCGAGGCGCACGTAGTTGTGAGCAACACGCTGGTGGATTTGTACGCAAAGTGTGGGAGCCTACTGGATTCCCGTGGAGTCTTCGACAGGATGAAGCTCCACACTCCAATCTCGTGGACTTCGCTCCTCGCTGGATACGTCGAGAATGGAGAGTCGCAACTTTCTCTCGACTTGTTCTCGGAGTTCCTGCGTGACTTCCAGCCGGATGCCCAAGCCTTCACCGCGGCTCTCAAAGCCTGCGGCAACTTGGCCAACATCGAGAAACTAGCCTTCTTTCACGCGAGGATTTGTCGGTGTGGGCTAGAATCTGAGCCACTTCTCGCAAACTCTCTAGTAGACGTTTATGGAAGGTGTGGAAGCATCGCCTCCGCGCACCACCTTTTCGATTGCATGGCTATGACTGACTCGGCGACATGGAACGGACTGATCGCGGGGCATAGCCGTCAAGGCAAGAGCAAAGCCGTGCTGGAGCTCTTCCACGCAATGCAAGAGCAGGGCCTCAAGGTGGACGAGATAAGCTTTACGTGCGTTCTCACGGCTTGCAGCCACCAGGGGCTTGTGGAGCTGGGAAAAAGATACTTCGATGCGATGCTCGATCGCGCAAAGCATGGAGCTTGCACTATTCGTGTGGAGCACTACGATTGCATGGTGGATTTGCTGGGGAGAGGCAACCAGCTCGAGGCGGCGGTGGAGCTTGCCAGATCGATGCCAATGGGGGCCAGCGCTGTGACTTGGACGAGTGTACTTGCGGCGTCTCAAAAGTGGAGGAACCTGGCGGTGGCGAGGATTGCTTTCGAGGCTCTCGAGAGGCTCAATGCCAAGGACTCTGCGGCCTACATGCTCATGGCCAATGTTCTTAATAGCACAACGAAAGTGAAGTCCATACTCCATTGTACACGTAAAAGCTTCCAAGTTTCGATGTGAAAGACCTCCATCAGAGACTGCATCTTTCGCAGAGATGGCAAGCTTCGTGACATTGTCCCTCCACATTTGGCCTGCTTCTCCCATCATATCCTTCACTGCCTTTTCAACGATCGTGGCATCTGGACTTGGTGGCAAGCGAGAGCCGATCTTCCAATGCTCCACAGCAAGCGCACAGTTAAGTGGCTGCTCGTACAAAAAAGGCCATCCAATCACCTCCAAAAGAGAATTCCATCCACAATGAGTGAGAAACGAACCAACGGAAGGATGCTTGAGAACCTGTGTGGACGACATATTAAGCAAGAAAAAGAGGTAAAAGAAGAAGCTTACCTTGAGTTGAGGAGCCCAGGAAACACACTTGCATTTGTCATAACTTGGATCTTCGAAAAGTTTTCGAAGCTTATCGTTGTCTGATCATATCACCCAGGCTTCCAAAGGAGACGTAGATGACTGATTTGGACGGCTGCTCGTCCAGCCAGTCGAGGGAGCTCATATCTTCCGTCCAAAAACGACACCTTTCCTGCTCGAGTTCGTCAACTTCAACCTGGCCGTCGAATGCAAATGACAGGAGCAATGGGCCGATTGGAACGAACCGTGGATTGTCTCTAGCAAGCTGATCGAGCTGAGGTGTTTCCAACTCGTGGAAAGAGTTCATAAACACCCATGCGTCAGTCTGTATGATCTGGCTCCTGCTATACATGATAGAGAAGTCGGGATCTAAGGGGTGGACTTCTTGAATTTGCAAAGTAAAATCCCGTCCAGCAATTGGAGGGAGGCTGGGTACGAAATCAATGATCCTCGAAGTGCCTAAAAAATTATTTAAAGAAAAAATCAACTCAGACTGGAATAAAAGAAAAGCATACCTTTTAGTGGCAGGAGTCCATTTTCCTTGAGCACAAGAAGACCATTCTGGATGCTAAGCCACGAAGCAGAAAATGCTGAAAGAGAGACCTTGCAAATCCCGAACGAGCGATGTCTTGAAGGCTCTACGTCGGTGAGTATGCAAGGCACTCTAGGCAGAGAATCATCTGCCATGACATCTAGAATAATCTCTGATCTTACCATTCCCTCTCATCCCGTAAGATATGTTCTTGGTGATCGATAGCTTGATGGACTCTCTTTTTTCTTCTTTCCAGAGTGAAAAGCACAGGGATGTCTGGACGATTTCTGCCAATGCGCCACATCGTCACTGCCAGTAGCCACAATCCATCTCCGAGCAAGGTATATATAAACAGCTTCTTTTTTTCTAGACTCAGATGTAATATTTTTTCCATTGTGTCTTTTTTCTTTAGTGAGCATTCCTCTATTTCTCCAAAAAACTAAAAAGAATTGGACTTTTGGATCGATTTCCATGACAAGGAAGATATCAAAGTTTTGGGCTTGACCAAAACTTACTCGTGGAAAGAGTTTATAAACACCCCTGCGTCACTCTGTATGATCTGGTTCCTGCTATACCGGATACAGAAGTCAGGATCTATGGGGTGGACTTCTTGAACATGGAAAGTAAAATCCCGTCCAGTGAATGGAGGGAGCCCGGGTACGAAATCAGAGTCACCTTGCAAATCCTGAACTGGCGAGCGTGGAAACATATAATCCACGGTTCGTTCCAATCGGTCCATTGCTCCTGTCATTTGCATTTGACGGCCAGGTTGGAGTGGACGAACTCGAGCAGTAAAGGTGTGGTTTTTGGACGGAAGATATGAGCTGCCTTAACTGGCTGGACGAGCAGCCATCCAAATCAGTCATCTACATCTCCTTTGGAAGCATGGCCAGTGCTTTTCCCGACCATATCAAGCAACTCTATTCAGGACTCGTGCAAAGTGATTATCCTTTCCTATGGGTGATACGACCAGAGCTTTGAAAACTTTTCGAAGATCCAAGTTATGACAAATGCAAATTTGTTTCCTGGGCTCTTCAACTCAAGGTAAGCTTCTTCTTTTACCTCTTTTTCTTGCTTAATATATCGGTTCTCAGGCATCCTTCCATGGGTGCATTTCTCACTTATTGTGGATGGAATTCTCTTTTGGAGACGATTGTTCGTGCTTGGATGGCCTTTCATGTACAAGCAGCCACTTAATTGTGCGCTCACTGTGAAGCATTGGAAGATTGTGTTGAGGTATATGCTCTCTATGACATTGATCCTAGGTGGCAGTAGTGCCACTTCACTGATCCAGGTGTAGGCTAGAGGTGTGTCTCTTGATCATGTATATATATTTATGATATTATATACAATTATTGTTTGAGTCATTCTTGTCCATTGTAGCTTCCGCTCTTCTTCTCTTCATGGTATCAGAGCCTTGAGGTGTGTCTGGATGTGGCTGAGAGGTGCCAAGATTTGGCACTGCACTGCATTGAATGCCAAGATAACAGCATTAGTGAGCTGAGCAAGGCACGAGGTGATGCTGAGCGTAGAGGCACGAGGCACCAAAGAGGCACGAGGGCTTGGATTGCTAGGCACTGGTGGGCGTGATTGAGCAGAGACCGGCTTGGAGGCACTGGCAGAGGCGCTGAAAGAGGGCTGGCATGAGGCATCGAGCAAAGGTGAGTGCTGGGCACCCTGTAGGGTAGAGGCACGAGGCACTGAGGGCTGCAGGCAAAGGTGTGAGGGCTTGGAGTGCTGAGTGAGGTGCTGGTGTGAGAGAGTGCCCTAAGGCACTAGCAGAGGTGTTGAGAGAAGGCTGGCTGAGCAGAGACTACACTAGGGTGCTGAGCAAGGCAAGAAGGTGCTGGTAGAGGCTATGAGAGAGGGCTGGCTGAGCAGAGTCTGCATTAGGGTGTTGAGCAAGGCACTAGGGCATGTAAGGCAGAGGTGCCGGGCACTTCACACTGGCTAGAGGTGAGTGTTGGGTGTAGAGGCACGAGGCACCGAAGAGGCACGAGGGCTTGGATTGCTGGGGCACTGGTGGGCTGGATAGAGGAGTGCGTATGGAGTGTTGGAGTGTTGTCTAGAGGCAAGCAAGTAGAGGCAATGCTGAGTGCTCAGCACCCTAGCACCTTACTCAGTGCCTCTAATCGCAATCTCTACTTGCCCAACCCTCTCTCAGCACCTCTGCCAGCACTTCTCTACTCATGCCTCGCACCTCTCTCAGTACCTTTGTCAGTGCCTCAAGGCCACTCTCTGACACCAGCACCTCACTCAGCACTCCAGTACTACTCAGTGCCTCAAGCCAGCCCTCTCTCAGCGCCTTTACCAATACCTTTGGGTTGGTGTCTACTCAATCATGTCCTAGTGCCTTGCTCAGCTTGTTAGTGCTGTTATCTTGGTGTTCAGTGCAATGCAGTGCCAAATCTTGGCACCTCTCAGCCACGTCTGGTGGCTCATCATCATCCTTCGAGTCATCCTTGTCCATCATAGCTTTTGCTCTTCTTCTCTTCATGGTGTTGGAGCCTTGAGGGCTTCAGATCCTGGGACAATGGCACTAGCTGAGGAGGACGCCAATGAAGATGACAATGAGCCACCGGACGTGGTTGAAAGGTGCCAAGATTTGGCACTGCATTGCACTGAACACCAAGATAATAGCACTAGCAAGCTGAACAAGGCACTAGGATGTGATCAAGTAGACATCGGCCTAAAGGCACTGGTAGAGGTGCTGAGAGAGGGCTGCCTTGAGGCACCAAGTGGTACTGGAGTGTTGAGTGAGGCACTGGTGTCAGAGAGCGGCCCTGGGGTGCTAACAGAGGCACTGAGAGAGGTGCAAGGCATGAGCAGAGAGGTGCTGGCAGAGGCACTGAGAGAGGGCTGGGCAAGTAGAGACTGCAATCAGAGGCACTAAGCAAGGTGTTGGGGTGTTGAGCATGGTCCTGAGATGCTGGCACAAGTGCTGAGAGAGCAAAGGTGAGTGCTAGGCGTAGAGGCACAAGGCACTGAAGAGGCACAAGGGCTTGGATTGCTGGGGCACTAGTGGGCTGGACAGAGGAGCACATATGGAGCGTTGGAGTGCTGTCCAGAGGCAAGTAGGCAAAGGCAATGCTGAGTGCTGGGTTGTGAGAGGGCTCCATAGCAGAGGGAGAGAGCCATTAGGACTCATTTAAAAGGCAATGAAGAATACCATGGGAGAAGCAGGCCAAATGTGGATAGATAATGTCAATCTCTGCTAAAGATCGAATATCTGGGACGAAATAAAACCAAATTTACTTAAACTAAAGTGATGATCACTACATACCTCTTGGCTTTAAGCTATGGACTTGCTGCTTGATGAACTTTGGTCTACAGAGGATCAATGGGTGGGTTGCTAATCTTCACTCACAATCTAGAATGTTGTGGCAAGTTAAGGAGCCCCTTGCAACCTCAATTGATGGTGGCATTCACGACACGTGGATGCTTGGTGTGAAAGATACCTCTTGCTGCATAACAGGGATGCTAAGAGATGACAGTACCTCATCAAGGCTCATGTTTGAGCTCAACAAGGATAGGAGAACACTTTGTATTTTAAGTTCTGATCGTTGCTCAAGAGATTAATGAAATCTCGAAAATCCTTTTTATGTATGGAATTTAAGGTCCATTCACAGAAGACAATTGTTGTTCTTAAAGATATTTCTAATGAATTGGAATTTTTTTTCTCAAATGTAGTAATGGATATTAATTATGTTTTATTTAACGGGCCATGATGAATATGTGAAAATAGTTAATAAAGTGTTATTAACCTTAACAAATATAGGAATATAGACTATGCATTTCAATGTATAACAATTTTCAGTACTCATTTCATCTTTTCTTAGTTCTTTATGAGGCCAACACCTTTAAGTTAATCGGACTATCGGTGGCTGTTGGATCAAAAAATGTTATAGCCAGGATTCTGAGAACATCTAACCACCAGAACAGTTCTGTCACAGAGCACATGCTCACTCGTTGACAGCCAGTAACAGGTACTGTGCGCAGCTACCCCTGAATTTTAAATGTTCTTGTTAATAAGGGTTTTAGTTTTCAAAGTAATCTTCTAATCGTTAGAGGCGTGTAAGACTATCTTTTTTAGTTTTATGTGCATAACGTGTGTCCATCGGAGTCTAGCTATGGAGGAGATGAAGCAACGACCACACTTGCTAGCAGTTCCAGTCCCAGCTCAAGGCCACATAAATCCTATGCTTCAATTGTGTAAGAGGCTCGCATCCAGTGGATTTTTCATCACTTTCTTGGTCTCATACAAAAGGGAGAATTTTATAGCTACAGAGCAACGAGCTACAGGCCAGCACTTGCGATTTGTCTACTTACCCGATAATTTGCTTCCAGGAGTCATATCCGCCTCTACGGTTCTGCTCGAGTTTACTGCTATTCTGGAGAAAAATCTCAAATTGGCGGTGCCAGAAATTATTCAAGATGTCATGGCAGATCCTTCTCTGCCTCGAGTGTCTTGCATACTCACCGACGTAGTAATTACTAGCCTTCAAGACGTCGCTCGCCAGTTCGGGATTTGCAAGGTGACTCTTTCAACATTTTCTGCTTCATGGCTTAGCATCCAGAATGGTCTTCCTGTGCTCAAGGAAAATGGACTCCTGCCGCTAAAAGGTATGTTTTTCTTTTATTCCAGTCTGAGTTGATTTTTTCTTTAAATTAATTTTTAGGCACTTCGAGGATCATTGATTTCGTACCTGGCCTCCCTCCAATTGCTGGACGGGATTTTACTTTGCAAATTCAAGAAGTCCACCCCTTAGATCCCGACTTCTCTATCCGGTATAGCAGGAACCAGATCATACAAAATGACTCATGGGTGTTTATAAACTCTTTTCACGAGTTAGAAACATCTCAGCTTGACCAGCTTGCTAGAGACAATCCACGGTTCGTTCCAATCGGTCCATTGCTCCCGTCATTTGCATTCGACGGCCAGGTTGGAGTGGACGAACTCGAGCAGGAGAGGTGTGGTTTTTGGACTGAAGATATGGGCTGCCTCGACTGGCTGGACCAGCAGCCATCCAAATCAGTCATCTACGTCTCCTTTGGAAGCGTGGCCAATGCTTCTCCCGACCATATCAAGCAACTCTACTCAGGACTCGTGCAAAGTGATTATCCTTTCCTTTGGGTGATACGATCAGACAATGATGAGCTTCGAAAACTTTTCGAAGATCCGAGTTATGACAAATGCAAGTTTGTTTCCTGGGCTCCTCAACTCAAGGTAAGCTTCGTCTTTTACCTCTTTTCTTGCTTAATATGTCGTCCACACAGGTTCTCAAGCATCCTTCCGTGGGTGCGTTTCTCACTCATTGTGGATGGAATTCTGTTTTGGAGACGATCGTTGCTGGAGTCCCCGTGATTGGATGGCCTTTCTTGTATGAGCAGCCACTCAACTGTGCGCTCGCTGTGGAGCATTGGAAGATTGGCTCTCGCTTGCCACCGGGTCCAGATGCCACGCTCGTTGAAAAGGCAGTGAAGGATATGATGGGAGAAGCGGGCCAAATGTGGAGGGACAATGTCACGAAGCTTGCCATCTCCGCGAAAGATGCAGTCTCTGATGGAGGTCTTTCACATCGAAACTTGGAAGCTTTTAAGTGTAAAATGGCATAAAACTAAAGGAGTCAGTGAAACACCACAAACTAAGCATTTCTAATGAGGAGAAGAGCTAGCTAAGCCCACCAGCGATGAAACAAAGAAGGAAGAACAGCGGCCCAATGTAAAAAACATATTCTAGGAATCAAGAGCATCCGCATATTCGAAGGAACCTCTGTATTTGAATGTGGCTAGGGTAGAATGGGAGCTTGCGCGTCGATTCCAGGGCTGGGCCGGCTTCGCGAGGTAAAGCCGGTGAATTTCCGCTTCTCCGGTCCAGGATCGCTGGAAATCTTTCTGGCCACTCTAGAGCTTCTGCCGGCAGTTTAGTTTAAGTAAATCTGGTTTTATGAAACAATCTCCATTTTACACTTAAAAGCTTCCAAGTTTCGATGTGAAAGACCTCCATCAGAGACTGCATCTCTCGCGGAGATGGCAAGCTTCGTGACATTGTCTCTCCACATTTGGCCCGCTTCTCCCATCATATCCTTCACTGCCTTTTCAACGAGCGTGGCATCTGGACCCGGTGGCAAGCGAGAGCCAATCTTCCAATGCTCCACAGCGAGCGCACAGTTAAGTGGCTGGTCGAACAAGAAAGGCCATCCAAGCACGGGGACTCCAGCAACGATCGTCTCCAAAACAGAATTCCATCCACAATGAGTGAGAAACGCACCCACGGAACGATGCTTGAGAACCTGTGTGGACGACATATTAAGCAAGAAAAAGAGGTAAAAGAAGAAGCTTACCTTGAGTTGAGGAGCCCAGGAAACAAACTTGCATTTGTCATAACTTGGATCATCGAAAAGTTTTCGAAGCTCATCGTTGTCTGGTCGTATCACCCAAAGGAAAGGATAATCACTTTGCACGAGTCCTGTATAGAGTTGCTTGATTTGGTCAGGAGAAGCACTGGCCAGGCTTCCAAAGGAGACGTAGATGACTGATTTAAATGGCTGCTGGTCCAGCCAGTCGAGGCAGCTCATATCTTCCGTCCAAAAACCACACCTCTCCTGCTCGTGTTCGTCCACTCCAACCTGGCCGTCAAATGCAAATGACGGAAGCAATGGACCGATTGGAACAAACTGTGGAGTGTCTCTAGCAAGTTGGTCGAGCTGAGATGTTTCCAACTCGTAGAAAGAGTTTATAAACACCAATGCATCACTCCGTATGATCTGGTTTCTGGTATACCGGAGAGAGAAGTCGGGATCTACGGCGTGAACTTCTTGAAGATGCGAAGGAAAATCCAGTCCAGAAATTGGAGGGAGGCCGGGTACGAAATCTATGATCCTCGAAGTGCCTGAAAAAATATAATAAAAACTCAAGTGGAATAGATTAAAAAGTACCTTTTAGCGGCAGGAGTCCATTTTCCTCAAGCACAAGAAGACCATTCTCGATGCTAAGCCACGAAGCAGAAAATGTTGAAAGAGAGACCTTGCAAATCCCGAACTGGTGAGCGACGTCTTGAAGGCTAGTAATTGCTAAGTCGGTGAGTATGCAAGACACTCTAGGCAGAGAATCATCTGTCATGATATCTCGAATAATCTCTGGCACCGCCAATTTGAGATTCTTTTCCAAGATAGCAACAAACTGGAGCGGAACCGTAGTGACGGAGAAGGCTTCTGGAATGAAAGCATCTGGTAAGTAGACAAATCTCAAATGCTGACCAGTAGCTTGTTGCTCAGTAGCTAGAAAAGTCTCCCTTTTGTTTGAGATCAAGAAAGTGATGAAAAATCCATTGGATACGAGCGTCTTACACAGTTGAAGCATAGGATTGATGTTGCCCAGAGCTGGAAATGGAACTGCTAGCAAGTGTGGTCGCTGCTTCTTCTCCTCCATAGCTAGACTCCGATGTACACACGTTTTTGGTTGTTGCACGAAGAGCATCTCTAGAGGGATTTATTAATGTCGCTAACAGATAAATATAATTTTTAAAGAGAAAGAAGACAGTAGCTTACGATGTCATTGAGTCTTTAGCTTCTCATTCCGGGTAAACTCTTCCTGCGATTAGAAACGTAAGAAGGATATGTATCAGCGACATCTATAATACTACCTGAAGTTGCTTCAAAAGTGCGTAGTATTGACGTCGTTTTGCAACTGCAGCTCCGTGTTTTGTTTTCAGACTGTCATACGTGGTCTTCTTCTCGGAGCAGCGGTTCTCCATCTTTTGAAGCTTCTGCAATGTTGACGAGAGTTAGCAAGGATAACGAAAGAGTAAGCCACTGACCCGTTGTGCCCCTTTCGATATCTCTTGCATGGATTCAACAAATCTGGGACGACCCTCGCTTGTTGCCATCGCCTTCTCGTACTGCATTGAATAGAATCTCGTCTTTCATCACAATGAAATGATAATTGCGTTAAGGACCTGGTCATTTATCGAGTTCAGTAGAGATATTTCCTTCAGTGATAACTCATTCGCTTCAACAAGAGCATTGTAGGACGCATAATACTTCCGAGTCTCGCGTAGCTTGGCCTATTCACCAGAGAAGGAAAATAAACAAATTGTCGTGAATGTTAAAAGCTCACCTGAATGTTCACGTAGAGCTCCATAAAACATCGTTCGTATCTGTTACTAAGGAGTAAGTACATTCTCACATTTTTTCGAGGTGAAAAAAATTTACTGTATAAGTTCCAATTGTGTAGGAACATCATCCACGCGACGTTTAAGAACAACAACATCACGACTTAGTTTTGCGAGTTCCTGAAAAAATCTTTTCAGCAAGAGACGGTAAGGATCAGTGACTTACTTTCCTAAGACATGTCTTTTTCTCAAGGATATTCTCCCCGGCCGTCGAAAGTGACTCTTTCAGGCTGTTTAGTTGCCTCTCCATTCTGTTTCGATCGTCTCTAGACGCTTCCACAAACGCGACCTTCTCTCTTTCCAGAAGCTGAAAATAAACTTTTAGCAGTTGAGCATGGAGTGATATGAGTTTTAGAAACCGTCAACAACTTCAATGCTCCTATGACGTTGTCCAGTGTGTCTTGATCCTTCGAAACATCAGAAGACATCCGCAGCTTAGCTATTTCCGATAGAACGCTTTCCTTTGCTCTAGTCTGCAGTTGCAAAAAATCAAGCTTTGTTCAAGCGGAAACAAAACCACAAACCTGCTCGTCGATATGATCCCGCTTATCTAACAAAGAAGCTTTCTTGCTGCCATGAACAAAAACCGAGAGCCTTTCTTTGCTTCGTTCGAGCTTGTTTCTCAATTCGTCAATCTACAAAGAGGCGAAATAAGAAAACTCAGACTCACAGGCAGGCCTACCTTTTGGTCATAAGGGTCATTGTGTACTTCGCCATCGAACTTGCTGTTAAGTGGAATTATGAGAGATCAAATGAAACAAGTAGATCTATACTTGCCTTTCAGAAGCTTCAATCGATTTCCATTGCTGTCGTTTCATCGGTTTTAGTCGGATGTAAAAGATGTTCACCATACCTTAGAGACTGCTTCAGATTGAGCACTAGACAGAGTTTATCTAAAACTTGTAAGAACAAAGCGTATAAGTAGGCTTACCTCTTCGACCCGTATTTAAGGACTGTGTACTCCGCGCGTATATTTCTGTCGAAGAACAACTGCAAATTCCTGAAAAACCAAGAAGCTTTATGGAAGAGCTGAGAAAACGAAAAATGTCAGACAAACCTGGATTGTCGAGAAATGTGTTGCAAGTGTCCCGACTGAGGATCTTCAGCATGCGCTCGTATAGTGTCCTGTATAAGAAAAGTAAGAGTGGTTTCCTAATTGTTAAGATCACTGAATGATACGTTATAGTCTTTCGATCGATGTTGTATCGGCAGCTCATAGTTCTTACTGAACTGGAAATGAGAGTATCTCCGGAGCTGTGCAAGAACTACGAGTTAAACAAAACGAAAAGAGAAGAAAATCTTACCAGGTCTCCAATTTCATTGCGAGTGTCTAGAACTCGCTTGACAAGCCATTGAACGACTGGCAACACAGCCGGATAATCCAACCCCTGGATTTGATGCGCTTGAAGAGGATAGGGACACCCCATTCTCTGGAGAGCCGACTCGATCGCCTCTCCAATCTTTCTAAACCACAGACAAAGCGATAAAAAAACCGTAGAAGTCAAGCCGGAGCTTACATTTTCTCTCCAAGAATGAGATCATCGCTGTAGTCTAGATGATCGTAGTCGACGTCCACATTGCTGGCGGCAATGCACCACGCCAGGCCTCCCGTAAGCTTGTCAAAGGGCGAGAGATTCGAAATCTGCGCCCGGAAGTAGCCCCCAGCAACGAGAAGATCCTGAATCCGCTCCATCGGACTAGCCAAGGAACAAGAACCCTAAAACCCTCAAATTGTCCCCAAGAACCCTAAATTGTGGCTGTGGAACCCTAGAAACAGGGGCAGGCGATGGATCCAGTGGAACATGCGGTGCGGCTGATCTACAAGGGGCTTCGGCCGCCTCGAATGCGCCTTAGATCGCTGGTCCCGGAGCTGCCATCGCCGATGACAGCCTTCTTCCTGGTGCTAGCATCATATTTTCTCGTAGTTTCTGGGATAATCTACGATGTGATTGTGGAGCCGCCAGGGATCGGCAGCCGCCAAGATCCAGTAACAGGTGCGATCCGTCCAGTGGTATTCTTGCCGGGGCGAGTGAATGGGCAGTACATTATCGAGGGTTTGTCATCGGGATTTATGTTTGTTCTTGGTGGAATGGGGATTGTGGCGCTGGATCTGGCCACGCACAAGGGCTGGAGCAAGAATGTGAGGATGTCATTTGGGCTGGGTGGAATTGCGGCAGTGGTGATCGCCTATGCGATGAGCGTTCTCTTCATTCGCATTAAAATTCCAGCTTACCTCCACTAGAAAGGGGTAAGAGAGATGAGAGAATAAACTCTTTGACTACTCTCAAAAAATTTCTTTTGTTTCTTGAGCTTCTTCTGGTAGCTAGCTTGTCTTTGACTTCGCACAACAATTCCTTTTTTTTTCGTTGAGATCACGACTGCTAGAGACGACTTGTTTCTTTTGCTAGTACTTTAGGAGGTGGTGCTATTTCTCTCGATCTTGGCAGCAAATTTTCACGAATGGCTTCTGGATGGCGCCTTCTCGTCCAAAATGGAGCTTTGCAGGAGCATGATCCAGGGCAAGTCACGTCTTTTCTTCGCTCCCATCCCGAAGGTAAGCACGAATTCTTCCAAGCTATCCGGAGCTCTCGACTTTCAGGTGCTTTCACCGTGACCCGGACTGCTGATCGAGGAGCTCGTTTGCTCCTCTGGGAGAGGCATCTTGCTCGTCTCGCTCAGTCTCTTCGCCTCTTGCGAACCAGGACGTTTTCGCCATCGCCCAGCTCCCATTCTTTTCCCGAGCTTTTGAATCCGTCCTTACGTGCGGGACTGGGAGAAGCATTGAAGAGACGGAGTGAGAAAGAGGAGGTCGCTGTGACTGTTCATCTTCGTCATTCCGATGAGGTAATCACTTTTCATCGCGAAGCTCCACCTTTTCTATTCCCTGTTCGCAGAGATCTCTCGACGTTTCTGTCCATATCTCAAGCTTTGTCCCTGCAATCGTCGTGAACACGGCCAGCGTTGCCGTCATGGGGCCTAGCCGCCCGCTTCCTCTCGCCAAGTCTTCGCAGTGGGTAAGGTAATGTAAACTTTTCTCTTTCGATCTTTCTTCCTACAAGCTTTTCTCGCGAGTGATTTCTCCAGTGCTCGCCAAGTGCTGGAGCAATGCAAGCCTGAGAATACCACCGAAGTAGTCCTCTCAAACGATGGCCAGCACTTGCTGGAGGGATCCATATCCAATTTCTTCGTTGTTTTAAGCTCGTAAGTTTCGTGCTTTTCTCGTTCTAAGCTCATCCTTTTCATTTCCCCCAGTGATGGCAGAGTTACTGTCCAAACCGCTGCCCTGGAAAACGGAGTTCTACCTGGGACGATCCGGCAACTAGTCATTGAGTAAAATCGAAGCTTTCTCAAGCTTACGTTCTTCCAACTTCTCTTTCGGTGTTCCCGATAGGATTTGCAACGATACGAGCATACCAGTGAGCGAGACCAGCCCTTCTTGGGACGAGCGATCCTCGTGGAAAGAAGCCTTCGTGACCAGTAAGCGAGCAAACCACCACGCTTACAGATCCTATTTACCTTTTCTCTCGCATTTCCAGATAGTTTGAGTTTGATCCAGCCTGTGAGGAGCATCAAGATGCCAGTTCCATGGAATGCCAACTTCGATCCAAAACAATGGAGCCAAAGCAGTTGGCAACCATTGCATCTCATGGTAGAGCGATTTCTAGTCTTTACCTCAGTTTTTTAATCGAGATCTCTTCTCGCAGACAAATGGTGACGTTACGCAAATGCTCCAGGTTGGTGTCGCAAGATGCTTAAAACTTTAATGCGGTTTTTCAACTTTTGGCAGAAAGAAATATTCGAGCGCGCTAAAAACTATGGTTATCTCACCAGCGATTTGCTCGGCACGGCTTCGATTAGAAAGAAGTTTATTTGAAAGATTCCCTTTGCTGACAAAATGGGGTCCCAGTCTCCTTATACGTCCTTAGATTTCGCAAAAATTTAGCTATGTACCATTGTCGAGCCTAGCTGAAATTCCAAAATCCCAGTTTGAGCAAACGACAGTGAGAATTTGCGTGGACTCACCAGCACTCACTGCATTGTCCAGTTTGGAAGGTTTGCAGTGGCCTCATTTACCATCTGTACTAATCTCACCTGGAGAGCAAAGCATTAGAAACAAGCTCAAACAAAGAAAACTTTTATGATCATTCATACCACTGTTTCTGGAACGCCTGGAGGTGGAAGCGTCAGATTCTGGGGCATGACCTTCTGAGTGTAGGAACGCTTGTCGAATCTCCACTCCCCGACTTTGCCGTAAGTCAATTCTCCCTAAAGAACCGTAGCCAGCACTGCGTGAGAAATATTCACCACCAAGAAATCTGCCATATGATGCAATCAGCAGGCTGGTGCGCGCGCAGGAAACCACACCAAAGCACTACCTTCATTGTGTAGTCGCATCCGTAAGTGTAGTGGATCATGTACACCTCGCCTAGTTTGCCGTCCCACGGCGGCTGTGAACGCAGAGTCTACTAAGTTTCTTACAGAAAGATCGAGTGTACATACCTGAACCATGAAATTCTTATGCAGTATGTGCTGGATCCCATGCAAAGCCGAAGCAACAGCGTAGCCATACCTGTAAAAGATGGAAAATTACAACACAGGTAGTGACAAATAACTCCCGCTCACATTTCTAGAACCCAGCCGAACGCTTTGTCTGCGGCTGGATCGTTTTTAAGTTGGAGCGATACATTCGCCCAAGTCGGCGCAACCCTTAGAAGATGTGACTGCAAGCGACGTAGCCAATGCTTAACGAGAGAAAAAAACAACAGGAGCTACCTTTTTGATGATCACGGGTGAGTTCCCAATTGGATCAATGTTAGTAATGGGTCCTCTATCTTCGGGGAAGTACCTCCGAAGCAACTTCTCGTGTGACTTGGGCGTGATGTAAAAGAATGGATACGCTGCAGGCATGTCGTCTATGGCAAGATTTGGAATTGGCCTGAGAATGACATGGTCCGGTTCGGCCATGAATATATACCTGACAACCAGGAAACAAGGAAAGGGAAAAACCAGCCATGAGCATTGAATGACTTCTAAGACCAATGGATTCCAAGAGAAAAGAACTTACTCCTCTTCGATGTTGGCCTTTTGCAACCATTGGACGAAAGCCCAGGGCCTGTTTAGAACAACGTATCCCTGGACGAAGAAAAAAGCTTTCAAGTCAACGATCGCTAGGAACTCCAATCCCAAAGAAGCCCGAGAGAGAGCTTTGTGATCGCATACCTTATCCATGCCCGGGGGGAGAGGGTCGACCACAAAGGTGGGAATTTCGTCCATGAGATTATCGGGCTTCCCGGAGTGGAGCACACGCGTAAACCCTCCCATCTCGGATCCAGCCTCGTCCTTGAACTTCTTGTACCAGTAGTACATGATCCGGCACTGCCAGCGATTGTAGAGCGCCGATGTGGCCGTGACCGCGGTGTGGAAGCGCCGCTCCCTGCGCCGCGCCTTGGCGAAATCCCGCGGCATTGAGACGAGAGCCGACGATGCGGCGCCGGCGGCCCGCGATCGGCCGAAATTTCGCACCACGGAGCTCCGCGCCACGCTCAGGGACTGATAGGTGAGCACGGAGGCGACGAGGAAGAGGCAGAGGAGGAGGAAGATCCTGGAGAGCGCCATGACCTTGCGCTATCCCGATGATCCTAAGCAGCGGCAGCGCCTATTTCTATCTAAGGCCATATTCGTCGCGGATTTAGCCCGGCCAGCATTCTTTCCGCGTCGATCTGACCCTAGCGAGCAAAATTCCTGGGTTGAATCGTCACGGCGGGGGCAAGCTCGCGAGGGACGAGCAGCTAGCGAGCACGCACTTACAAAGAGAGCGACAATACCTAGAAGGTAGGCCCTATGTGCGTCAGCCGTTGGATCCATCCGGGCATGTGACCATTTAGCCCGTGCCGCGTGGCACGAGGAGTGGTCAGCTCTCATTGACCGGTCCACGGGGTCAAACCTCGCACAAATCACCCGATAAACTTCTTTTCTTCCTCGATAAACTTCTGGGAGTTGAGGTTATCGCCTTCTTCTCTCACGCGCTGCATGGGGTTCCTTGGATTGATCATGTCAATTCTTTGTGTCTTGTTGGATGCAACAACAATCCCAGGTTTGTCATGTATCGATCGATTTGAGAGACCTGGAATCATCAGTTCGATTGGCACATTGATAGATCGAATGGTCTCTCCAGCAGCAATTCTCGCGCAAATTTGCCCAGATCGATCGCGGCATTTCGCGGGCGACAAGGATCAAACGATCCAGCTCCTCAATCGGAAAATGCTAATGCCCAGCTATTCTCCCAGCGATTGCCGCCTCTACTGCCATCCAGGGAGCATCTCCTACTACGCGAGCCCGTGCGTGCAATGCCGCGCAGCGTTGATCCCCAAGATCCCAACCGAAGAGGAGCTCGAAAACAATCTAAGGAAGTTAACTAAGAACCCTAAAAACAGGGTGATGTGAAAGCCCTAAAATCAGATCACACTAGGGCGCGCGCGCGCGAGAGGGAGGAGAAAATGGAGCCGCTCTGGAAGCTCCAATACCTGCTGGAGCCGTCCTCTCTGGCGCTGATCTCGACGGCCGCAGCGGTAGTCTTCGCCTCGGCGCACAGAGCCCTCGGCCATGAGATCGCGCTCGGCGGTGGCAGCAGCAGCAAGGAGATGATCATCGGCGCGTCGTCGGTAACCCTAGATAGCTCCCAGGCGCTCATGATCCCCCTCGCCAGCTCCTGCAGCCTCCTCCTCATGTTCTACCTCTTCTCCTCCGTCTCGCAGATCATCACCCTCCTCACCACCGCCATGGCCGCGGCATCGCTCGCGTTTTGCATCGCGCCCTACGCCGCCCGGCTGGGCTCTCCCAGAATCCAAGCCCCGCTCGTGGCGGCCGCGACCGCGACCGCGATCGCGCTGTGGCTCGTCTCGGGGCATTGGCTGCTCAACAATCTCCTGGGGATTTCCATCTGCGTAGCGTTCGTGTGCCACATTCGCCTCCCAAACGTGAGAGTTTGCGCGCTCCTCCTGGCGTGCCTGTTCGTGTATGACGTGTTTTGGGTGTTTTGGTCTGAGAGGTTCTTTGGCGCCAATGTGATGGTGTCCGTGGCGACGCAGCAGGCTTCCAATCCAGTGCGCACCGTCGCGGACAAGCTCAATCTGCCGGGGCTGGGATCCATCACCAAGCAGCTCGATATGCCCGTCAAGCTTGTGTTTCCTAGGCATTTGATCGGTGGCGCCGCCGGGAACCCAAATGCTGTCGGCGATTATCTCATGCTCGGCCTTGGAGATATGGTCCGTTCTCTCTCTCTCTCTCTCTCTCTCTCTCTCTCTCTCTCTCTAGTTTTCTAGGAAGGTGGCGCTCCTCTCATATCCCGGATGCCATTGGATCTCTCTCTCTCTCTCTCAACTCTTGGATTCTGACTCTGGATCTTTTCTGATGCTCTTCGTTCCTCCTAAGATCGCTAGACTTGTTTTCTTTTGTTTATTTCTTTTGTTTAGTCTACTCACAAGAGATCTGTGCTTTCAGGCAATTCCAGGCATGTTGGTGGCACTGGTGGTGTGCTTTGATCACCGCAAGAGCACCAAAGCCCGGGGCTCGGAGCTACCGTCGCCCAAAAACCAGCACAAGTACACATGGTACGCTCAGTGCGGTTATACCATCGGTTTGATCTGTGCCTTAGCAGCAGGTTTGCTAACTCACTCGGCACAACCAGCGCTTCTCTACCTGGTAAGTAAGATCTCTTTTCAACGCCATCCTTGCGTTGTGGTGATCTTTTTTCTTTTCCATCCTTGGGAAGGTACCGTCGACTTTAGGACCCGTGATGCTCTCCGCCTGGATGAGAGGCGACTTTAACGAGCTCTGGAATGGATCCAGCAGGCTGAGCGACAAATCACAGCTGGACGTGGTCTGATCGATCTGGAAACGAGGAGCGACAATTCTTTCCCAGGATTATAACAAGAGGAAGTTTCAATGATCTCGTCGGATAAGCTTAGACTACCAACTTGCAAGCAACACTTAACAACACACAAAGCAAAACCAGGATCATCATAACCGAAAACGTATGAATGACGAGACTTAAGAAACTGTGTTTTCAGTCAGGACTCAGCGAAACTCGTTGAGTTTGGCTTGGCGATAATGACTCGCTCGAGATTCCTGGGCTTTCCCGAGCGACAAGAAAAATCTAGTTATGCATGAGTGAGGATCGAAGGAGTGACTGACGGAAGTGACTTACTGACCGAAGAGAATGATGCACGATATGTTGGACGTCGAAATTGCAACCAATGTTGACACGAGAGAGGATGTGACACGAAAGTCTTGGGTCTGTTCTTTCCTGTACATTCTTAGCCTACAGCTTTCCTGAAACTATGAACTAACACAAGATTAGATCAATCAATCCTAGCTAGGAAAAGGAAACGAACAAACCACACTCGCTCGCTCGCTCTCTCGATCCAGATCACGTCCAGATCCAGGCCTCAAACTTCAACCTCTGGAACAAAAAGAGTCGAAGCAAAAGTTAAAGCCTGCGATGATCTGAATCTGTCCTCAAACAAATCCTTTCTTTTATCTTTTGCCTCGGTGTTGTTGGAAACGAGTGAGTGAGCTGTTTTCTTCTTCTTCTTCAGTGGTGTTCTATCAGTTCCACGGCCGTTTGGAAAAGTAGAACAGAAACTTTGCCAATAGAAAAGTAGAGGAAGCCACCGACCGAGTGTGTCACATAAGATCCAAAGCTCGTCCCCACAATGCAGTGCCATGCTGGCCCGTATGCCTTGTCAAATTCCTACCAAGAAAACAAAAGCAAAAGCATAAGTTTGACTGGGAAGCGATGAGCGAAGACTCGCGAAAAAAGAAAGATCTGACCAGAAACATTAAACAACCGAGGAAAAAGGAATCGCATGAACACGCACACGCCGATAGAGAGAGAGAGAGAGAGCGCCCAGTAATTAATGATCGCAAGACTGAGAATCTGGAGAGAAATAAACAATGGAGCGAGAATACCAAAGTGCAATCGAAAGCAGCCAAAAACTCTGGAACACAAAAGAAAAGAAGGGAAAAGAAAACGTCGAAGAATCGCACAAGAAGGCGATCGTTTGAATGAAGAACAATGCCAGAGAGCACAACAGAGAGCGAGGAAAAAAAAATGCTGTCGACATGATGCAAACAACTCTTAAGAACTAATCCACGCACTGACTCGAGAATGGACGAAGAACATAAAGAAAAAGAGCATACCTTCTTGAGCGTCCAAGCTACTCTCTTACAATGCAGCTTGTCCATGGCGTCGAGCACCTGGTTCGCGCAGTAGAAGGCGTGCTCTTGCATCGTCACGCCCATATCCGCGGCTTTCAACCTTACCAGTTTGCTCAAGCTGGAAGAGCTCGACATCGCGGAAGAACACGACGCCGATCGCAAGAGCATTGGAGCCACTGGAGGTGGCGCTGGAGGAGCAGTAGGGGGGATGTGATGGTGCGCTCTCCTCGCATATCCACCATTTCCATTTCTTCCCATGATCATCCTCACCACGCTGCTGCCACTGGTGCTCTCCTCGGCGTCGGAGCTCCGCCCCGAGCAAGACATCACCATCGTCCCGCTCGACAATGCCTTGATCTTCTCCTCGGCGCCGGCGTTCTCTAGGCTGCTGCTACTGGAGGACACGGATTTTTGGCGGACGAGGGAGTGAATCTGCTGGCTTCTAGCGCCGCCATAGCCCGATAGCAAGCTCCTTCTCGGAATATCGAGCGAGGATCTGGGCAAAATATCCCCACCCTCGGCCGATGCCCTGAGCGATGCATTCTCGGACGAGGAAGAAGACGAAGAGGTGGAGGAGCAAGAGACGAGATTCCTTGCCCGGAGGAGCTTCATGGCCAGCTGCTTCTCATCCACGACCATCTTCTTGGGGACCTTGCGGGGAAGAACGAGCGGTGATCCATGGCTGGAGCTGTCGAAATCCGCCGCATTGCGCAGGAGGAGCTGCCTGGAGGAGGAGGAAGAGGGATAAACCCTTCTCGAGTTGAGAAGATTGACTGGCGCTTGCTGCTGCTGCTGGGAATGCTGCTGGCGATGATGATCTTCCAAGAACTGGTACTGCCGCTGCTGCTGGAGGAGGAGCAGCTGCTTCTTGGTGAAGAGCCGCGGGGAGTAGGGTTCTTGATCCTTGAGATCCTTGGCCAGGCTCCGCCGCGCGCCTCTGCTCGCCGCCGCCGTGGCCGTGGCGCTCGATCCTCCGCCCGCCATTGCCGATTTCTTCGATTCTACACAATAATCTCCATCCACCGATCCCATTCGCGCTCGAAATGCCGAAGATGCGCAGGGTCGATCGGTCCAAACCCTACTCTACCTAGAAAACTAATTCCCCACCAGGCATAGCTATGCACAGGAAGAAGAAACGCCCGTGACCGCCAGAAACGCCGTATCGTAGACCGTAAATGATCCTGTATTATACGAACGCCCCATGCTTAGGATCCAAAATCAAAATCAGTCGCTTTCTAGCTGCACCGCAACTATATTGTTCTTCAAACAACTAATCAAATATGATTGCTTAAGACTAATCTTTGGAAATTTGAAAGTCATGTAGAGCCATACCGGAACTGCTGCCATGGCAGATTTGTCAGTCCCATTCTTAAGAAAAAAAATCTACATTTACCCAGGCCGACTTAAGAGAAACTGAAACTATTTTTACCATGTTAATCAGAGCAAACTAAACGTCGGTACCCGCCGGTACACGTCCGCCAATAACTCCAAACCAGGAATACTAAAATGAATAGTGCCACGAGATATAACTCATGTGGTACACTACATACTGGACTGACCATGGGATAGATACCTCCACATATTTAAAGACGACCATATGGTTCCGACGACTATCATACCTTTGAAAACGATTTATCTTGCAAAGGTTGCTATCACATCCTTCTCTTCTTCTAATAGCTCTTCGATGCGCAGCTTAAAAAGACGCCAAAACTTTAGAGCAATTTAAAGGACAAAAAAAAAAAAACTCTTCTCGATTTACTTCGTGGTCAGTGTCTGCGTTCGATTGATTGCTTGCTCCACTACCTGCAAGCCCAGATTTATGGCGAGCAAACTTCCAAGACAAAGAGGAAGAAAGAACAAAAAATCTCGAGCGTTTTTCTATACCTTGACTCAATTGGAGGCGATCTACTTGGCTGGAACTGACGTCGTTGTGAGGAGCTGCTCGAAATCCCGGCTATACATGGCTGCTTTCGCAAGAGAGATCTCCAAGTTCTTCCTCACGAGCTCCCTTTGGGACTCGAGCCACTTCAATCCCTGCGGCGTACCAGCGAGCTCCGCCATTGTTTTTGGATAGCTTATTGGAGCAGGCATCGCTCGCAGCTTTCTTCTACTTACGTGCAATCCGTTCAACCTGAGCAGACAACGCACATTAGCAAATCGAAGCAAACGAACGCACAAACAAATAGAAAACGCCTTACTTGTCCAGGATTTTCGCCATGTTTTTTATCTCAGACGCGCTGTAATAAATGTCCACGACGCCATCCATCCGGGGATCAACCTTGTCGACTTGTCCGTAAGATTTATAGCTGCTCGCGATCTTTTCACGTGCATCTGCTGGGATATTAGATAGCCTTACTACTGTCGTTAGAGGAATATCGACTCTGGTCAGTTTCAGGGATTTCCCACCAAGGATCACTTTAGAAGCTGCCAAAGCGGTATCCTTTTCTATCTCGCTCTGCAACAAAAACGAAAAGAACAGGTGTAAGGCTCCAGCAAGTCGGATAGAAAGAATGGCAGACAAAAGTACCTTGAATTCAACGTACGCAGTCGTGTTTCCGCCAGAGCTATGCTTTGTCTGTGAGTTGACGACTTCTCCATACTGCCCCAAGGCATCGATGATCTGAGGAAGGCTTGCATGTGGTATGCTCTCGAGGGCTAGAGTGCATCGCCTCTTTTCGGGGGCCAAGGCCAGATCGTCCATAGTCTTTGTAACTGCTAAGCTTGTTTTGTTTTTGTTCGACTTTGCAGCGTCATCGTCCGAGTCAGACTCTTGCTTCTGTTGTTTCTCTTTCGGAGCTCCGTTCTTTGAAGGTTCGGTTTGAACTTTGATGCCCCTGATAATGATCTCCTTTTTCAGCGCAGAGTTTAGTGCCTCTTCAGTCTGTCAATAAGTTGAATGATTAGAACAAAAGCGTGGAGCTTCTATAGTACTTACCGTGAAATCCACAAAACCATAGATGTACTTTGCGCCAGGATTTCGACTTCGAACGATTTGGATCCTATGAATGTCTCCACAGCTCCGAAAAGCGGCCTTGACATCCGACTCTGTCGCTTGAGGAGCGAGGAACTTTATGTATAATCCATGCCTCGGTTGCAAATCACTTCGAAGCAAAGGTTGTGCTGGATTCTTGTCCTCGGACCCCGCCGGCAAATCCACCTCACTGTCGCTGCTCTCACTTTCGCTATCGTCTTCTTCAGTTGAGTCGCATGCAGCTGACTGCCTTGGAGGCGGCGGCGGCGTGATAGCAGGCCGAGCCGATGGCGCTTGAGACGAACGCGTTGGAGTCGCTTTCGCCGACGCAATGCTGTGGAGCTTCTCCCACAAACTGAAGGCCGGTTCTTTTACTTCCGCTGCTGCTTGGACCTCCTTCTTTCCCTGATCCTTCACGCCAGTTTCTGAACTCGTTGTTTTGGAGCTTAACGGCGTGCTTGAACCAGGAGAGGGAGTACTAGCCGCAATATGAGAAGTCGAAGTTGCTACACTCATGTTGGCTGGACCGTCGCTAGAAGCCTTTTGCGTTGAAGCTGGCGATGACTTGAGAGCCGTCGCTGGCTTAGAACTAGCAGCAGCGTCCGGAACGCCGTTCTTATTTAGCTCCGGCTCTAGGCGTTCCAGCACCTTGGGGGCGATTGTTCTAGCTCCGCCAAACTGTTTTGTCAGGATGTAAGCTTTTGGAAGACATCCTTTCTCGGCCCAATACCTAACGAAACGTTTAGCTACATTCTCCAGATTCTAGAAAAAAAAACGGAGCTTACTTGCGGACATAGGCCTCCATGCGCAAAATCCTCTCCTCGCGAATCGCCGCATTCTTGTCCACTGCCGCTGCCGCCGGCTCTTGCAATGCAGCTGGGAAGTGTGAGCATGCCTGTGAAATCCGCGGAAGAAAAATGCGCATTCTTGATCTTACCGGCAGACTGGGAAAGGTTTCGCGCGAATGTGGATCGTCGCAGCAAGGTCGGCGCGGATTGTGTAACGCCGCGCGCAATCACCTGCTTGAGCATTGTGGGCGCTACCTTAAACCCTAACCCTATGAACCCTAAAAAAGTGATAAACCCCAAATAAGCCAGTGGGATTGTGCCACGTACTGACATAGTGTTGTAGGGCTCTTCGCGTAGAGGAAGAGAACGGCGCCCAAGCAGTGATCGTCTTGCCCGTATGTTGAGCTAGGATCGACGGAAATATGGAGTCGGATAGCATTTCTGGATTCACAGATGAGAGATATCTCCGCGATCCTCTTTCATGCCTTGGCACGGAGGCCTTGATAGATCTATTCTCGCCTCCTCGCTACAATGTGGCTTCTTCTCTAGATTATTCGCAAGATTTTGAGGGAGATAGAGGACAATCACACTCTTCGAACAAGAATTTGCTAGAAATCCCTGAGGAACAGATAGACGACGAGGAAATAGAAGATGATCGAGAGTGCTTGCGAAGAGATTTTACCAATCCTGGCAATTCTGAAGAAGAAGAAGAAAAAGAAAAAGAGACTAGTGATTCAGGCCTACAAAAGGAGGACACTTACTCACAGGTATGAGGTTCTTGTGTGTTTGTGTTGCTTCTAAGTTTTCTCTTTATGTTTTTGTTCTAGGCGACTGGTGCGAAAAATCCAGATAGTAGCCGAGCTAGCTTGGAAGCGATTGACGATGCAAAAGCTTTAAAAACCCTCGACGAACACAGACCGGATGTAGTGGGAGTGGTCGAAACTCAAGCAAAGGATTGCTCGCACGGAATCATGGTAGTAAATGAGGCCGAGTTAGAGGAAGTGGTGGATACTCGAGGCAAGAACGATAAGTCGGATCTAGTGACGGGGATGATGCGAAGGGGAGAGAAAAACCACGACAGTAACGATAGTCATGCAACACGAATTGATCCTTCACCCGAAGAAGATAGTCTCAAGGGTGGTGGCTGGGTATGCCCGAGAGCTGGAAGAAAACGCAGGAAAGGCTTGCGCCAAGGAGTTCTGGACGGCTGGCTAGTCTCTACCGTACATGGGTCAACCAGGCAGCGTCATTTCGTCAAAGCCCCACCGAGTTTCCGGTAGATGCAAGAGCTCCCGAGCGATGGCGGACGCGGCAGTGCTCGCAAGCAGCGTCATCACAAGCTTCATTCAAGGTGTGAAGGCTCTCAAGGACGCGTCTGTGAATCTAGATGAGGCGCCATCGAACTTTCAGAACTTGAAGAGGTTAGTGACCCAGCTAGAGAGCTCCGTGACCAAGACAGAGAAGAAGTACGCGAACAAGCTTCACAATGACGAGTTTCGGGCCAGGCTTCGAGATTTACGTGAGCTTGTCCAGGAGTTTAGCACTGAGGTAGGAAAGGCCGAGAGGCTCACTTCCAGGAAAGGATTGACACGGGTCATGGCGTGCTGCTGGTCAGCAGCTGTCGGGGACGAGCTGCTGAGAATCGCATACTCCATGGAATCCCAGCTGCAGAAATGGTTTGAGCAGCAAAATGTTCCAGTCAGCATCGAAGAGGCCATGGAGAGGTACGCTCAAGGACTACCATCTTACTTAACTTTGCAACCAGAGGATGGCTACCAGCCATTGCGCTCTAAAGTCCAGGAGGTGTGCGATCTTCTCGCGAGCAGCCCTCACAAGGTTGTCCTCGTGCACGGCCTCTCTGGTATCGGGAAGTCATCGCTTGCTCATTTTGTGGGAGCAAGCTCTCTGCCAACGAGATTCGTAGACGGCAGCTTGAAAGTTTTGCTTGGCTATGGGTGTAGCAGAGCTGCATTGGGAAACAACACTAAAGAGTACCAGAAAGACTTTGCTGAGAAGATTGTTCACCTCCTACGGACACAGCTGGGCTATAAGAAGCACGACCTCGACGGCATAAGCTTGAAAGAAGCCTTCGTTATCTTAGAGGAGACGCTCAAGGAGAAGAACTACTTGATCATCGTTGACGATGTGTGGGAGGCAGACGTGGTGATCCGGTTCATGAAACTCCAGGGGAATCGGTGTAAGTACCTGGTGACAACAAGGCTATATGCGATGGTTTCGAGTGACGTTGACAGAGTGGAGGTAACGAAGGAAGACGTCGCTCAAGTTGGAAAAGAAATCCTACGGCACCACAGCCAAGTGCAAGACTTGCCGGTACAAGTATAGTTTTTCCTTTCAATCTTTCGGCTGTTAACGAGTATTCTCAGGAACTTGCTGACGAACTCCTACATCGTTGCGGACATCATCCCCTCACAGTCACTGTGATCGGTCAGGCTCTGGAAGGAGAATCCAGGCACGAGCAATGGCTTCAGGCAATTAACGATCTTTCGATTTATGCCAGCCGAGCCCCTGTTCCAAACAAGGATCTCATGGACGACGACGTATCAAACGCCGCTACTGTGTTTGGTTCCCTCGAGTTTAGCCTGAAGGCGATGGAAAAGGAGACGAGGGAGTTTTTCACCGCTTTTGCTGCACTATCATGGGTGGAACCGATTCCAGAGCCATGTCTCGAAGAAATGTGGCGTGCTCTTGGGCTGCAAGGAACTTTTCGGCTGGCTATAGGTGCTCTTCTGAAAGGCTCTTTGATCGGCAAGCATAAGTCGTCCTACAGCTACATTATTCACGACATGGTCGCTCTCTACCTTGCCGAGAAAGACCTCGAAAGCTTGGAACTCCTGAAACTTCCGGACTCCTCCAGAGAGCTAGCCACAGTAGCTCCGTGGCTTTATAGATACGGGAAAGAAAGACCGAGAAAAATGGCAGGGGATGCTCTTCTCAGGATCCTCGGGTCAAGGAACGAAGCTCTACAGGCTAGCGTTTTCGACGCGACTATAAACCTGTGCTCTCTTTGCAAGACGTATCAAGACTGGTCGGAGACTAGCCAGTCATTTGTTCTACTTCTGGGGCCCGGGATCCCGAGACTTATTCCGGAACTTGGTCCCGGAGGGAAGGCAGCACAGTCGGCTCTCCGCTTCATCGCAAACTACTATACTCCAAGCGACTGGGAGTACAACTTGAGCAGTTTTATAGACACTGGGATACTTCATCATATCCGGCAACTTCTGAAGCCCGACGATGACTCACTGTCGAGCATGGTTCACGTCTTGAAGAAGCTGGTAACGTTTATTTCCGCTGCCGAGAACGCTCAAGACACTCTGCGAATTATGCCCATCGACGAGCTGGTTAAGCTGCTGGATCCTTCTTCAAAGACCACGCGGAACTTTGTGGGAAGCAGTGCGATGGACGCTTTGATTGCGATGGCCGAAGCCGGTGGACAGGACGTAGTGGATCGTATGTTCTCGGCGGGCCTGGGGGCGATGATGGTCCAGCACATAAGATCCGACTTTGACGAGTTTGGGGGGTGCGGCATGAAGGAGCTCAACGTCTTAAGAGAGCGCTATCTGGAAGGAGGATCAACCATCGTCGCCACTTTCCGGCGGTCAAAGCTGTATGACAAGATGCCGGAGAGGCATGCAGCGTTCTTCGACGACAGCTTTTCTCTGGTATAAGTGTGTTCCTCGACACTCGTTTCAAGCTGGACAAGCGCTTTTGCAAAGAAAGGTACAGAGCTTTATTGAGCTGTTTATGCGACGAGAGTGGCACTTATTTGCAGAGTTGTTTCCGAGCTTGCCGCGGTGGGCACAACGTGGTTGTAGGTATGTTTCCCATTACAACTATTTAAGCGGTTCTGACTTTTGTTTTCTTGTGAATTTCCTTACAGACATGCGATGTTGATGGCACGGGGAAAGCATGGATTGCTTTGATTACGACGATCGTGTGCTGTGAATTTTGTGAGCGTATAAGCATGTGGTACCCTCAGGTCAGTGAATTATTTTCTTGTTTGTACATGAGGACATTCACCCGTCTACGTCTGCGCACATCTGTATAGCCTTTGAACTTCAAAGTGATCCGCACCACACATCTGGCTATGGATGTTCCTCAAAAGAAAGCCAGTCCTTTATGGGGGAGTACTCTCTCAGATTTCCAGGTCTGGTCGTTGTTCGAGACATAAGCTGGGGGGAGATACTACCTAGTTGAAGCTTTAGCAGGCGAGGTGTTTGCAATGGCCAATGGTATGGGATCGACGAGAGATCTCTCCGGTGGAGCGGCAAATGGTTCTCGAGTTTCTCTCCAATTGGATGGAGATGGTGAAGCAGCTTCTCTTTCCCGACTCCAGCAGATGAGCAGGCAGACAGGTTTCCAACTCGCTGCAGCGTTTGGGAGCGCATCCAATAGCCGCAATGCGGAGCACGCGTTGAGTTCCAGACAGGGGTTTGGATTCATGCAAAGCTACATGACCGCTGGTAAGCTTTCAGAAATTTCTGCTCTTTGGATGCTTATTCTCACAGTTGCAGGCGTTTGTAATCCTGGAAGATGGTCTCTTCGCCCTTGGAGCCATTACAAAACAACTGAAAATCAAGGCCAGAGCGTGCTTCTAAAGCCCACTCCAAATCTTTCGCATAACACGGATAAGACGGGTGATCTTTCACTTTCTCTCAGACCGCCGTCGTCGTCTTCGTCGCCTCCAACACCAAAACAGCCAGCGTTCTCTGGAGAGTTTACAATGTTATACGATGGCAAAGTGGCCGTGTACGAAAGCATGCCAATCGATAAGGTAAGTTTTTCTTCTTACTACTATTTCGATTTTCTTGACCCCTGTTCTAGGCTCAAGCTATAATGCTTCTGGCCGGGAGCGTGACATCTGGTAGCTCGGAAACAGCCGCCGCTGCAGTAAATCTACTGCTCTCCGCCAACAACATATCCCAGAGCTCCTCGTCAAACTCAAAATGTTCAGGTAAATTCTTGCTTCGCTATTTCAAGCTCTAAACGTTTCATCACTGCGCAGCACTGCCACAAGCTAGAAAAGCCTCTCTCCAAAGGTTCCTGGAGAAGAGAAAAGAAAGGTAACTAGTTGCTTCGTTCATTTTTTCTTGCCAGCCAGATAAAAAAAGTCAGTTTTTTTCTCTTCTTCTCAACCAGATGTGCATCGACTGCTCCATATCCAATCAAAAAAACCTCATCTCCTCCTGGTAGTCCCCACAGCGATCCCCAAAGCTTATAACAAGCGCTAACAGGTACTTCTCATTCGTTTTCCCTGAGCTAAGTAACTCGTTCGCGAACACCTGTGGTCTTGCTTGTTCCACTCTCCGCGTAGACATGGAGAGCACTATATAACTCTGCGTGCTCGGGGTTGATACCGGACACCTGGCACTGGCCTCCTTTACTCGAGGAAGATCCCTTGAGTTCTACAAGCTCCCAGCAGCGTCATCCACACCGACGCCGCAGCTTCAAACGGCATCTTGCGAATGAGCTCTCCTTGGTATCCTCCAGCCTTCCATTCAAGAGCAGCGGCCGTCCGGCCAACGTGGTAGTCGTGGATCATCGAGACGACGAACTCGGCCTTGGCGGTGGCTGCAAGCTGCGAGGACGCACAGCAGAGTTACGTCGTCGGCCCGAGCTCCCTCCTGCTGCATCAGGTGGAAGATCGCCACCGCCTCCGCCGCGCAGCCGTGCCTGGCCGAGGTGGCGATCATCGAGCTCCAGCGGGAGGTGTTGAGCGGATTGGTGCTGCTGCTGTGGAGGAAGATCCGGGACGCGTCCTCGAGGGTGCCGCATTTGCCGTAGGCGATCATCAGGGTGGTGCTGGAAGCCGCTCTCGTGGACGCAGCTGTGGATGCTCCTCACCTCCGGCAGCGCGATCAAGCTCGACCAGGGTGGTGAAGTCTTGGCGTCGGCGCGGTGGCTGCTGGATCCTTCTTCAAAGGCTTGAACTTTGTGAGAAGCAGTGCGATGGACGCAAATGTCTCTAAAAGATATTAAGTAACAAATCCGACCTACCTAAAGCCCACTCCAAATTTTTCTCAGATAAGACTGGTGATCTTTCACTTTCTCTCCGACCAGTCGTCTTCTTTGTCGTTGCCTGCAACACCAAAAGAGCCAGCTTTCTCGCTCAGTGCCGACCACCTGCATAAAAAAAAGCTCAATGTAAGAACCTAGACACACAGACAACTCTACCGACATTCTTGGACATTCTACTCACTTCTGAAGCTTGGGATATTCACCACCAGTGGAAATGTCTTTAGTTTCTTTTGTCAAGGATAGAGCATGTATTTTAACCATGATAATAGCATTATATCAAGAGCAAAGGAAGGGTATATGCTTACATCAAACAGGCAATGCCAAATTTTTCATCAAAATACTCCTAAATATGAAGTGCAATTTGTAAATTGCACCAAATTGTGTTAATTTCTAATTGGATGTTAGAGAAATATATACACAGACGTCTCTTTATAAGAAACCATGAGTCATAGAACCTATGCATGGATGCCACATGCATTCATGGTATCCATGAATCATAAGTTTTTGTCATGCCAGACGTGATGCTAGGATGGGTCTTGGGTTACATAAGGCACACACTATATGGTGAGCATATGTTGTTGAGTCCAAAAACATGGAGATAAGGTGTTGACAAGCATTCAGAGAGGCAAACAAGAGGATTTGCTAGTGTACAATTCAATGAGTAAACTCAAATAGCTATGTGAAACACTACATGAGGAGGCAAATAACATTTTGTCCTCTGCTTCTGAAAGTGGTTTCACAATATGGAAGAAGTGGTGGAGGACAATGTTTTGCCTGTAATCAGAAATTTCACACTCATATCTGTAATTTTTTAATTTCTCAAACATTCAAGACTTTTAGAGGATTTGCTAGTCTAGATGCATTGGAAGGGTCTATATAATAGAGTACCAACAGAGGAGGTATTCAGTCAAGTATGAACTAACATAGCTATAAATAGTGCTGGTATTATCAACTTCCAATATAGTTATCAAACAATAAAATATAAATTCAGCTAACAGTAAGTTCACAAAGCATTAGCAATGCATGATCTAGCAAAGCTATAATAGAGGCATCTATCTCAAATTTGAAGACAGATTTACACTAATGTGAGTTATGGCATATGAACTATGAGTAAATTTCATTGTAATTATGAAGACTTAAACATTTTATGTGGTAGCATATTGCAAGTTTGTATCATATAGATTCTACATTCACACTTTGATATGTGGGGCATAGTCACTTGCAAGCTATCAACCACCATGCAATTTTCAACACATATACAGTCTGAATGTATTAAGAGTGACAATGCTTCTGAACATAATGTGATAGAGAGCAAGTTGGAATGTTATTAGGGTCTTCAAGACAAGAGTTTTATTTGTGGGATGTAAAAAAAAAACCAACTTTGCCTTTAATATTTTCTAGTATATATTCATCACTACTAACCTCCCTATCTTGGAGTGCATTGACAACTTATAGTATGAATTGTATGAGCATGTGGTGTGATTTTATAAACATCTATTTGAATGAATGAATGATATTGAAATATTGGATGTTTCTAATGTGTGGCACAAACAGAGTTTGTGATGTGTTTTTGATAAGATCTCTGCAACCCATTTGACAATACACCTTAGTGAATACTTTCTACCACTGCAAAGCTACTCCTCTCATGGATTAATCACTACAAAGCTATTTCTTGACCAATAAAAGCGAAAAAGAACAAATTGGGCTTGAAATCAACCTCCAACTATCTCAATCCTAATAGAAATTCTACCCAAAAACAAGACCACAAAATGTTATATAACATATTGCCATATAATAACTTTGGTGAGAATCTAATGAATAATGAGAGTGCAAAGCACTAGATCCTTATTAAGAATTGTTTAGGAATATTGTGTTTCCACAGTTGACTATGGGTTACATTGAGATCACTCCAATCCTCACTATAATTAGAGTTCACACACTCAAACACTTGTTTTCCTAAGAAATTTCCAATAACACTATCACTGTAAACATTTAAACATTATCACTGTAAGAAAGGGGTGAGGCCTAATTTATCCCTCCTTATTGTTATTCTCCTCCTTTTATCTTTTGCTTAGTGATTTATAGGGTTTAGAAACAATTTGCTATGCTATGGTTTGTTTTGTATTCTATTTAAGAAAATTATGTCGATATAAATTAAGTTTTATTATAATTTTTATAATCTTAAACCTTTTTTTTGTTTTTACATTTACTCTTTTCTTTAAAATGTTTATTTGTTCTCTCCATTTCATTACAATTTTGATAAATGCATGGTTTAGCTAATGTAACTATCTCAAACTTCAAATTAGGTGGTTGTTCCTCCAAGATCTTCACTAGCTTCTCAAAATAAGAAAAGTCATGGCATAAAGCATTTGGACAAGCATGTCCCTATCCCTGTATAGAAACTCCCAAAAATGATAAGCTTGGATTTATGTTGACATTCAAGGGTAGTTCCTGGTTAATGTCGTGAAACTAATACAATTCAACTAATAATGAAGTTATGCAATTCACAAGGTAGAAAATTAGTTACTAATGGATGGATCGAGAAAAGGAATTGAAGTGTATAAAGGCCTTAATGTCATGTGAGTAGTGTTGTTAAAAAGATTTCAACAAATACTGCAAAGTTCACACTCTATTATTGGGACAACTTGATAAACTAACACAGGCCAATTTACCTTGAAAGAGAGGGGCATAGTAATAATCTTGTTGCCAATCATAAGATTAGTTTAATAGTATAATTGATTGGTGAGAATTTTACAACTCCAAAGTTATTTTAAAGACCATTGTTGAGGATGAAGAATTTATTGGCTCATGAGATACACTTAACTAAGTTCCTCCAAAAGCATTGTTGTAATGACTATGGACTATTGTTGTTGTGAAAAATGATTTGAACAAGGTGGTGGAGGTGGGACTATATATGTTGGGATTGTAAATTAATGTACTAAATTAGGGCTTATTGATATTGCTAATTGAATTTGAGTTGCAATGGCTATGGATCCTACTGATGTTGTGAGGAAAAATTTAAGCAAGATGGTGGAGGTGAGGATTGAACATGTTGGGATTGCAAATTAATTTACTAAATTAGGGCTTATTGACATTGTTAATTAAATGTTAAGTTGGTGGGTGGGATTGAACATGTTAGAATTGCAAATTAATTTATCAAATCAGGGCTTATTGACATTCCTAATTGAATGGTGAGTTGGCTTTGTGAGGAACAATTTGAGTAAGGTGGTGGAGGTGAGGATTGAACATGTTGGATCCACTACAACTCAATATTCAATCAACAATGTCAATAAGCTTTGATTCGATAAATTAATTTGCACTTTAGATCTTATTGATGTTTTGACTAAGGTGGTGGAGGTGAGGATTGAACATGCTTCCAAGCTGAGCTCAAGGAGTTTGAACAAGTTGGCTGCATTAGTTGAAAAATCACTCTGCTAAGAAAATCCTTTTAGTATTCAATCAACAATGTTAATAACCCTGATATCATGAATTGATTCATAGTTCTAGTTGTGGCAATGGAACAATCATCGTTGTCAATTGCAGTATATGGCAAATCTCATCATTGCTGACAAATTCTCTTCCGTCTATGATAGCATGGAAGCTTGAGAATATGGTGAATATATTTAAGTGTACATGCCAAGAAGATAAGCTGTTGTTTTTCTCTTGTAAACCATGACAAATACATGCTCAAATCTTCTATTAGTCATAAGTAAGATTATTAGCATTAAACATTGATTACAAAGAGAAGAGTTTAACAACATAAAATTTGGATTGAAGAATATTTTAAAATATGCTTAGATATTCCAGGTATATTATTTACACCAAAATAGACTAATAGATTTTTGTTTACCTTTGGCACCAAGCGAAACCTTGAGTATGGGCTGAAACGCATCCTCCTCAAGAGCTTTACATGCCTTTTGCACTCTAATTCTTACCTGTATGTTGTATCTCTTGCAGGATCAAGAACAAGGTAAAGCTTTCTATTCTCTTAGAAAACGAGAGACAAATCTTCAGCACCACACACTTGTATCGATGTTGGAGCCTCCAAAGCTTGTTGCCTGGATTGGATTGATAGATTCTTTAAGAAGAACAGAAAAGAATTTAAGTACTAAGTTATGCTTGCCACACCGTATGTTTTTCCATTTCACAAATGTTAAATTGAATATGGCATTGCTGCAAGGAGCTGATCACTCTACGACATTCGTGCGGTATCTCTGAATGGTGAACACTGAAAGAAATCAAAACTGAGTTATCCTGGAATGGAAACACAGGATCGCAGCATATCGGCTGGGCGGTCACCGACTGCATGATGGGAATGGTCTCGACGGGAGGAACGGCTTTGCCAGCTCTGCTATGAAGAGGTGGAAACAGTGACACACACCACACATTGATGCCCAGCATCCACCAACACCTCAGCAACACAATAGGATGGTATGGACACAATAGCCCTCCTGTTAAGTGTCGCGTAACTTCCAGAAGGAATATTGCCACCTCTTTAGCTTTGTGGTGATTGAGAACTCCTCAAAATAAGTACCTAGCTTTTTGTATAGCTCGAGGGGTTCCGACCTTCATGAACAGTTAATCTTATCTATCTTAACAAACATTCATAATGCGATCTAATGTCTGCGTTGATGTTCTTTCTTCATAATGCGGGCAACCCGCATGCCCTGGAGGAGGTGATTGGTGGCAGGTTTTGCAGAGGAGCTGCAACAGCTTCTCCTCGTCCTTGCTGAGAAGCGTGGTGGAGAGCTCGATGAGGTGCTTCCAGCAAATGTTGGACTCGGCAACCTCCACTTCCTCCAGCACCATGGCGCACCAGTGTATGAACACGAGGCGCAGGTCCCTCATCTGTAGCAGGATTCCTCCCAACATGAGCTCAAGGAAGCGCGACAAGAACTCGAGGAGTAAGGCCAGGCTGCTGCTGCTACTGCTCGCTTTGCTCTTGAGCGCATCTAGGTACTGACTATTCATTGTCAGTTGGATCGCCAGCATCTGGAATCCCCTCATCGAGCAGCTCATGAACAGGTTGTTGAAGATGAAGAAGTCATTGCCACTGCTCCTCTCCAACAGCAGGCCACGGCACTTCTTCCGCATGGCTGCCTCAGCCTGAGGCTTAGCCTCATCCATCAGACTTGAGTAGGCTTTCTTCAGGCGGTGACTACTCCTGCTCCAGCGGCTGGGCTTCCATGCATCCAGCAGCTTGTAGAAACTCAGCAGCTGCTGCTTCTCCTGCTCCGCTTGCTGCAAGCTGCGGCGTGGCTTGGGATCATCAACTGAGGGGAGCGGCTTCTCCACTGGCCTTTCAGTCAGCCTTCTCAGAAGAACACTGTGCTTCGAAGCTAAATAATTGAATGGTACCCCTAAACGCATCAGCGTGGCCCACATTTCCTGCTTCGACATCCCCTGCCATGAGCTAAACGCCAAACATTTGAGGCACTCATCCAGCCGCCCAGGATCTGTGACCGACATGCCTTTGAGTAAGTGTATAACCTTCGTTGTTCCTCCTTAAATTGCCTATATTTTGCCCTAGTTTCCTGGTATTTATATCGCTATGCCGTACTTCTCATTGTTTGTCACTGAGCTAAGCAACTCGTTCGCGAACACCTGTGGTCTTGTTTAGTTCCACTCTCCGCGTAGACATTGGAGAGCACTATATAACTCTGTGCGTGCTCGGGGTTGATACCGGATACTTGGTCACTGGCTTCTTTAGCTCGAGGAAGATCTCCGTGAGTTCTACAAGCTCCCAGCAGCGTCATCCACACCGACGCCGCAGCTTGAAACGGCATCTTGCGAATGAGCTCCTCGGCATCCTCCAGCCTTCCATTCCGTCCGAGGAGATCCGCCATGCAAGAGCAATGGTCGCCCGTCCGGCCAACTTTGTAGTCGTGGATCATCGAGACGAAGAACTCCACGGCCTTGGCGGTCATGCCGCCGTGGCTGCAAGCCGCGAGGACGCACAGCAGAGTTACGTCGTCGGCCCGAGCGCCCTCCTGCTGCATCAGGTGGAAGATCGCCACCGCCTCCGCCGCGCAGCCGTGCCTGGCGGAGGTGGCGATCATCGAGCTCCAGCGGGAGGTGTTGAGCGGATTGGTGCTGCTGCTGTGGAGGAAGATCCGGGACGCGTCCTCGAGGGTGCCGCATTTGCCGTAGGCGCTCATCAAAGTGGTGCTCACGGCGTCGTTGATGTGGAAGCCACTCTCGTGGACGCAGCTGTGGATGCTCCTCACCTCCGGCAGCGCGATCAAGCTCGAGCAGGCCAGCAAAATGGTGGTGAAGGTCTTGGCGTCGGCGCGGTGACCCTCGAGATGCATCCGCCGGTAGAGTCCCAGCGCCTCGGCGTTCCGGGAGTTTTGAGCGAAGCAAGCGATCATCGCAGTCCAGGAGACGGTGGTGTGCTCCTCCATCTCCAGGAACACCCGGTGGCCGTGCTCCGGGAGCTTGGACCGCGCGTAGAGATTCATAAGAGCAGTGCCGACGCCAACGTCCACAGCCACCCCGCTGTCGACCATCACGCCGTGCAAGAGCTTGCCGCGGTCCAGGCCGAGGACGTAGAGAACGTTGGCGAGAGTGACCGCGTTGGGCTTGACGCCGTGGAGCTGCATCGTCCCAAAGTGCTCCAGGCAGTCGCTGTAACGACCATCTTCAGCCGACTCGACGATGAGCGCCGTCCACCAAACAACGCCCCGGGGCGAGCGACCGCGATCATCGTGCTCGCAACCATGATCCAGAGTGCTCAACCCGGCGATGGCTTCTCCGAGCCCGGTCTCCTCGGCGCAGAGACGCAAGAGCTTGAGGTGGCGCTGGGAGGTGACGCTCTTGAGAGCTCGGCGGGAATGGAGGAGGACGCTGGCGTACGTTGCCTGGTTGGGCTTGGCACCCTCGAGCAGCATACCGGCGAACACCTCCATGGCCGCTGGGAACTCGCCCTGGAGCGCGTACGCCGCGAGCATCCCGTTCCAGAGGACCAAGTTCTTGCGGGTGGCGGCGCTGCTCTTGAGCCGCTCGAAGAACTCGCGGGCTTCGTCCAGGAGGCCGGATTTGCCGAGCATGTTGACGATGGCGTTGCCGAGGATGGCGTCGCGCTCGGCTCCACACTCGAGGACGAGCTCCAGGACTGTTCTTCCCGCGGCGGGCATGGAGCAGCAGGCGTTCAAGACGTTGACGAACACCACCGCGTTGGGACGAACTCCCTCCAGCTGCATTTGCCGGAAGATCTCCAGCGCTTGCTCGTCGCGATTGCAGCAGCAGTGGGCGGTGATGAGCGCCGTCCAGGTGACGACGTTCCTGTTCTTCATCCGCGAGAAAACGCCGCAAGCTCTCTCCAGATCGCCACCTTTGGCGTAGAGATTCACCAGCGCCGTGCCGACGATCACGTTGGTCTCTATCTCCTCGCCGAATCTCTCGAGCAAATCGTCGGGAAGGATCTCTCCCCCCACCACCACATCTTCGCATGAAGAACACAGATCAAGTAGCGTGACGAGCGTGATCTTGTCCACTGCTGCGCCCTCGAGCAGCATCCCCCGGAAGATCTCCAGCCCGAGCTCCGGGCGATGGAGCTCCTTGCAACCGGCCATGGCGACGCTCCACGTCACCACGTTCTTCACTGGCATCTGCTCGAAGTGATCGATCGCGTCCTCGAGGCTACCACAGCGGCAATACATGCTCACGATCGCGGTCCCGACGCTCACATCCCACTCCAATCCGCTCTCCACCGCGAGAATTCTATGGATCGATCGCGCCTCCACTACGCAATCGGTCGTCCCCAGCGCGGCCAAGATCGTAATCTTGTTTGGGGCCACGCCGTCGAGCAGCATCGCCCGGAGTAGCGCCATTCCCTGCTGGAAATCCCCATTCCGGGCATATGCTGTGATCATTGCGGTCCAGAGGATCACATCGCGATCGTGGAGATTGTCGAAGACCTGCCTGGCGCCGGGGATGGATCCACACCGGAGGTACATGTGGACGATGTTCTTGGCAAGAAGCTCGTCGCGATCAAGGCCTAGGCGAGCGGCCTGGGAGTGGAGAAATTTGCCCTGCGCAAGCGCGTCTGCCGATCCCTCGTCACCGCAAGCTTGGAAACCCCGCGCCAGATCCTCTCGCTGCCGCTGAAAATCCTCCATTCCAAATGCTCGCTTGCTGAGAGCGATGAATCCAGCCGATAGAGAAGATCGCCATCGCTTGTGGCAAATTAGCATCCAAAGGCCAGCTCGCTTGAGTCGAGGAGATCTTGCGGCATCGCCGTGGAGCTCTTGCTTAGATCACACCGCGCAGCGATCGATTGACGCTCGATTTGAATCGAGGACAGATCTAGGAAGAGCCCTAGTTCTAGTCAGACCGTTGGTATTAGGGCCACGTTGGCAGCCGCAGTCGTGGCAAGATTATGAGCGTCCGTGCCAGGGCATCGACGGCTTTCGTGTACAGTTGTGGATTTTCTTCGTGTATGGTTCCCATTTTAGGGTTTGTGGGCAAGGGCGCTTCTTCCCGCTGCCAGTAGTGCTTCTTTTGCTGGATCCCATAGCTGCGCTCATCTCGCATGGACTGCCGGCGCGGCCGGGCATTGTCGCCATGAATCGACTCAGGATCTTTTCAGGTATGGGGCGGGCGGATGGGAGGGCTCGGATTGAATCCGCAATGCGATGTTTTGCAGGGCGGCGCCGAGGCTTGGACTTGATGTCGAGCCCTGATTCTGTGAGTTCGTCGTCGTTGAAAGGGCCTGGCTATGCCTCAACCAGCGCGGCGATTGTTATCCTCGACGACGATGACGATGTCCAAGTCTGTTCGCCCAGATCGTTTGCTCAGGTTAGATTTCTTTGGTTGAGAAGAAGAAGAAAAAACTTTCCTCTCCTTTTGTTTTGCCTTTTCTAATTTGCTTTGCCTCTTTAGGCCGTGGGCGATGAAAATCATACCGAGGAAGACCTTCTACAGCTGCGATTGGGATTTTCCGGTACAAAGTTTCTTCTCGTTTCTACTATCTCGCTGAGAACTTTGGTTTTTTTCTTTTCTTCACTCTTGATCTTCGTATAGGGTCGAAGCCTCCACGAAAATCGAGAAAGCTACAATCTAGAGCTCGACAGCAGCAGCAGCAGCCACAACAACAACAACAACAACAACAACAACAACGACACAGATCAAAGCGTGTCCATCCCACAACGATCGATCTCACCGCGGAAGATTGCGAGGTTGTGTACGAGAGACCCCAGGTAAAGAGCTCCAACTTAGATCTACATATGTTCCTCTTCGCTCCCAGCTAAGTTGCGAGATCTCGTCTCGCAGAAGAAGAAGATGGCTGCTCCAGCGCCTCCTCCGGCCAAGGAACCATCGCTCACTTGCGGCATTTGCTTCGACACGATGAAGAACGAGACGTCCACGGTTTGTGGGCATTTGTTCTGCGGGAGTTGCATTCTATCCGCCATCCAGGCCCAGAAGAGGTGCCCGACTTGCCGGAGAAAACTCACCAATTCGATGGTCCATCGGATCTATATCTCTGGAAATTCCACTGGCTAAGAACCAGCCCAAATTTCTCACGCTCAAGCTTTTCCATAGGTTGTACAGATTTTTACATAGAAAATTTCTGGTACGTGGAGGGCTGGCTGCCCTACGTGGCACTAATTTTCTGGTACGTGGAGATGAGATGGCAGTGTAATCCCACGTGGCACAAGATGGAGGCAGACGTGGCTGTTTGAATCCTGGTGGCTCCCTTACGTGTCACTTTTGAGCATGGATGAGCCCTTGGCGGTAACCCTATTCCGGGTGAAAGAATCGATCCAGCAATGCGGTAGCTGCGCTAGCGGCGTCATTTTCTCCAATCTCGCGGCGCTCGTCCAGAGATGCGGCAAGCTCAGCGCGATCGCGGAGGCCAGGCAAGCGGAGGATCTCATCCTCGGATCCGGGCTGGGAGGCGACAGGCTGCTGGGGAATCTTGTGATCCAGATGTATGGGCGCTGCGGTGACGTCCAGGGTTGTCGATCGGCGCTGGCCCGGATCAAGAGCCCCAATGTGTTCTCGTGGACGATCCTGATCGAGGCATTTGCCCAGAATGGGTATTTGTGGGACGCGGTGGAGGTGTTTGAGGCGATGCCTGAGAAGAATGTGGTGTCATGGACGACTATTGTGAAAGCGTTTGCGAGCCATGGGGAGATTGAGCGGGCGAGAGAGATCTTTGAGAAGACGCCTGGGAAGAATGCTACAACGTGGAACGCGATGCTATCCGCATTTGCCGAGAATGGGCAAGAGGGACAGGCCATAGAGCACTTTGGACGCATGAACTTGGAAGGATTTAAGCCGGACTCCATCACCTTTGTGATCATTCTCAACGTTTCCTCCCGCGCTGCGGGCTTCTGCTCAAGAGCTAAGGTGAAGATCCTCCAGACGATGATTGAGAGTGCTGGATTTGCCGCCGACTTGAAGATTGGAAATGGATTGATCGGCTTGTTCGGCCACTGCTGTCCCGACGAAGCGAGGAGGATTTTCGATGAGATGCCCGAGCGAGATCTGGTTTCGTGGAACAGCATGCTGTGGGTTTATGCCAGCAACGCTTTCGCAGACAAAGCTAGAAATTTCTTCGATGCCATGGTTGCAAAGGACGTGGTTTCTTGGAACACTATGATCGCGTCATACGCTCGTCAACTTGGCAGTGGCAAGAACGCGATGGAGCTCTTCCACTTGATGTGTTTATCAGGTACGAAGCCAGACAAAGTCACTTTTATCACCCTCGTTGATTGCTTCTCTGGTTCTAAGGATTTGAGTTGCTGCAGGGAAATACACGGGAGAGTCTACGAGGATGGACTTGGAAGCGATGTGGTCGTCGGGACTGCTCTTGTTAACACGTATGGAAAGTGTGGGAGCGTGCGGGATGCTCGAAGAACACTAGGAGAGATTGAAAACCCAGACGTTATAGCATGGACTGCGATGATCGCAGTGTTTGCACAGCACGGGCTTGGAGAGGAAGGCTTGCAAATCCTGGGACTTATGGACCTCGACGGCACGGCTCCATCCGAGGTAACGTTTCTAAGTGCTATTGATGCGTGCTCTTGCTTTGGTGAGCTCTCTAAAGCTAGAATGGTTGATGGTGTTGTTACAGAGGCAGGACTTCCTAGACGCGGTCTTCTTGCCAACGCTCTTATGGACATGTACGGGAGGTGTGGAAGCCTGCAAGACGCATGGAAGGTCTTCGAAGAAGTCACAGGAAGTTCGCAAGGACAGGATATAGTACCGTGGAATGTGATGATCGGAGCTCTCTCCCGGAATGGACACAGCAGTGAGGCTTTCAGGCTGTTCAAAGCCATGAACTTGGAAGGTGTGAAGCCGGAAGCGATCACAGTTGTGAGCGTTTTGGACTTCTGCTCGATACCAGATGGGAAGATGGTCCATGCGAGCATCCTCGGGACTGGACTAGAGAAGCAAATCAGAGTCCAAAACGCTCTCATCACCATGTACTCGAAAGGTGGCTGTTTACAAAGAGCGAGAGACGTGTTCAACACCATCAACAATCCCAACGTCGTTTCGTGGAGTGCCGTGATCGCAGCTTATGCCGAGTGTGCTCGTAGCTCGGAAGCTCTCAAAGTCTTCCAGGATATGACCCTCCAAGGTGAGCTTCCCGACTATATTACCTTCATCGCCATAATCTCGGCTTGTGCTCACGCAGGCTTGCTCAAAACCGGCATCGAGTTCTTCGTCGTCATGAGACAAGATCACGGTATAGAGCCCAGTGCCGATCACTTCATGTGCATCGCAGACCTTCTCGGGAGAGTTGGAAAGCTGGAGCTGGCAGAGGACGTGCTCAGTTTTATGCCGTTTGAGCCAACGCCGGTAGCGTGGACAAGCTTGCTCGGCTGCTGTAAGACCTCAAATGACTTGGAACGAGCACAGAGAATATCTCAAAAGATTTTTGGGGTGAAAGAAGGTGCTTCTTCGGGACCATACGTGCTACTTTCAAACGTGACAAAGGCAGTGACATAAAATTTTCTCATTTCCAGACAACTGACAAAGGTATGCCAGTGAATTATTATGTTTCTTCTCGGGCGCTAAACTAGTGATGGTATCCGTGATATCCAGGGGCTGGAGCTGGAGCTGGAGCTGGAGCTTGACGTTTCTGTCTGGGACGACCCCAAAAGGGAGGTGGTATTGGAGATGCAACCGGGGAGTGGGACGGAGGTAAAGAGCTACAAGAACGGCAGAGCGCTGATCTTGATATCCAGAAGTCCATCTCGCGTCGACAAAATAGCTTACACACAGTTTCTTTCAGGTCCTTGCTGATACTTTTCTCGACAAACGAACTCTCTAACATGTTCTCGATGCCGAAATTCATGCAGGTTAGGCATACCATGGAGGTGTTACATTTGTGGCAAATGCTTTTGATGCTACAACCGAGGCACTGAGTGTTTGTCATTGGGTCGGTGCATTTCTCACAAGTTGTGTTTTCTAGAGGCCTTGGAATCTCAGCGAAAAGCTCAGATGTATCTGGAGACACAGATAGCGAGAAGAATGATCAACGCGGAAGTTTTGTAGAGCACTAACCTGGTAAGCCTTGTGCGTGAGACTGCACCAAGAGAAGCAAGGCATGGGGAACCAAAACGATACTAATAACTCTTGCCAGATCCATGCGAGAGATTGGATAAAGCTTCCCGGAACAAGAGAATTTATGGAGCTCCTTGTCTGGGAAAAGTCATGATTCAACCGGACATTTGGACAAAAACTTTGGTTTGGCGCTTCGTGATCTTCATCTGTTTTTGACAATCGTGACAAACTTTTATGTTCTAGGCTGAGACAGATTTAAAGTTCTCTCTAAGTGCGCTTGGGCGATACGAACCGAAGTGAAGGCAATGCACGGACAAACTAGCGCGGCGAGACGACTGAGGTAAAACATCGTTCCAGCGATTTCCTTGCGCTCATGGCTCTGGAACAGACTGATCGCCACTTGGTCGTGAAGAACAAAGTTGGAAGGAAGAAAGTTTTGCCAGATTTATTGCGAAGAATCAAACTACTACAAACTATCACTACTGCACAGACAACCAGATCGAATCAAACACTAGGCCTATCTTGGAAACAACACACAGGTCCGTGCTTTTCCTTATTTCCTCGACTAAACTACGCTGGATCTAAAAACACTCAGTGGTGTTTAGGCGGGTTCTTCTTCTTTGGCATTCGCGTCGGCGCCGGGGCCGGAGAAGGCAATGGAGATGGCGATGGCGATGTTGCCCAGCAGAACTTACACATCTTGGATCCCTTGAAGAAGTTGCTGGCACAAAGTTTGGTGCAAAAGTAGCTCTTGGAGATGTCCATTCCATCGGGATAGACTGGAAGGGTGGTGACTTCCGTCCTACACTCGGTGCACTCGTCGAGGTAGTATGTAATGCTTCCTTTGGGGCATTTCTCCGCGCAGTCCTTCTTTTCGACCTTGGCACTTGTGTAGTGGATTGGCTTGGCGGCTTGGGCGATGCCCAGGGCCTCCTTCTTGGCTTCCTCTTGAGGGATCTCTGTCACCATGGTTGGAGGTTTTGCTGCGGCTTGCTTCTGTGCAGTGTCACAGAGCGTGCAAAGGAGCTTGTTTTTTGTCGTAGTGCAGCCATCGCAAACTCGTTTTAGATACTCTGCGAGAAGAAGTTAGAAATTGAATTTTGTTTGAGAAAGCTCGATTGAATTTACCTTCTTGAGCTTGGGACTGCTGTGCTGCAATCAAGAAGAAAAGAGCAAGAGCGAAAAGAGTGAAAAGAGAGCCCGCCATTGATGTATATTAACAAGAGGAAAGAAGAAGAAAAAAAAAATAAAGTTTTTAGCTATGGTGTGTTTAAATACTATAGAGAGATACGTTGGTTTCTACGACACTACACCAATGTATTTGTTTTTTTATTACTGTTTATTAGGGCAATAGAATGTAGCCATGTCACAAAACTTTAGCTTTATTTCTTTCTATGTGGAACATTTTCGTGCGAAGCTTGAGCCACATAGCGTTGACAATGCAGAATTTGATACATATTTTTTTCTTCTATGTCCGTATATCAACCTCGAAAAGTCATGCAATTGTTACAGTTACAAAATTGTAGAAAATTCTATCAGAACTCCAGAGATCACTTAATGAAGCACGAGTTTACAGAACACAACAGAACAGAGTTGTTTATAAAGGGACCATCAATAATTAAAAATAACTATAAGGTTAGGGGCCCAATAATGGCCCCATTGTACATTTGATTTTTTTGTATTTTTCTCATGGTTCAATTTTATTTTAAAAAAGATAAGAAAAATTAAAGTGTATTAAAACTATCAGGTAGACCCCATGCTCCACATCCCTCCTGAATTTGTTTGTAGCAGCGCAACTAGGATTGGAGCGCTTCAGCCAATTGCAATTAAGCAAACTCTCATAACAACACTTTTTTGAAAAACAAATCAATACGAAAATGGATCAAGCAAATTAACTGGAAGTAAAAAAAGAGCAATGTAGTTCTGAATTTTATATTAATTAATAATAACTTTAATTTGTTCTTAAGAACTTAAGCTCGAGTATCAACATGTCAACTTCTAGTTCCGGTGGTGCTTGGATTACTCTGGCGATCATTTCCAAGATCATCCACTCCTTTGGATGGTTTGTCTTCGCCGAGCCACAGCTTCGAGACATGAACCGTGTGCTGCCGAAAGACATCGCACGTTTTGCATTCCACGGTGTTGTTGCAACTTCGACACTCTTCCTTGAGGCTGCACTGGAAGCAGAATGGCGACTTCAGACGATCCCGGCAGGTGTCACACGAGGTCTCGTTCGATGTCCAAAAGAACTGTGTTCTTCGAGCTCCATAGGGCAGATCGTCATCGTCGTCGTCTTCATCCTCTTCCTGGATCTTCGATCTCTCTTCTGGATTGCACAGCGAGCACATAAACTGGCCCTTGCTCTTCCTGCATCTATCACACACCAGCATCTCCTCCGCATTCACAGCCACGGAGTTTAGCCCCACCACCTTTCCGTGCTCGTCGCAGAAGTTCTCGCACATAAACTGCCCAAACTTTACCACCGAATGGTTGTGTTTGTTGTCGAAGAGAGTGGTACATTCCTTGCAAAGCTCTGCATAAACACACACACGAGTTTAGCAGGAAAACAGTGAGAAGTTTGGGAATTCCAGTGAAAAAACCGAGCGATCGAACTGACCAGAAATCTGGGCTTGAGATTTCGCGAGAATGGAAGAGAAAACGAAGGCCAAGAGCACGAAGAAGCTCATCGCTGCGCTAGATAGATACAAGCGAGGCTTTCGTTCTATCTTATATGGGCTAGATTTTTGACGCGTGGCAGGCTTCTAGGGTTCCTAGGTTATGGCCAAGCGTAAGCGCCACGTTTTGGCGCTCGAGGAGAGCGACGATGACGACGACGATCGCTTGCCGCTATCGCTCTCCTCGCAGAAGAGCAGCCAGGTTTCGTAGCTCCTTCTCTTCTCGCTTCCTTTTTTCCCAATGCGGGTGCGTCGGCAGGATTCGCGGTCGCCGTTCGAGCGAGTCGAGGAGGATATGGCGTTTCTACAGGTGGATAGCACTCGAGGTGAGCTGGAATGGACAATGGAATGCAATGCGAGCTAAGATTTCCAGATAATCGGCAAGACTCTGATAATCTTTGGATCGACAAGTTTCGGCCGGCCTGTGTGAGTGATCTAGCAGTTCATAGCAAGAAGGTAAATCACTTACATTCTTCACCATCGCTACGATTCTTTTGGTTTTAGTTCTTTCAACGCTAGTTTTTGCTCTGGTCGTTCCCTGTCTCTTTTCTAACAGTGGTTTTTTTTTTTTTCTTTCTTCCTCCAGGTTGGAGAAGTGAGACAATGGATGGAAACTCAAATCGACAACCCCTTGGGGGTAAGGCTGGGTAAAACCTCTTTTTCCTCTCGCCCTTCACTAACTCTTGCATAACATTCGTTTGAAATTGTTTGCCACTGCAGTGTTCATGCAAGCTTTTGTTGATCACCGGACCTGCTGGTGTCGGTAAGAAGGTGAGTGTTTTCTTTCCTTCAGTTTTTTTTTTCTTTTCCTTTCTTCGTTTCTGAAAGACGGTGGATCTTGTAGACTGTTGTGCGAGTCTTAGCCAACACGATGAATGCCGAGCTTTGTGAGTGGACTGCTCCAACGCCTGTTCTCTGGAAGGAGCATCTACACAATGATACACTAGGTAACACTTGACAAGAACTTGCTGAATTTTTTTCCTCGACATGGTTTTTAGGATCAAAATATAGTTCAAAGCTGAAGGATTTTGAAACATTTTTGGACAAAACAACCAAGTTTCCTTCTCTTCCACTAAATGCTCCGGTTAGGAGAATGAAATTCGTTCTCATTGACGACGTACCTTTAGTAAATGGGGAGGACAAGAAAAGGCAGCTACTCCAATCACTTCGCCAGTTACTTGCGGGTGCGAAGTTTCCAACCATTATAGTTGTTACAGATGTGGCTGACGATGGTTATCGAGGAAGTTCAATGGCACGATGCATGGGAGAGATAGTAAAAACACTCGAGAGTGGAGGAGCCTCCAAGGTTTTTTTTTTTTGTTTTGTTCTCTCCTTCCGCTTTGTTCACTCCTCATCAGTTCGATTTCACAGATTGCCTTCAACCCGATCACTGTAAATGCCATTAAGAAAGTTTTGGCTAATCTTGTCAAAGCGAAGAAATGCCGTGTACCTAGCGAAATGGTGGCTGAAATTGCTCAAACCGCCGCGGGAGATATCAGACACGCCATCCTACATCTCCAATTTCTCTGCCTCAATAGTCCGAAATCCGATAAATCCGAGTCAAGAAGACGAAAGCGCCAGCAAGTTCGCGGAGCTTCAGACGACGAACCTCCCAAAGAACAGTATGGTTCCAAATGCGGTAGGGATCACATCTTATCTCTATTTCATGCGCTTGGAAAATTCTTGCACAACAAGCGAGTGGCCGACGCGGAGTCTGAGTCAGGTTGGTACTTGTTGTCTAAGAATCGTGACCGACATTTCTTTTTTGCAGGTGAAAAACTTTCGTGTCCACTTCAACAGCAGTATCAAAGACCACCCTTGCAAATGAAAGATCCCGAGCTAGTCATATCCCAGTCGCACGCCGAAGCTTCAACACTCGTCTCTTTTCTCCACGAGAATGGTACTGGCTCAGCTCTTGATTATAATCCTTGATCGTTTTGTGCAGTGCCAGACTTTGTCGATGACGATGCCATCGAAGACGTTGCGGACATCATCCAGTACATAAGTGACGCAGACCTCGTTGGTGCAAGATTTTCCTGGCAGTCGAGAGGGCCCCTCTTAGATTCCGGATGGACGAATGCTTCGCAACTTGGAGAAGCTGCGGCTGCTTCTATAGCTGCACGGGGTGTTCTTTTTGGTAACACACACCCTGCTCCTCGAAGGTAGCTTCTTATTTTCTTGTTTTTCTCCGGACAACTTAAACTTGGTTCTTTAAACAGATGGCAGACGCTGAGAAGTCCCATGCTTTGGCAAGTTGAGCGCTCGCTATCAAGCAAGAAGGTGATGCTTTCACATCTTTTGGTGGATCCGAGCTAACGCAAAAGTTTTTATTTTTTCTTCTCGGTTCGTGCTGCAGAGGGAGATCTTTGCGTCGTTGAGAGATAGTAATATTGGTCCGGTTGAGCAGGCAACCGAGTACATTCCATTCCTGCGAAATATTTCCGCGTTCACTCGCGACGCTTGGAAGCCGAGATCTCCAAAAGTTATCACCAGTGCTGCCGACGAGTGTGACGAGATTGAAGACGATTTCTAGATTTATGGCTCAGCTTTACTTCGCGAGTTTTTCTTGACCTTGGTAAAGAGCCTGGTAAAGGAGAGAAACTCTCGAGCTTGAGAAAATCTAGAGCTTAGAAGAAATCTCGGCTATGGCGATAAAAGATCTTGGCCGTCCATTCTTGCGTGTCATTTTTACCAAATGTTTGGTGGGAAGTCGTAATTAGGGTTCTTGGGTGATCGTGGAGCAGCAATGCGGGCGTAGGATCTGGTAGAAGGCCGCGCTAGATCTTGCGCGCAGCTCATGTAAGCGAAATGTACGTGCAGGACAGGATAGACCCATCCTCGGCTGGGAATGGCGAGGCTCGAGATGGATCTGGGGCTCCGGCCAGGAATGGTGTGCACTTCAAGCTAGATTCGAACTCCACCACCGTGATTCCGGGCCGCAATGAGGAAGATTTCGAGGGCAGCGAGGAGAGCGAGGTGGAAGAAGACACTGAGAGGCGGCCGATTTTGCCCGCGCCAAGCTCCTCCCCTCCGGAGCCTTCCTCCTCGATTCAGTCGTTCGTGGTGGAGAATTTCCCGAAGATCGTGATTGGGCTCTTCGTGTTCCTCAGCGCGATAGTGTTCTTGATGGTGAGAAGCCGGGGCGACAATGCGGTGCTCTCGTGCATAGAGTCGGCTTCCAGGCAGAGGGAAGAGATTCCATATCCGAGAGTGGACTTGGAAGCAGCCAGCGCGAAAGTCGACAAGGGGATCTTGAAGTCCGAGAAGTGGATCGTCGTGGCGGTATCGGGAGCTCCTAGCGAAGAAATCCAGCAGCTCGCCAAGCTGGATGGGTGGCAGCTTCTAGCTCTTGGAAACTCTCAAACTCCCACCAAGTGGGAAGTTCCAGGGGCGATTTTCCTCTCCAAGGACGCTCAAGCAGGCTTGAACTTTCGGGTCCAGAGCCACATCGATCCAGACGGTCCCGCGAGGAAAAACGTTGGCTACCTCTTCGCCATCCAGCACGGAGCCCGCAAGATCTACGACGCGGACGAGACGATCATCGTCCGCGGAGGAAACTTGGAGAAAGTCTTCGACGTGGAGCTGAGCGGAACCTCGGGCAGGAGGGAGCCTCTATACCAGTACCGGATGGTGGAGAACCGGACCATCGTCAATCCTTACGTTCACTTTGGCCAGAGATCGATGTGGCCGCGAGGTTTTCCCGTCAGGATGGTGGGAGAGACCTCTCTCGAAGTCGCCTACAACGAGATCGCTCCCGGGAGGCACTTCATCCAGCAGGGGCTGGCGAATGGATTCGCGGACGTCGACGCGCTCTTCTACTACACCCGGCGGTCGGAGCGCGAGGCCCTGAGCATCGAGTTCGACTTGCAAGCGCCGCCAGTGGCGCTTCCGCAAGGAACCATGGCGCCCGTGAGCTCCGTCAACACTCTGTTCCACAGCCCGGCTCTCTGGTCGCTCATGATCCCGGCGGACGTGAGCTCGAGAGCTGCCGACGTCGTTCGAGGCTACTGGGCTCAGCGGCTGCTGTGGGAAGTTGGCGGGATGCTCGTGGTTTTTCCTCCTACAGCGCACCGTGTCGATCAACTGGATCCCATTCTTCTCAAGGACGAGAAGGACTTGCACAAGATGGAGCGGCTCATCAACTTCGTGGTTTCATGGCGGTCGGACAAGCGGTCGTTGTTCCAACGGATTCTCCATCTCAGTCACTCCATGGCTGAGAATGGCTACTGGAGCGCACAAAACGTCGACTTGACGGTGGCCTGGTTGCAAGATCTCGTCTCGGTTGGGTACCGCCAGCCTCGGATGCTAGCTCTCGAGCTCGGACGAGTGGACCCGTTGCTGTATAACTCGGAGCACGTCCAGTTCGTGCCGGAGACGTTACCGTCGGTTTATCTCGGCATCCACGAGTCGTCGCAGCTGGAGAAGGAGATGGGAGACTGGCTAAAGTGGCGGCGTTACTTTGGCAACATCGTCCTGGTGCTCGACTGCTCGCCCGACGCGAATGCCACGGTCCTGGCATGGCGGATGTTCTACAGCCGCTTGTTCAAGCACGTTGAGATTCGTTCGCGGGAGAGCAATGCTGGCCTTCGAGTCGAGGGTGGAAACTTCACGTATCAGTAAGTTCTTCGGCAAGTTTCTTCCTTGTTTTTGTTTCTGAGACTTTTGTTCCAGGTCCCTTCCAGAGGTGTTTGATCGCTACCCGCACGCTGATGGCTATCTTTATCTCAAAGATGATGCCGTCTTCAACTACTGGAACTTCGTCACCTCGAACAAAAACAAGCTCTGGAGTCTCCAAAAGGTGAGCTTGTTTCTCTTTCCCAGCTCCAGCCCAGCCTGATGGATCTTTCTCTCCTCCGCCTCCAGTCCAGAACAGCCATCCAGCCAAAGACGACATGGCAAGTTATCGGATTCAAGCGACCTGGCTCGGCCTGGTATCTCGCAAGCAGCGTCAAGAAGAGCATCAAAGCCGCTGTTCGTAGCTTGTCCCCAAAGATGCTGGCCAACTACAAGAAGAGCATGGACGACATGCACTTCGTTGTCTCGAGCTCCGATTCCTTCTACATCCCCCACCGCTACGTGAGTGACTTCAAGGCCCTAGTTCCAATCGGGGTGAAACTGGAGCTCCGTCCGGAGCTGGCGATACCGCTCTTCTTCTTGGCCATGGAGAAGCCAGCGAGCTACGACTCCGAAGCGTTCAAGTACGTGGCCGAGACGAGCGTGAGGCGCGATCCCGCCGTGTTTTACCGGAAGAGCAAGCACTTGGTTCGTCCCTGGAGCGCTAGAAACGTCTCGGAGATCGTGAGAAGAATAAGAGCTTTGTCGGTCGGGGACCCGTTGCTGGTGGAGATTTTGTGAGAGAGAGAGGTTCCAGTCTCTCACAACCTGTACAGCTTCTATGGCGTAAGTGAGAGAAAGAGTTGCTCCAAAAAAGCTTACTTGTGTTCAAGGAGCCGAAGTCTGAGAAGAACTGGAAAATAAGTTAACTTCTTCTCCATCGACTAGAGTGTGGCCTGCGAAGATGTAAGGCGGTGGTCGATCTGGAATCGGGGGGATCGTGTCGTTGCCCTCGAGCAGCTTGAGAGCCTGAGAGATCGGAGGCCTGACCGCCACCAGCAAATGTGCGCAGAGTATGCCAACCAGCACGAACCGCTGCTGGAGAACAATGGCTGCCGGATCACTGTCCCGGATCTTCTCATCGATGATCTCCGGCAATCTCCCGGCCTTGACCAAGCTCCACGCCCAGTCCACGATGTGGTAGTGCACCGGGTTCTCTTGGCTCGTGTCGAGAGCACTCCTCCCACTCATGAGCTCCAAGAGTAGGACCCCAAAGCTGTAGACGTCGACTTTGTCGCTGCACTGGCCGTAGAGAGCGTACTCGACCGCCATGTAGATCGGAGTTCCAGCCACTCTGGTTGTAAGGTGGCTCATCCCCTCGGGGCTGATCTTCGCGAGCCCAAAGTCTGCCACTCGAGCGTTGAGATCCTCGTCGAGAAGGATGTTGCTCGGCTTGATGTCCCTGTGGATGATAGACGGCTCCACCTCGTTGTGGAGGTAGTTTATCCCGACTGCTATGCCGATGGCGATCTTCCTGCGCTGCTGCCATGACAAGGTTCCGGACGAGAGATAAGTTTTCAGGCAGCCGTTTGGCATGTAGTCGTAGACGAGGATGTGCTGCGAGTCGGGCCCGTTTGCATGGACGCAAGCTCCTCGGACGGAGAGGAGATTCCTGTGTCTCACCCGGTTGATCACCTCCACCTCGTTGAGAAACTCGGCATTGTTCTCCTTGGAGCTCGCCTTCATGACTTTCACCGCCACCTCCGAGTTCCCACGCTTTGCGAGAACTCCTCGATAGACCCGGCCATAGCCACCCTCGCCGATGAAGTTTTTGGAGCTGAAGTTCTGCGTGCCAGCTTTGATCTCCTCGAAGCTGAACTTGATGAGCCCCAGGTTGGGCATCCTCGACAGGCCCACCAGCGAAGACTGGACAAGCTCCCGCTTCTTCCGTCTCCGGTGGAAGAGGAAGATACACGCGATCAGTGCTCCGGCTAGAGCGATCGCAGAGCCTCCAACGCCGATGCCAATGTAGAGCTTCGCGTCGGTCCCTCTCGAGCCTCCCGGAGCTCCTGCCGATGGTGGAGTCAAGCCAAGGACACACACTGCTGTAGAGGGCTCCTTGGGCCCAAGCTTGTTGACCACCCCGGCGGCATAGAGGCACGAGACGTAAACACACTGTTGGCCGACGCTGGTGCTGTTGGAGAGGCCCTGGAGCTCAAGAACAACCCTGGTGACATCGTCCGTGCACGACTGGCACCGCAAGGCGCTGCTAAGATCGCCGCCACACGAGCGCTCCAGCGCGCGATCCAGATCCGGAGCCACGACCCTCTTCCAGTCCGAAATATTCATAACTCCCGCGCAGATCGGTGACTGGACGAACATCGGCGGCTCGAAGGGGCAATCCCGGACGAAATCCGTGCCTGTGCCGTGAGAATCGAGCTCCGCCTGGAAGGATTTCAGGCACGCATTGGCCGTGGGGAGATCCGCGAACTCAAACCCTCCCGATCGCCGGAGGTAGTCGGCCAGGCCGATCCCAAAGGTAGTGAGCAGTGCGGAGCAGCAATCGCTGCTGTTCTTACCCGGAGGCGATCGGCGGCAGTGATCCAGAGTCGACGAGAAGGCGCCGACGTAGCTGTAATCGACCGAGCAGGAGGCTGGATCGCCATCGCCACGGGCAGCTCCGGCGGCGAGCAAGGCAATTGCGACGAGCGTCACAATCCGCATTCTAGAGAGGAACTTAAACCCTAGTGCTCAAGGGGATTAAAGAGATACTGACGGTTAAGATTAGTCATGATTAACATTCTATTATTGTAAATGGGAGATAACGACGGTTTGGCCGAGTGGCGTTGGATTTAGGCTCCAATCCCAAAGGGCGTGGGTTCAAATCCCACAGCCGTCAACCCTAAACTGTTTTAAAGATTAACGTTTTAAGCAATATTCTCAAGCATATAATGCTATTAGGCTAAAAGCCGGCAAGAATTTTCGCTGATGGGATCCGAGGGCGCGCTCCAATTCAAGCTCAGCAGTGGCGCTCTCATGCCCGGCCTCGGCCTTGGAACTTGGCAGGCGGAGAAAGGCCTCGTTGGAGAGGCTGTCAAGGCTGCGCTCCAGGAATGATTTCTCTCCTCTTTGTGTGTCCATGTCCATTCTAGACTTCTTTCTCTTTTCTCTAGGCTGGATACCGTCACTTGGACTGCGCAAGCGCTTATGGCAACCAAAAGGAGGTGAGGAACTTTCACTTTTTTTCCAGGAATCGCTCCATCAATTCTCCTGTTTTCTATAGATCGGAGATGCACTCCAGGAGGCCTTCAAATCCGGTGATCTAAAACGGGAAGATCTCTGGATCACCTCCAAACTTTGGTACGTAGAGCGTGATCTCCGGAAGAAAACTAAAAATTGATCTAGGTGCACGGATCATGATCCCGAGGAGGTGTCAAAGGCTTTGGAGGCAACGCTCGCGGATCTCCAGATTGATTACCTCGACCTTTACCTGGTAAAAACTATGCTTTTCTTGTATTTTCTCCAAAAGCTTATAACTTTTTGATCTAGATTCACTGGCCAGTTCATTTGAAGAAACATGTCCGAGGTTTCAACTTTAGTGCCGCGGATTTTGCTCCTCTCGACATTCCAGCAACTTGGGCCGCCATGGAGAAGCTCGTCGATGCCAAGAAAACCAGAGCCATCGGCGTGAGCAACTTTAGCTGCAAGAAACTGGGCGATTTGCTCGCTGTTGCTAGGATCCCCCCGGCCGTGAACCAAGTCGAGTGTAGCCCCGTTTGGCAGCAAGCCAAGCTTCGCGACTTTTGCATCTCCAGCGGCGTCCATCTCTCGGTAAAGAGTTTTCCATCGTTTTTCTTCTCTGTTTGATCCTAACTAACGATCACAATGCAGGCTTACTCTCCACTGGGATCATCCGGCAAGAGCGTGCTCCAGAGCCCCGTTGTGAAAGATCTCGCGGAGAAACTCGGGAAAACTCCCGCTCAAGTCGCTCTGCGCTGGGGGCTGCAGCGAGGCTGCTCGGTTCTTCCCAAGAGCACAAACGCGGAGCGCCTCAGATCGAATCTGCAAGTGTTTGATTTCTCCATTCCAGAGGAAGATCTCGCAAAGTTCTCGAGCATCCCCCAGGTATCGCGATTGTTCTTCTCTCCAAGTTTCTTTCGCGTAACCTTGATTGCTATCGCAGGAGAGAGTACTAGTCGGACGCGTATGGGTCGCTCCCGGCGGTCCATACGAAAGCATTGAAGCGTTATGGGATGGAGAGATTTAAAACCTCCGTGTAGAGGGAAAATTCAATTTAAAACAAGGCGGGTTTAACAAACCCTACTTTATTAGAATTTAGGGTTCCTAGGCATCGCGAGGGAAATTTCTGGCGCTGGCATTGGCGCTGGCGTGGATCGATTTCGGCCTGGAGGCTGGGTAATCTTGTCACGCGTCCATTTTCCAGGTTAGAGATAGCGAAGATTTCATGCCTGGAGTGTTCGCAGCCGCTAGCCCGAGATTTTGGAGCTTGCGGAGATGAGCTGACACCGAGGGAAAGGTATGATTACAAGCATTGAAGTGATTCTAGCTTTGTTGTGAGGCTCCGTGAAAGTGTGTCTCATTTCTTTGTCTTGTAGGGATCCCGGACAAGACGGGGTCTTTGGATGGGTCCCAAACGCAATGATGTCACAACGACCCTTCATCTCGAGCGCGTGAGCGTTGTTTCTTATTTCTTCGCGATTCATGGAGAGAACGATGAAATTGACCTCTCCTTTGGCTTCAAGTACCTTTGACCGGGTAATTCGCCTTCGATTCTTTTTTTCTTAGCGTTAACATTGGTCTAGAGTTGATTTGTCCTGTTGGCTTGTTGTGCAGGACTTCTAATGGGTGTACGTTTGGAATTGAAAGAAATGGTATGGTTCTCTTTTGGCACAGTGAAAGTAAGAATAAACTTGTGTGTTTTCCTTTTGTTTATACAGGTTTTGGGGGTTCCAAACTTTCTGTGATTCCGTGTTTCTTCTACCACTGGGCATCCTAAAAGCTAGCTGCTTTTCAAAACGGCATTGTGAAGGCAAAGTCGTGCATGCACTCTCGAGGAACAGCTCCGCGAAGCAACTTAAGAAACTGTCTGGCCCGGTGATTGGTCTCCGAAGTGTTATCGGCCTGGATGAGAAGAATCATCTGAGTAAAAGCACCTTCGCTGGCAGCTGCTTGGACGACAGAGTCATCAGCTTGGCACATCAACAACAGGATCCCGACTGCTCGCTCTGACGCCAGATCCGAAACCGTGAGAATTATCTTCACCAGCATCGGCACTGACAGACTGTGATCCATCAAAGCTTCCCGTCCTTCTGCGCATCTGGCCACGAACTCGAGCACAGCCAGAGCTCTTTCGGTGTTGAGTCGGCTGGCCTCGGAGAGGAGTTCTATCAACGGCGGCACCACACCACCTTGGACAGCCTTTACGAGATTCTTTCGGCAGGAGACGATGGCCAGCAACGCGGTCAGGCTCGCCCTGACTGCTCGCGGATACGCACTGTCCTCTTTGACAAGCTTGACAAGTCCCGGTATCAACCTCTCAGTCGCTCCCATCATCGACTTGGATTCATCGTCAGTCGCCACAAGCTCGAGCAGGCGGGCAGCGTTGATCTGGCCTTCGGTGTTACGTCGGTGGAGGATCCAGGATAAAACAGCCAGCAGCGACGGATTGATGATGGACTTTCTCAAACTTTCGATCTCGAGTGGTAGCAGAATTACGAGAACTGCGACCGCGTCCTCGCAGCACTGGAGGTCCTCTAGATTCGAAGGCCTGTCGAAACTTATTCTGGGCTGGAACGAAGACACCAAGCCGCTCAACGCCGGGATCGCCCCGGCACCGGCAATGCACTTCCGGTTCTTGTCACTCTCTTTGCACGACGCTCGGAGGTTCCGGAGGAGCCGGCTCTTTGCGCGTCCCGAGAGCTCCGCGGAGGAGATTTGGCGGACGAGGTGGCCGGCTTGCTCGTCGTCCAGGGGCTGCTTTGGAGTGGGAATTCTCTCGATGCCTCTCGACTTGTTGGCGACGCACCACTCCTGGATGAGCCTCCGGAGCGTGTGATTGGGGACCAAGTCGCGGACTTTCACCAGCTGCATGGTTCCGGGACAGGTGTGGTGGCCGTCATCAAACCACTTCTCAATGCTGCTCCGGTCGTAAGTCAAGCCGGTGCTCAGCGTCACCGGGTCCTTCATGAGCTCCAGCGAGATGGGGCATCGAAACAGCGTAGGAACTCTGGGCAATTGGATATCAAGCACCGGCGAGATGGCCATACCACTGCTGCTGCTGCTGCTGCTACCGCTGCTACTACTGCTACCGCTATCAAAACTTGGTTTTTCCTTCTCCAGGGGTAAATCTCAGCTCCTTGAATCCACAGGCACTAAAAGACCCCGATTTCTTGGCAGTGATCTACCTTCTCGACTCAAACTTATATCCTGGCTCAAGCTGCGAGCTTCCAGGCCTCTCCTTTGAAGACCCAGACATGATACATATACCACACGCCATTGTAAGGCGCAAGACAAAGACCCATTCCGGCTCCCTGCCAGAGCAGTGGCTCAATTAACTCCAAATCACGGGGCCCCTGTTACACAGAGACAAGGACCAGGGGCGGCCGTTGGATGGGGCGCATGGACGGCGGGGATGGCGTCCCTATGGTCCGCAATGGCCGGTGGTCATGGTCAACATGGCCGTTGATGTATTCGAGAGCTTCTTAATCCCGACTTGACCGCCACTGACCTTGACTGGAACACGTGGAAGTTTGGCCCGCGTGTGCTGTCGATAAATCTAGCTGGACTGGCTGACTGTTGACTGATCGTTATTATCTTGAGTTTTTGCACCCGCGTGGGAAGAAACTTTCTGGTAAATTAGCGACCGGTAAAAAAGGGGACTATGAAGTCTTGCTACAGAACTACAATGGATTAAAGTTATTTTAAAGGTATACTCAACTCTACAGGGTGGTGTGCTATAGCTTTTTAAATGTGTCTCAAGGGTGTCCCATAGCTGTAAGGGGCTTTGTCAACAACCCCTTCTTGTGAGCGAAAAGCTCCACCCCTAAGACACTGTAGGAAAATACACTTAGATTGAACTCCAAGGCCATTGTGTGAGTGACGGCCAGGCTGTGTGAGATTCGTCCTAAAAGACTCAAAGAATCTTACTAGAAAAACCGGTAAGCACATGAATTTTCAAAAGGTCGGGCGAGAATCAGTAGCTTTTTCAACGTTAACACTCAACCTCATTACAGTTTCAGCACTTGTTAACCTCTAACCAGAAAATCTTAAACCTTGTCTAAGTTGAAGGAAAAAAAACAAAATTCTGGTCAATCTATCCCATTGCTTTATCGACATGTAATTTGATACTTGTCGACACTCGTTTTCTCTTGCTTCACAGGACTACAATGCCTTTCCAAACGTGTCAGGTCCTGGTATTGACAAAAGTAACAAAGTTTGTGCCATGAGTCCGACTGGCATATTCTACGAAATAGAAAAGATGCCATGGACAGAAAGCAGTGCCTGGAGATTATTGCTTCCTCTACCAGCGTCTCCGCTGCGAGAATCATCCACCAGCGCATCGCCCAAAGCCCGTTTGGCACCGATGTCTTTGTGCTCAACCGCATGATCGAAATGTACGCTAGATGCGGCAGCATGAGAGATGCCCGGATTGTTTTCGACAGCGTCGTCGGTGCTGGAAATCCCTTCTCGTGGTATCTCATGCTCGCGGCATATGCCCGGAATGGGCATCTAGCAGACGCCAAGCGCATATTTGACACTATGCCTCAGCAGAACCTTGTGTCCTGGACGTGTTTGCTTGTGGCATATTCTCAGGATGGGAATCTTGAAAAAGCGCGCAGGATTTTTGATAATATTCCGCTGCGGGACATTGTTGTGTGGACGTCCTTGCTCTCGGCATATGCCCAAAACGGGCATACTGACGTGGCAAAGATGGTCTTTGGCGAAATGCCAGCCAGGGATCTGTTCTCATGGACGGCTGTGATCGACGCTCTCGCGCAAGACGGGCTTGTGGAGGAGGCCAAGAAGATTTTCGACGATATGCCACAGAGGAATCTTGTTGCGTGGAACTGCATGCTCTCGGCATATGCTGGAAACTTGTGTTTGGGAAGAGCGACTCTTATGTTCGAGACTATGCCCGAAAGGGATTTGATATCCTGGACTTGTATGATCACTGCACATTCCGAAGTTGGGAATCTCTCTGAATCTAAAAGATACTTCGATGAAATGCCGCAACGCAACATTGTCTCATGGAACTCTATCCTTTGTGCATATGCCCAAAGAGGGTATATTACAGAAGTGCGGGGAGTGTTTGATACAATGCCAAACAGAGATTCCGTGTCGTGGAATGTTCTGATTTCTATGTACGCGAGGAAGGGACTTGTGGAGCAGGCAGAGAATCTCTTTAGCAAAATTCCGCAAAAAAATGTAGTTACGTGTAATGCCATGCTGGCAGCATATGCCCAACAAGGGAATCTTACAGCTGCCAAACACACATTCTTGAACACAATGCCACAATGGAATCTAGTGACGTGGAATATCATGCTGACGATGTACAGCCAGCACGGTTGCGTCGAGGAAGCTAAAGCTTTGTTTGAATCAATGTCACAAAGGAATCTCATGACGTGGAATGCGCTCTACGCGGCATATGCCTTTCAAGGGCATCTGGAAGAATCTAATCGCATTGCGTCCGAGATGCCAGAACATAACATAGTAACGTGGACTTCGATGCTGGGGGCATATGCCCAAAACAAGCAACTGGACACCGCCACAGCGATTTTTAACCAAATGCCCGAGAGGGACTTAATTTCCTGGGATGCCTTGCTCGTAGCATATGCCCAAAACGGGCATATACTCAAAGCTCAAAGCCTTTTCAGCGTCATGCCCGAGCGTGATGCCATTGCCTGGACCGCGCTTTTAGCCGCCTACAGCCAAAACAATCACCGAAAACAAGCGTTCGCCACCTTTGCATTGATGAATCTCACGGAGACTCCCGACGAGATTTGTTTCAGCTTGCTTGTCACTGCTTGCAGCCAGGGTGGCAAAGCTTCTGCTGGAAACCGCTGCTTCCAGTCTATGATCCAGGACTACTGCCTAGAGCCAACGAGGCAGCACTACTCTTGCATGGTGGACTTGCTCAGCAGAGCTGGATATCTGGAAGACGCTAAAGATCTCATCAGCAGTATGCCGTATGAAGATGATGCAATAGAGTGGACTTCCCTGCTCGGGGCCTGTGGAAGCCACAGCGACGTGCGTGACGGAGTTACAATTGCGAAACGCGTGCTCGACACTGGATCAAGAAAGGACGTAACAGCGTTGCTCTTGCTTGCAAACATGTTTTCTTCCACTACCTCCACTGGAACCTGGAACCAGACCCTGAGGTTAGAACAGTCGATGACAGGGACAGAAACTCGCTCACAGATTTATCTTGCGGCAGAAACCAAGGCTACGCGTGTGTGAGTGAAGGCACTCACTAGCGCTCCCAGTTGGAGCTTCTCGTTGGGTCCAGACGCAAGCCTGTACCTGTAACAGAACGCACACACAATTTCAGCTCATGTACAGAAGAAAAGAGTGCAGCGTACTCGATGTCCGCGAGGCAATTGATGAGAGGCACGCGGATGTTGCCGGGCATGCTGATGGTAAAGATGAACCTGGAAACGTAGTATAGGTTCTGAATGCCAAGAGAGGTAGTACGAGCTTACTTACGGCTGCAGCTCCCTAACAACGTCCACCAGCGCCAGTCCTTTGCTTGTCTTTAGCTGCACGATATCTGGGCAGAGTTAAGATGGATTGTGCAGCAAAAGAAGGAGAAGTTTTGTGCTAGTAAGGATACTGCTGTAAGCCGACTGGAATGACTCGTTGAGAAGCCAGGACGCAATCTGCTCGATTTCCTTTGGCGTGGGGTTTCCTGTGCATGAGTAAACTGCTGCTTCCGTGACATGCGGCTCGGCCATTTGCGTCGACTACGGAGAATAAACAAGCAGTATGAGCAGCGACAAGAAGCGTTTCCATCACTGACCTGAAGGATATTTAAAGCCTTCCGCATGTCGCCATTGCTAAGTCTCACGATGGCAGACAGGCCATCTTCCGTGACATCCAGCCTTGTAAAAACTTGTCAAAAACGATATTTCGAAACAAAAGCATTGCTTACCTTTCCTGGTCAATTACGAACTCAAGGCGCTCCCTGACATGCTGTGCTTGAAGAGGAGGAAAACGAAAACGTGTGCATCGAGACTGCAGCGCTGGGATAATCTTGCTGACGTAGTTGCAAATCAAACAAAACCTTGTGTTCTTCGTGTATTTCTCAATGACTATCGAATGAAAACCGTCATGGATGATTCAATCTAAGCAACGACAACGTACTTCTCCGCAGAGAAAACTGCGCATCCTTGGTCATGGCATCTGCTTCATCCAGGATTATAAGTTTAACATTCGCTTTCTCTCTGTGGTTACTATTCGGTAAGTAAGAAAAAAAAAGAAAAAAGAACAAAAAAAAGAAAACAAAAAGGTTAGGAAACAAAAACAAAACTCTCGTACCCAAAGGAGATACTCTGCGTGCTAGCAAAGTCTTGTATCTGCTGTCTCACAACATCAATACCTCGATCGTCCGAGGCATTGAGCTCCAAAATCATATTCTGGAACTGCGGACCATAGAGCTTGCGTGCCACAGCCAAAATCGTGGATGTTTTTCCTGTCCCCGGAGGCCCGTAGAGAAGCAAATGGGGCAACTTGTTCTCCGCAGTGAGCCTGTCAACTTCGGAAAGGCATGGACAAAATGAGCTACAAAAAGGAAGATAACAAACAATAAAAGACAAAGAACGCAAGAAAGAGGGAGGAATTAAAAAATGCCGAGAGAATCACTACATTCTTCCCAAGATCGCGAGAAATCCCTACATAATCTGCAAAAGCAGCTAAGATCTTACTTGTATCGATGATATCCTTGTGCGCTGCAACGTCCGCGAGAGACGCAGGGCGATACTTCTCTACCCAGGGCCCGGATCGCTGTAGCTCCTGCGTCATCGGCGCCTTGCCTTTTTGCGCCGCCGTAAGCTTCCGCGGCGGATCAACATCAACAGCGCCGTCGTCCACCTCCATCGCCGTTGCCTCTCCCTCCATTTCTCCCATTCCCTCCCTCCAAGAACCCTAAACCCGCCAAAGATGCGAATATACTCAAACGAGAACATGGAATCTTTTCAATTTGGTCTTTTGTACATCTTGGTAGAAGACGACGGTAGAATAGACAGACACGAAACACTCTAAAGGGGGGGAATTCCAATCCAAATTTCTGGGGAGCTATCTCACCTCGGCTCGAGCATCTTCCATCTATCCAGCCGATTGTCCATCATCGCCCCAGCTCCAGCGCTGGAAATCCCTCCTCCATCTCGATGGAGCTGTGCGATCCGGAGCTCTTGTGCCGAAATTCCTGCTCGCCCTCGCTGGAATCCATCCTCGCGTACGCATTCCCGTGCCGCGATCGCTGGATCAAGGCGCACAGCAGCGCGATGGAGAAGATCACGACCCCGGCCAGGTACCAGGAGAACTGGAGATTGGCAAGCGCCTTGGCTCGCATCGTGGATCCCTCGTCGGCGCAGCGCACAACGTCGTGATCGTCCTCCGAGACCATCCGGCAGCCAGTGGGAACAAATCTTGGAATCCAGAGCACGAGCCCCATCTGGATCAGCCACAGTCCCTGAAAGAGAATCCCTACCGCGCGGACGAGCGCCAGCAAGACGGAGCTCGGGCGAGAGATTTCCAGGACGGTGCACAGGAGGCAAATCGCGATGGCGAGCTGGAGCAGCCAGTGATACTGTCCCTCGAGTCCCATATGATCTGCCGAGTGGAAATGGAAGAGGAGGAGCTCCTGGCTGAATGCTAGGGCCGCCAAGAGATGGAGCGTCCCCGGCGGGAGCGCCAGATTGAGGAGATTCGTGACGAGCGCCACGGCCGCGTAGACGAGGAAGAAGAAGGACATGGACGAGTGCTCGAAATTGTTGAGGTGATTGGCCGGGATGGAGAGATCGTCGGCAAGCGGCTGGTGCTTCTCGGGCCAGATGAAGAGCTCCGACGCGATGGAGAGCGCGGACGCGAAGATTATGAGGTAGAGCTCCGCGTAGACGACGATCGGTCGCGAGGAGAAGCGCGATCTCCTGGAGATTTTTACCGGGAACCAGGGGCGGGCCTCGAATCCCGACGGCGATTCGATGTAGCTCCTGACGATGTTGACAAGATGCCAGAGGCCGATGAGCGCGAATCCGATGCCAGGCGCGACATGGCCGACGAGCGTCCCCATGGCGGAGGAGTGATATTACGGGGGGAGATTGGTGATAGAGGAAAGGAAGAACCCTAATAGAAGAATGCGAGGTCACCCCGTAGTTATATGAGAGAGAAGAGAGAAGAGAGAGAGAGAGGGAGAGAGATGCGACGTGTGCTTCCTTTCCGAAATTTCAGCGTTTGCGTTTCCGCGAAGAAATCCCCGCAGCATCCATGACATTAGGGTTTAGCCGCCATAGCTAAGTTTGCGTGTCAATGACCATCGACCAAAGCACTGACGTTGACTTTAAAGACAACGCTCGTCATCTAGTTAGCCACGCGTCAGCCACCCATTGCAAGCTTTTCTATCTCTATACTGAACGTAAAGTTTTTTCTTTTCCCTCGGAAGCAACACATCTCATACTTCGTCTCAAACTCTAAAGCTTCACGAAAATCCCCTCTTCTTGACTTCCATCTCTTCCACAGAGCCGCCACCGGAAACTCCAGACTTGTCTAGACAGAACTTTGCGATCTCTCTGAATCTGGGCAAGGATTTGAGCTCCACCTTGGTGTCATCCTTGAGAGTGATCACAACGTCGCCCCACTCGCCGATGAATCGTGGGACATACTTGACGTCCTTGATCGCGTCATACTTGAAGTCTTTCCTATCACCACCTGTTAATCCCGAAAGAATAGTCACTCTGTAGGTTGTGAACCTGTACCTCAAGAACAAGGCCCGGAACACCGCTGCGACTGTCAATGGTAGCCAGAAAAGCGTGAAGCCAAACACCAAGTTGGCTACCAGATCACCGTAATGTGGACCACCATCGAAGAACACTTCCTCTTTTCTCTCCGAAGATGGCCCTGTTGATGATGCTGCTGCTCGGATCAAGCTATGGCGGCTTCTCCCTCGGATCTGAGCTGACAGTGGTTCAAACCTTAGCAGCGATCGTGCCGTGTAAAAATTGAGCGACTGAGTAGCAAGCGTACGCTTGTGAAATGATCCGAGAACACCAAGAGTTGCTGCTGCTGGACTGGCGGAAGGGAGCACCATAGCCATCGATTTCTAGAAGAGCATATAGATTTCTTCTGGATAACGTTCGTGGTTCAAATCCTTTGGGTTGCAGTCCTGAGCAAACTGGGCAAAATTCATTTTCCAGTCAATAGTAGTCTTGAAAGAGCTTACTCAGGACTCGTGTTTATTGGAACAGGCTTTCTGGATGGCAGCGACGGCTTGGACAGCTACAGCAGGCGACTGTGCAGCCTCCGCCATTTGTTTGGCTAATCCCATATTCTTCTGCGCTTTCGTACCCTGATCTTTCGCTTCCTATTCACAAGCGTCAACGTGGGTAACACAGCTAAAGAACAAACGCAAGGAATTTTTCCAAATCGGATCTATATACCTGTCTAGTACCAGTGTCTCGAGCATTTGTCGCGAGATTCTCAGCGGCAGCCATCTGGGCAGTCGCACTCCTAGCTGTTTGATTCGCCACCTCGTAGAGAAACTTTTGGCATTCCATTCCTTCGACTGCCAGAAAACCACGTAAGAACAGAAGGAAGAACAGTTTAAAGAAAAGGGCACCTCTACCGGATGAAGTTACTGCTGGTATCGGTGCCTGGATAGCAGCAGTAGGAGCAGGACACTGTGGAGGAATTCCTGGTGGAACCGGCGCTTGAGCAGTGGGTACCAACTTAGTTTGTTTCTTCTTGGCTGGAGAATAGACCGCGGCTACTTGAGAAGCTTGCTCCACAGCCGCATTTTGCCGCGCTGCTTGCAAACCAGTGATTTCGCCCTGTCTCATACTACCTTGCTCTTGCGCGGCGGCGTCTGCCGCTCGCTGAGTGGCGGCATCCGCAGCAGCTTTCGTCTTCCTCGCCGCGAAAGCCAATGCGCGCCTGGCGGATACATCCTCTCCAGCTGCTCGATCGATCGGCTCGACGATCGCGTCAGTGCCGTGCGCTTTATCCTTCTACACCGAAATATGGAGAAATTTAAAGAAATTTCAAGAGCCCGGGCATCACACCTGCAAATCGCGCGGCCGATCCTCCGCGGCGGCGTCTCCATGCCCGCGATCGTGCCCTAGCGCTGCTATCTCCATCCTCCGGACACCAGGCGCTCCAAGATCATCCGTCGCACGCGGCTCGAGATTGGAAACTCATTCACGAGCTGGATCACGACAGAGGAGAAAAGAATATAGCAAGCGCCCAAAAGATCCGCCAGCAGCGCTACCAGGATCATCCCGAGAAAAGAAATTTCACACAGGATAGGGTTTAAAGAACGCGAGAGCTACGATCTCATCCTCGCGGATAGAGCATCTCTACGAATACAAACATACATACGCTCCTACCATCAATGCATGGCCGCGACGTGTCCCGCGCAACGTGTCTTTCTTTCAGCTGGTTTTCTATTTTATTGATAGAGGATAGAATATTCGTTAGGGCCACGTTGGATAAAGTTGCTCGACGTGGCGCTATCGTGGCCATATGAGGTGGATAACAAAATAGGGTTTTAGAGCTTGTCTTTGAGTGGCGCCATGGCGATAAAATGGCGCTTATGGCTAGTCAGTACTACAGCACTGCGGGGATCAGGAGACCCATCCTTCGAACTGGTATGATCTATTCTGCGAATGCGTGTGGAATTGGAGCTGGATTCTTCCTTTTTCTAGCAGATAATTTGCCCGGAGGAAGGCGAAGAACTTATAAATTTCGCCACCGCGTTTGCCGTCTCGGGAGGAATTTGGAGGCCTTTGCTGGGCTGGATTGCGCGATGAACAAACCAATGCGGTATGGAAAAATTTTCATGGTTGGTGTTTTAGATTGGTTTGTTGTAACGCAGGAAAGTGGTGGATCATCTTGTCTTGCTGAAGATGAAGGAGGATTTAACGGAGGAGCAAGAAACGACCATGCTGGACAATGTGTACACTCTTCAGTATCACTTTAGAGGCATCCTGTGCGTTTCCTTGGGTAAGAACTCGCGTTCTTTCTTTTAGTTCGTTGCTTCGCATGGTGACGAACAGATATATTTTGCGATTCCAGGCCGGATTCTTTCGGAAAACCAAGAGCGTTGCACGCATGGCATCCTCATGCGTTTTGCCTCGAAAGACCTCTTGCTGAAATACAATGAGCATCCAACACATTCCAAAGTAGCCAAGGAGTTCGTGCTTCCATACTGCAACGTAAGATAATCTCCCTCAGAGCTCCTGTTCTTGTTCTTGGTTCGAAACTTTAAATACATTTTCTTTTGTCTTTGGAAGTGTAAAGAATTTCTTCAAGTTTTTAATTCGTCTTCAAACTGTGGCAGGGATTTATCACTGCAGACTTCGAAGCCGAGGTAGAGGACAGTCTAGAACCTCTCTTCCGTCGTGGTGAGGTAACGAGCTATTGACGTGGTGTTCAAAAGCATTTATGCTCCTGCCAGGAATTTGAGAGCGGCATCGAGCATATCATTCTACTCAAAGTCAGTGAAAGCGCTTCAGCGGACAGGGTCCAAGATATGCTCCAGTCTTTGTGCAAGCTGCCCGAGATGCTACCCACGGTTCTCGTCCAGCTCACTGCAGGTAAGCTCCTTTTGCGTAATCGAGATTACTCACTCGTTTTCATGATTTTCAGGGGTCATCTTCTCCGCTCAGAATCAAGGCTACACGCATGCAATCGTCGCCAGGCTTCCATCAGGTAGTAAACTTTTCAATCCAGCTCGAAGCTCTCAAACGCAAGGGGTGTTCTCTTACAGAGGACGCATTAGAAGCTTTCAACAAGCACGAAGCTTACGTCTCTGTAAGTTTATGGACATTCTCTTTTCTTTTCACTCCTGCTTTGGCTTCAGGTGTTTTCAGAAAAGGTGATTCCCATATGCAGTCAGATCCTGTCCACCGATTATCGAGTGGAAGCTGTTGGAACTACGATTCAGCAGTGAAAAGAGATCGGAAACACGCACGAAGAAAGAAATTCGCGGTTAGTCCTGGTTGCATTCATACTCATGATGTGCTCCATAAACAGGAGAAGAGATCCTTTCGAGCTCTCGCAATATCCATGCGATGAGTTTATGTGTACTCGACTCGGCCGAATTGGTCGCTATAATTGAAGGCTCCTCAGTGCCGCATTTCATGAAACCCACCCAAGATATGTACATGCTCGCGAGAAGTTACTAGACACGAAGAAGTAACTATCGAAACCATCTCTAGAAAAGCTATGCAAACACGTAAAGCTCACTCTCCCACTTGCAAGGTGTGAAACAAAGAAGCCGAGAGGGAGCTCCACTATAAAAGCTCCACACGACGGCTGGGAAGATTATAGCCGCGGCAAGCATTGCGTCAGGCAGAGAGAATATGGAGCGGCCAAAGGACGATCCGGGCAGCGGAAATAAATGATTTGGTACCCCACTCACAAGGCTGTCATGTAGAAGCGGTGGTATAGATCTGTTTGCTTCCCGGCTTGAATCTTCTCCTCTTTTCGGTGTGTCCCCCTCTATCTAAAGATCACTCGAGTTTCTGGGGGTCTGGATGATTGCACAACTGATCCTTGTCGTGAGATTTCGAGATCCAAGGCACAAATCTTATGTACTCGTCGCCGGTTGTTCGAGGAGCAACGGAATCATGGGGTCTTTGAGGTTTGTTTCTTTTGCTCGTGAATAAATAGAGAGAAGGGAGAAGGATCTCTAAAGGAGCTCCAAAATGCCTGCGATGGTGTTGTTGACAATGGCTGGAACTTGATTTTAGTCTTCTTATTCCTTGGCAGGCTGAATGCTCCATGGCTTTTGGCAGAGATCTCCAGGCCCTTCGAATGGCACTGGGCAGGCTCTACTTTGTGATGCTCCTGTTGATGCTGATATTGTCAATCACCACTGGTGTTGCTCGAGAGCTCCAAGTGAATAATCACAGGGTGTTGAGAGCTCAACGAGGACCTGAGAGTCTTTCAGTGGATCCCAACGTAGTGTCAAAAAGGATGGCTCCAACAGGCCCAAATCCCTTACATAATAGATGAAGAAATTGTTTTTGTTTCCTGAATTATGAAACTAATATTTTCAAATCCAAATTAAACTTTTTAATTAAATAAAAATAATACTTTTAATTTTTTTAAAATTAATTTATAAGGTATGAGTTTGAAGTGTACTTGGCTTTAGGTACTGTCAAAGTCATCATAATATATCGAGAGAAAGTGAGCTTTATTAATGGTGGCCTTCTAGCTCAGTTGGTCAGAGCGTGGTGCTAATAACGCCAAGGTCACAGGTTCGAGACCTGTGTGGGCCAAAAGAATAAATTCTTTTTGATATGGAAATCTGTAACGAAAAAGCTTAAAATTATTGTTTTGTTTTCCATTCCAACTCTATCATTTTGTTTTCACCTCCAGCTTCGTGGCACCTGATGTTAAACAATTTAAAGTAAAGAAAAGTTCAGAGAACTTAAGCCAAACCTCTTTGCTCGACTTCACTTGCGAAAGAATTCGACAAGGAGCATCAGATAGATCAGTTCTGGACAAATGCAAGAAAAACCGGTAAGTAAATCAATACTAGGATGAAACCGCAACGGCTTACGTCTGATTCAACCAACAATAACGTAAGCTCGGACGTCAAAAAAATTGCCAAGTTTCTTCCTCGTGCTGCCTTCTCCCATCATGAACAACTGCAATGTAAACACAATGGGAAATTAAAACGCCCAAAACATCCACCCAAAATCGACTATGACGCAAAAGAAACCAAACAGAAATCCACCAAATAGACTCTCAAGTCATGAATTTGCAAACATGGAAGAACCCAAAGGAAATGAAAGAGGAAATTTACCATATCGCTCTGCCAAGCCATAGCTTATCTCGGTGATTGGCGCCCTCACGACCTTGAGATAGAGCCCCTTGTCGATCCGTCGCTGCAAATACTCCTCCCGGATTGGGATCCAACTCAAGCTCGACAGAGCAAACAAGGCAGTGTCCGTGCCCTCGCGAGTCCCCACCGCTGCCCTAATGCGCTCCAAGATCTCCCCAAGCGTCGTCCCTTTCACCACGCTCAAATCCTTGGCCGATGAATGGCGCTTCACAGCCTCGCGCGTCGTGATCACGTACTCATCCTCGTCCACTACACAGTACCTCATACAGCACTCCTCGCCTTCCTCCTCGTCCTCCTCCATATCCATCGCACCCCCAAAACCCTACCCTGTTCGTTATCGAATATGCTGTATTTGCCCGCGCAATCGGACGGCCAGTTTTAAATCGCTCTGTTGGTACCAGTCGGGGTTCGATACCTGGCCCTGTCCGGTGCCTCCGATTTTGTTTCTAGCTCTCTTTGGCAAGGCAATTATTTAGGTCATCGTTTCTCGCGAGCTTTGCTTGATCGATCGTTTCGCGGCGCTGATCTTTCTTTTTTTTCCAGCTCCAGGGATCTAATTCGGGCAGCGCAATCAAAATAGCTCCCCCTGCTCTTCTTCTCCGCGGCAGCGCGCTCGTACTCGTCGTCGCCGGCGCTTGGATTGCGTGGAAGCGGTATCGAATTTCTGCCATGGCGAAGCAGCCAGTGCGTGTTCTTGTGACTGGAGCTGCGGGTAAGATGTATGGCTTTCGTTGACAGACTTTTGCGAAATTTTCGGTGCTCGACAGGGCAAATCGGGTATGCGCTCGTCCCGATGATTGCGAGGGGCGTCATGCTCGGGCCGGACCAGCCTGTGATCCTCCACATGCTGGATATTCCGCCCGCGGCGGAATCGCTCAATGGAGTCAAGATGGAGCTCATCGACTCGGCATTTCCTTTGCTTAAAGGTAAGTTTTTCAATGCGATCCCTTTATTTTAGCTAGAAAGTCTCTCCACCAATCGTTTTTTTTTTTTTTCAGGAGTGATCGCCACCACGGATGTGGAGGAAGCTTGCAAGGATGTTAACATCGCAGTGATGGTTGGAGGATTTCCCAGGAAGGAAGGGATGGAGCGAAAGGATGTCATGTCCAAGAACGTCTCCATCTACAAGTCTCAAGCTTCTGCTCTTGAAAAGTGTGCTGCCAAGGACGTGAAGGTAACGTAGAAATACAAAACGTATCAGAAGCTCATGACTGTGGGCGTGACAGGTTCTGGTGGTTGCTAATCCTGCCAATACTAATGCGCTGATCCTCAAGGAGTTTGCTCCTTCCATTCCTGACAAGAACATCACTTGCTTGACGAGGCTGGACCACAACCGGGCGCTGGGGCAGATCTCTGAAAGGACTGGTTTCCAGGTCTCGGACGTGAAGAACGTGATTATCTGGGGAAATCACTCGTCGACACAGTACCCGGATGTCAATCATGCTGTGGTGATTACTCCCAAGGGAGAGAAGCCTGTTCGTGAAGTTGTCAACGACGACGAATGGCAAGTTTCTTTCATTCCTTCTTTCGAGTTTATATTTGTTGTGTTTATCATTCCAGGCTGAACGGGCCCTTCATTACCACTGTCCAGCAGCGTGGTGCTGCAATTATCAAGGCAAGGAAGCTCTCCAGTGCACTGTCTGCTGCAAGTTCTGCGTGTGACCATATCCGTGACTGGGTGCTGGGAACTCCCAAGGTTTGAAGTCAAAAACTTCCCTCTGGCTCTATTGCTAACTCCTTGGGAAATTGCAGGGCACCTGGGTGTCAATGGGAGTCCTGTCTGACGGCTCTTACAAAGTTCCCAAGGGAGTAATCTACTCTTTCCCGGTGACCTGCGCGAACGGGGAGTGGTCTATTGTCCAAGGTACACACTACACGATTCTTTGATCTGTCTTAAACAGTCGTGTGTTTCCCAGGCTTGTTGATTGATGGTTTCTCCAGAACGAAGCTTGACGCAACCGCCGACGAGCTCATCGAGGAGAAAGAGATGGCGTACTCTTGTTTGTAGGTATAAGACTCGCTGCTTTCTAATAAAACAGGAGCAGCTCTGTCGCGCAACAGGGCTCTTGATTCGAAGTTCTTCTCAGAGAGGAGATTTGCCTGGATCCTGATCTTGACTTTACTGGAATCCACGTGTCCTTTCCCTGTAGTGGCATGGAGAAAAGAAAAAGGCAGGTTGGCCAACTTTACAAATCCTTTAAAAAACTTGCAAGAGGTCTGTTGTTGAGCTCTCTCGTTGCAGACTAAGGTTGCTTTCTGGCTTGCTGGCTGGCAGATTAGTCGAGCCCCTTGCGTGGTGCCACTTCTTTTTCCACTGCTTGGGCTCTTTTCAAGCCGAAAATGAGAACAATCTGAATAAAGAAGTCCCGGAGAGCACTTGGATCAGGCGATACGGTCCAATAATTCAGCGTGCACACTGTATCCAGGTTAATTTTTTTTTCTTTTCTGTTTTCTATTGTTTTTCTGGTGGTGGTATGAATTAATGCAGCTCTTAAAACAGCGACAATAGCTTTTGTTTCTGAATGTTTCTCTTTTCCCACAGGTTATTGTCTGCAGAGCGAAACAATAATTCAACGCGCAACTGTCTTTTGAGGATAAGGTAGAAGTATTTCTGTTCTACGCAGCCCTTGTTCTTGCATTGCAGCCTCTTTTGCGGTCTTTTCAGCAAGCCTGTGGATTGGCGTTTGGCTGTAAGTCTCCCCTGAGAGGTTTTAGTCTTCCTTCCTCAGAGCTCTCTTGACCAGTCGTGCGTACGACATGTTTGAGCAGTGTGTGTGCCAGCATCTGGCTCGAGGAACAAAGCTGGACAAGGAAATGAAATGCGATCGGCAAACAACAAGACGACCAACAAAAGGTTTGTGACATCAAAGTCTGAGAGGCAGAGGCTTGCTTTACTTAAACATCAAGTGATGCTGCGTTAACCGAGGAGGCTTGGTCTCGGAAATTGTTTGTTTGTTTATTTGCTTGAGCACTTAATTACTTCAACTTAAACCGAGCTTTTCAAAATTATCACCATAGTCGGACTGAATTCGAGGAGTTTTTGGGGTCATTTTCCCTCTTATATTTTACATTGGAAAGCTTTGGGGAGGGTCCATCACCGCCAATGTGTTCCAACAACGTACAACAAATTGTGCTCTGGAAAATGCCAACCTTCACGTTACAGAGATGGGTTGGCTTTTTTCAATTTTTTTGTGTGATCGAGCTCAAAATCGGAAGTTGGCGATTTGTAATGGAAAACGTCGTTGTCCGCGGCCCCCGTAATTCCGATTTGGGGGCGTACACAAAATCCCTGTTTAAGGAGTGGGATTTTCTTAATAATCACCAGATCCTCTGCATTTAAACTTTGATGGTGTGAATCAAAGGAAGTTTGTTAGAGGCTTTTTTTATTTTCTTAGCAACTTTCCTCCGTATCTTCTCCTTCTGTTCCTCAAAACTCCATTTTTTTTTTCTCGGACTTCAACTGCGGGGGGCGCCGAAGGACAATTTTGAAGCCCGCAGCGCAGCAATCCGCAATCCGCGATCCAAATCCAGATCCGAAGCAAAGCTGCTCCATCCAGATTAGCACCAGAAATCCCCCCTTTGCCAGTGCCATGCTAGCCTCTCCTGGAATATACGCAGAGATGCTCTTCCAGTCTCGAGCTTCCCCGCCCTTCGTATCGTCTGCAGCAAATACAGCAGATATTTAGTGCTTCCAGAGATGTGATGATGGTGTTTCTTTGTTTTGCTAGCTGCTCGTTACTGGATTCGGTTCGGATCCAGACTTCTCGCACACCCAGCCATGACTTAAAATCAACAGGCACTCCAGCGAGCTACTGAGAGCCATTCTCTAGCTTTAGCTCAGATGTACATGTCTCGATAAGATACACAGGCATCATACAGGCATATCAAAAAACGGAGAACTTGGAAGTATATAGGCTAGGATTCGGGAAAGAAGAAGAAATAAGAGAAGGAAAACTCGGTAAGGAAGGATTCAGCTCGCTAGTTCAGAGCTTGTTGGCACCGTATATGGACTGTATGTTGGGGAGGACGAGAAGACATTCACATACCTGACGAGTCATCACCACGCTCGAGCTTATCGCACACTCGACTTTTGTGTGGGTAAACGAAAAGCCGCGTGAAGAATTGCAGCGAGGGATTTGGGCAATCCTCGCATCATGGGTCGCAGGCGCAGCGCTCTTTGCTTTTGCGGCTAGGAGCTAGGCGTAAAGCTGCGGCAAGGAGACGAGAAAATGTTCCAGTGCTTATAGTCGAGCGCTTCCAAGGACATCCTGATCGAAATTTCCCATGGAGCCGATGGACAGGCACTCCTCCCCAAAGAGATCCCCCGGGGTAAGTTCACACGAATTCTTCTCGTGGTCGACTCATGGTTTGATATCTCGCAGCGCGACGGACACAGCCCATTTGGAGCTCACCCCACTCCGGAGCAGCACGACGCCTTCTTAGCTGCCTCGAGCGCTCTCATCTCGCAAGCTTGCGTCAAGGAAGATCCCGAGCCCCAACAGCAGCACCATCTAATCGATCACGGTGCCGCCGCCGCCGCCGCGATGGAGCACCTCGCATGGGACAATCACTCGTTCATCGAATCCATGTCTCCCGAGTCGGCCGACCTCTGCAAGCATCTACTGGAACACATCCACGGAGCCCATTTTTCTCATGGGGAGGGCAGCCGCCACGATCCGGAAGAGCAGCAGCCACACCATCACCACGGCGGTGCCAGTAGCAGCAGCAGCGGCGCTCGTTTGGCGCCACCGCCGGGATCCATGGCCAGCTCGATCTCGACCACTGAAACGGATGAGACGATGAAGGCTTCCATTGTGGCTCACGCGCACTACCCCGATCTCCTGGCCTCGCTCTTGAACATCCAGAAGGTATTGCTTGCTCAGGTAGTGGATGTGTTCTTCGGCTTTTGGGATTCCTGGATTGATACGAGGAGTGGTTTCTCACAAAGTTTGTGTTTGAACCAAAAGGTTGGTGCGCCGCCGGATCGCGTTGCAAAGCTCGACGAAGCCGGCCAGCTGCTGCTGAACCTTCGACCCGCGGTAGTAACCAGCGTGGGAGCTAATCCGGAGCTTGACGACTTCATGGTATGGTACTTCAGTGTTCTAAGATCGTTTTGCGTACCATCTAGAGATTACTTTGCCAATGGTTGTGTTTCTTGCAGGTTGCCTACTGTGCCATCATGAAGGAATTTGAGGACGAATTCCGGAATGTTCTCGAGGGAGCAATGGCGTTTTGCAAAACGAAGACGGATCAGCTGGGAGCGATCGCAGCCGCAAGCATTCATATGAACAGTGTGGTTACCAGCGTTTCCGATCATCCGGGTACGCATCTCCTTTCCAAAACCCCTAGCTGGTAATGTTTTGAGACTGCAATGCATGCATTCGCAATCTAGGGGTCACAGTTCTGCAAGTGTGGGCTGTCATTCGGGAACTTGGCAAACTAATCTAGCAACGACAGCGACACTCAAACCGGGAAGTTTCGATCCGCGCCAACAATGTCGGCCTACAACACGGTCGACGTCCGATTCTCTCGAAGGGTTTGGTTATATTTTAGAGTTGGGTCGAGGCAGCCAAGCAAGCAGATCGAGGAAAAGAAGTGATTTGGGTGTGGGGCAGCAGGGGCTGGGGGTGTGGGGGTTTAGGATTTCACGTGAAGTTTGCATAGAACAGGCAAAACAACGGGCAAAAAAGGATAGAACTGCAGAGCAAGAACAGCAGCAGTCCAGGGCAGACAAAGGCTTTAAATTTAAAGCTAAAGCGTGAAGCTGGACGAGCAGCCTGGGAATTTACAATCAAGCAAAGCAGGCAAAGCGCAGGGTTTTTATTTCTATTTCCTGGGGTTTTTCTTATTTTTCGTAAACCCCGAGGAGCAGGCTAGATTCGCGGCGTATCCAAGAATATCGTGATGAATGGCTGCCATGGGGTGATGGTGATGCATGGGTGACTCATGGGGGGTCATGTCACGGATACGGTATTGTCGGGCAGGGTGACGTCACACGCCCGTCATTGGTGGCCAGGCTGCTGACGGGCTGACGGGCTGGCGTCATGCATGGGCCATGCGGCATGGCGTGATGGATGGGTGGCCCAAAATGTGGTCTAGTACGGAAGTGGGCGGCCACTTGGCCAATGTGAGGGGGCGGGTATTTTTTGTCGTAGCTTTTGCTAGCAGCGCTCACGCGACGTGTTGGCTGTCGGCTCTATGCGTCAACAAACCAACGAACACTTGCACGTGGAGAGGCTTTCATTAGTCGAATCTTTGGATTAACTTAAGCATGCCAATGGTGGTGGTGGTGATGGTGGTAGAATTGGTTTTAGATTTGCGAAGGATAGGCCAGCGGTGCATCGTTCTTGTTGGCAAAAGGGTTTCTTCGCTGTGTGCTTGACTTTGGTTGATTCCTGTCGAGCTATATAGTCTATTCAAGAGTGAGTGTCGATCGAGAACTAATATACTTGTGTTTTTCCAAAGTGGAGAGCGAGGAGCCAGAGACGACCACCACGGGAGGAGGAGCCGAGATCGAGGAGGACATCAGCAGCTCCGAGGTTGGAAACGAGGTTGATCCCTTGGCCAAGGACGAGAACCTCAAGGAGTATCTGGCTCAGAGGTATGGTGCTTACATCAAAGGCCTCAAGCAGGAGTTTCTCAAGAAGAAGAAGAAAGGAAAGCTGCCCAAGCACTCGACCGAGAAGCTGTATGAGTGGTGGGAAGCTCATATCAAGTGGCCATATCCATCGGTATGTTGTGATAGTTTTCATTGAATTTATATTCTTAGTTGTTTGGCTGGTTTCAGGAACAGGAGAAAGCTAACCTCGCAACTGATACTGGACTCGACCAGAAGCAAATTAACAATTGGTTTATCAACCAGAGAAAGCGTCATTGGAATCCTTCAGAGCACGACCGCCCTTTGAGCAGCGTTTCTGCTCGGGGCAACACCGAAGGCTGACGAATGAATGATAAAGTACAAACTTTTAGGTTTTGCACTCTTGTTTATAGGGCTTATATACAAAATATATAAAGTAAAAAAAAAGAGAATTGAAGATAAGTAAATAAAGGCAATAAACAAATTTATTGTTATGGTTTATATTTAATCATAATATGCTATCTTGCTCTTTAAATTTACAATTGTGAAGTGTACAATTACAATGTGGTATATCAATATTAACACTATACACTAATATTAGTGTAATGGGATTGTGATTGCTGTCACA